CGATGCATTCTGTTCAGGTGTTCAAGAAGCATGCCTGAATAGACGTTACAAATCATAATCAATCAAGAGGGAAAAAATTGTCTCGTTCTTGAAGTGCAAATTCACACCCGAACACCTTCCGCATCTCGTTGAAAGTAAATATTTGGAGAGTAAACTACAGTGAGGTTCTGCGATGTAGATAATAGCCCTATCAAAATATGATGATAGCTTTCATGAATAGGACGTTCGTGACCTACACACGTCTTATAAGAGGCCACAGACACCAGATGGGAACCCCTCAAAATAAAATGTCTCTTTTATTATTTTTTTTTTTTTATTTCTTTATAGCAGTATTGGTCAGTAGTCTAACGTTTTAGGCCTATTTGGTTTTTTGAGGTTTAATATTATTGATCATAACAGTCACTAGGAGAAAAAGTTAATTACAAACATGTCGAACTATAAAACAAAGTAAATACTGACGGCTGAAACAGTCAGAGGATACCTTGAACCAACGAAAACTAACGGAAGGAAGAAAGAAAGAAAGGAAAAAAAAAGACATCAGACTTGATCGGTCCTCTAAAGTACTAAGTCTATTCGGTATTTTTTGCTAGATTCATCGTGCAGTCACAATGAAAAAATACAAAAAATTAAAAAAAACAAAGCAAAAAAAAGAAGTAGTGTATTCCCGGTATTCCCACTATCACCAAGAACCGAGAAGCCTCAGAAGCAAGGAAATATCCTTTTCATCTTTTGAAAATTAATTCCCCTAAAGTGGTTTTTTTTAATATCACCCTTTGAAAACAAGAATGGGAGAACCTTGATTATTGTTTCACCATAATCATGAAATAAGTTTGGGCAAGTCGTTCTTTTATTCTATTAAATCAATAGTATGTCGGGACCTTGTAGAATGTCACAGACATGTCACACGCAAACTATTATACTCGTTGATGAAAACAAGCAGAATGCAAGTCATGGATTATACCATGAACGTTCATGATTATACCAGGGAGGCATTTTCCTTATTATACAACTATAATACACCACTACGCCAGTTCCGTGTCCTGCACGCCACAGAGACTGACTGCAAATGTTTTGTAATTTTATAAAAAAATGGGGGGGGGGGGTATATACACCGGCTACATGCATTCTTAGCTGAATGTGCAACTACACCCACTATTTACTTTTGAAATAACAAGATAACATTTATTGTCGCTGTATTGTAGACTTAGAATTCGACACCTATTGTTATCGACCTTCAGATATACAGCTGTCATGCATAAATGGATTTCAGATTACCCTTTTCGCCACAATTGACTTCGATGCATATTTTTGAAAACATTTTGTCTTTCTTTGTTTTAAAAAAAATAATTATTTGCATTCCTTTTCCTCCCACCGGGGTTTGTATGTGTCTCCCTTTCTCTTTATCTCTCTTTCTCTTTCTTTCTTTCTTTCTTTTCTCTCTCTCTCTCTCTCTCTCCTCTTTCTCTCTTTTAGAAGGAGGCGGTGTGGCGCAATCAGATAGTCGCTTAATTTTTGCCTGATTCTTAAAAGTGCCCCCAGAAGATGTGATAAAGGATGAAAATGACTCAAAAAATGGTAAAGAAGACAAAAAGTCGAGATCCCTGGATCTTGTCAAGTCAACTTGATTTGGCTGAGAAGATAAAAATTTCAATTCAAATTCAGCTCAAAAGACTTTATTTCTGTTAAAAAAACATACAAATATATACATGTGATAAAGAACAGACAGTTTAAAATATACAAATCATGAGCATTGTGTTAAATTAATTTAAACAAACTGTGAAAATGAGTAGAAGGAAAAGGGAGCACCTGTAGGAAGCTTATGTTAGCTTGTTGATTTAGGCGTCCAAATGAATAAAATAATTATACGGATATAATAACATAATAATGAGTATTGCGCATGTATTTTGTTCTACCCCTCCCTCCTCCCCACCCCGCCCCACCACCACCTCCCCCCCCTCCCCCTTCTTTCTCTCTTATGGTAGTTTACAAATCATATTTTATTTTAAAATAGATATTAAACTATAGGGATAATAGATATTTTTAAGATTTTTCTTGAATGAGTTTAAGTAAACATATTGAGTTAGAGAGGATGGAAGAGAATTCCATACTGTGGGCCCTGTATACCTTACCGATTGTTGCATGTACTGTTTATCAATATTCCAAATGTGTAACTTTAGACTATTTCGAGTATTATATTTATAAATTTTAGAGTTAGTTTGGAACATAGTGGCAAAAGATGATGGTGCATTACCTTTAATACATTTGAATACAAACACAGCATTTTGATATTTATTTAGGCTATAAATATTGAGGGTATTTAACTGTCTAAATAAAGGTTTAGAATGGGCCAAATAATGAGAGTTTGTACAATATCGTAGACAACGCTTCTGAAGTAAAAATAAGGGTTTCAACTTAGAATGACTTGTATTTGCCCACACGATGTTACCATATGACAAATAAGAGAGAATGAGTGAATTATAAATCATAAACAATACATTTCCTGGTAAATAATACTTCAGCTTTGACAATAATCCTGTAGTTTTACTAATCTTTGTAGAGATCATGGCAATATGGGATTTCCAAGACAATGTTTCATCTATGAGACCTACTATCTCGTCTTGTCGGCTCGGTCTGGACGAGAATACGGGACACTAGAAATCGTCAAGTCGACTTGATTTCGATGAGGATACCGGATCCTCCCTGGTCGACTTGATGAGGGCGAGAAGATGAACAGATGAGATACTGGATCTTGTCTTCACGTACAAATCAAATCGACTTGATGAAATCCAGGATCTCGTCTTTTTATCTTATCGTCTCGTCTTCTTGTTATTTTTTTACTCGTTTTCTCGGGTTCTCGTCTTTCGTCTTTTCGTCTTTTCGTCCTCATTTATCTTCTTGTGAGGGCACTTTTAAGCTTCCGTACTTTCGTCATGCGCATAGGTTCGAGTCCCGCTCTGAGCAGCAAAATGCGAAATTCATTGTCGCCGCTTTGTCTGTAAGAACGCACCTCTCCTCTTACCATTCTGTTCTTGATTTATGCTCGGGTTCAGGAAAACACTTCATTCCTTGGACTGAACGCTAATTGAAGGCCCCGTGTGTAGGAGAGTCACGCCCTATGTACGTTTCTACGCTACACTTCTTGCAATACAAGGAGTAGGGTGTAAACCCGGTGTTTATGCCTGTAATACGATAATCAACATAAAGATCTTCGTGATAGGCTTGCATAGCCCCTTCCTCTCTACCTTTTCACATTGATTCGGCTGTCTCTTGCTAATACTTATTCATAGACTTTGTTCTGACCTACTATGTGAAAATCTACTTTAGACTGAGATTACACCCAGCGTCGGGTTTAAGAATAAGGACCATAGATTTTTATCAGAATTAGTCTGAGTGATATTATGTTCTGATGATATCTTTCAAAAACGAAAAGGAAAAAAAAAAGGAAAAAAGAAAGAGAAGAGAAAAAAAGAAAGAAAGAATGAATGCATGATTTGTAATTCTCACGCATGAGCGAAAATATACAATGTTTAGACATTGGTATTTTCCCTTTACATTGTGATTACATTGACAGTGATGATCTCAATATTTCTTTCTCTTTTTGCATGGTCCAAGGTCATAATTTGCAATCGAGTGGAATAGTCTTGATATTCATTTATGAGCGAGCAAGAATTATATATTTTTTTAAAGTCCTGTTTTAAAGACTGAAAAAGCCTTTAATAAGTATAGGAATAAGTTATGGAAAAGGCAAAAGGGGGCACTTATCAGAAGGGAAAAGGAGCATGCCCTTATCAAAGTAAAGAGACAATAATTTTATCAGAGGTGAAAAGGGGCACTCACCCGAGGTAAAATGTGGAACTTACGATAATGGAAAAGGAGCATTTATAAAGGGAAAGGGGCGTTTGTCGAAGGGAAATGGGCACCTATCAGATTTTAATAGGAGTATATATCTGAGGTTAAAAGGCAAATTTGTGGGAGGGGAAGGGGCTTTAAGATGAAAGGGGAAAGGGCAGTTATACGAAGAAATAAGGGCGCATATAAGAGATGAAAGGGGCATTTATGAGAAGGGGAAGTGCCAATTCTTTCAAAAGAAATGGGCACTTGTTAAATAAACATTGGCACCTCTCAGATTTGAATAGGGGCAATTACTAAAGGTAAAGAGGCACTTATCATAATGTGGTAAGGGAAACTTATAATAATATAGAACTGGCGCCTATTGGAAAGAAAAGGGCACGTTCCCTTCTGAAAGGGGGCACTTTTGGAGTACTTTTAAAACTAGTGAACGTTGTACGCCCCACTCCCGGAGCATCGACTCTGTTTGCAATGATGAATATCTCTGTATTGACAATGACAGCGCCATCATTTCGTCACACAAAAGCAATTTGTTTACATGCAGCGCCGACATTCTGCCACACAAAGGCATTTTGTTTACATTGTAAATAAAATGGGTCAAAGATGGAGCTAAGTTCTGGTATTCCATTATACATTGTGAAAGAAACTGTCTGGATACGTTGATTATATAGTAAATAGAAATCCGTGTATACTGTGAGGTTTTGGTATCATCAAATAATAAGACACTGACTTTTGTCTCTGGACACAGACGTGCGTAATTATGGGACAACACCCGAATGTTTGGTCCAAACTTTTAAGCTTTTTCCCATTATATCTCAAATATGAGAACATTTGAAGAGCAATCCCTTTTCAAGGAGCATTGATTTCTGTTTTGATATTCTTCCAAACTGACATAAAGAGAATGAGGAAACTCACAAATTATGTTTTCACTTTCACCAGAACTCAACCTACTCTATAGTGAGGTAGGACACATTTTTTAATAAAAAAATTAAAGTCCTTTCCCATTTAAAAATTTGCTGGTGAGGGTAATATCCAATATACCTTTTTCCCAATAGAACTTCCATTTTAGGGATGTACCGCTATTACTTTATTAGGACTCCTTGAATAGCTACATTGCTAATGTTTTGTGAACATCCTCTGTTTTTTTACAGAAAAGATGGCGAAAAGGTGTCTGGGGTCCCAGATCTTCGAGAGAGCAGAACAAGGAGATAAGGAAGAGCTTCTTGTTCTTGTACGATCTCACTCACAAAGTGAAGTTCACCAAGCTTTGAGATGGCGGAGGAAATGGCGAGCATTGGCTCGCTACCGTGATCCCGACGGCAGAAACGCCCTTTCCGTTGCTGCAGCAAACGGCCACACAGATGTCATCAAGGCTCTTTTAGGCTTCAACGCTCTCGAGATCGAACATGCTGAATGTCTTGGAAGCGCACAAGCTGGCAGTTGTGTAGTTGGTTCCCTCTTTTATGCTTTCAAGAACGTACAGTGGGAAACAGCCCGAGTTTTGATGGCGGCGAGAGCAGATCCTTCCAGGGATCTGTTGCTTCATGCCCTGGTGACCTGGTCATCGATTCGATCCCGCAGGATCGATGCCTTCATGGCGCTACTGGAAGGCAAGATTGATTTTGATCAGAAGGACGAGAATGGCCAGACGGCACTTATGATCGCCTGCGAGCAAGGGAACCGTACCATGGTTCATCTTTTGCTTAAGTATGGCGCTGACCCGAATGTGCAGGATTTAGATGGAAACACGGCCCTGCAATTGATCCCGCCAGTGAAGATCAAAGAACTCAGTAAAGTCTTGTGTGAACAAGGAGCCCGGCTTATTCGAAATCAAGCTGGGGTTCTTCTTGTTACATCAGCCACTGCATGAGGGATAACTGTTAACTCGAGGTTGTGCGTTACTGCGTTGAACATAGCGATAACTATCGTGGCCAGTTAAACATTATGACCCTGTTGTATGGGCATACCATGTACAAAGGACTATTAAATAAAATACTATTGGTTTATCATATTCTGCAGATTTACGACGTTATTAGTGAAAGATATAAAATTACTCATTGATCAATCATTTGTTTTAATAAAGAAAATGAATTAAAGATAATGATTATTAGCTGTCAGTAGATATTTTGTAAATACATAGTCTTTTCGTTGTAAAGTATACACGTCGTATGCTTTGAATGTATAATGCTTGACGAATAAGTAAAGTATAAATATGATCAGTATATTCTCAGCCGATTTCTTGTATAATTATTACTTTGAAAATAATAATTTATCATTATTATTATTATTATTATCATCATCATCATCATCATCATCATCATCATCATCATCATTCCTATTTTATTACAATTATTATTATTAAAATCATTATCAATATCATTACTATCATAATTAAATACCATCAGTAGTACGTATAGTAGAAGAATTAGAAGTAGTAGTAGTAGTAGTAGTGTCATAATCATCATCATTATCATTACAATAGATATCAACATATGAAGTGGTTTCAAATCAAGATTTTGAATAGAACTTAATGTAATGAAGGATACTTTGTTAAGATTTGGTATAGTGGCTGATAAGAAGACAGTGTACTTTTTGTAATAGCAATGACGAAACTATCATACAAGTTTTTTTTTACTTTGGTAACTATTCTAAGAAGTATGGTCGAAATTTAAGTTCTGGATATTTCGTAATACGGGGGAAAGGTTCATACTTACAAATCAAAATAAATTGTTTGGATTTTTGCGGTAGGAATAATAATGCATTCACTGTATTCTGATGGTTGTATAAGACAAGAAATATTTCCAGCCATATTACGAAATCAGCTACCTTCATTTAATATGATTTTATAAACTGTAAAACGTTATTATGCAATGGAAAAATATATATACCAAACCAATCTCAGAGAGAATAAATTTAAAGAGAATATTTTGAGAGTGTTGAAAATGTGCCATTTTTTCGAAAATATTAGAAACTTTACAATAATATTGTATCAATACTGTATTTCTTCGCAATTACGCAATAGGCAAACTCTTTCCTCGGTTTGAAAAGTGAGAAGTAGTAAAAGAATCCTGAGTGAGAAGATGGAAATAAAACTATGGCACATGCCTCTATTTGGCTATTTTGCAGCTGGCTGATTTTTTAAAGCGCGTTTTAAGGTTTACAGTAAACATCAATATTTTCTATTTATATGTATCCTCAATAGTTTTAAACATATACATTTCAGCTTTTTAGCTTCAGGATGTGCATCATTTTACTCTATGTTTTTTTAAATAAAACCTTGAATTGAATTGAATAGAATCGAATATTGACATTTTCTTTCATTACAATCCCTCAAAATGCACACTATAAAGTCAACAAGAACAGACCGTAATTCGACACATTAAGCATAATTAACACAAACCAATGCCTGAACCCAGGCGCGTACACAGGGGGGGGGGGGGGGGGGGGGTGGGGGGTTAAACCCCCCCCTTTGGTAATTTTTTGTGTGTAAACCCCCCCCCCTAAATTTCTCTTAAAAAAAACCCTTTTGTGTCCTCTTACCCCCCCCCCCCCCCCCCCGCTTATTCAGCGGTCGGCTAAGTCGTAGCGATTTTTTTTGGGACCAAAAAAAGAAAGAAGTGACCTCTTACCCCCCCCCCCCCCGCTTATTCAGCGGCTGGCTGAGTCGTTGCGAAATTTTCGGCCCGATTTATAAATGTTAACCCCCCCCCCCCCCCTTGAAAAAATCCTGCGTACGCGCCTGCCTGAACCTAAATGAGAGGAAAAGCTTTTCAGTACAGGGCCTTTGCGGTGCATTCTATATATGCAGCCTTACAATACAGACCCTTTTTACTATAAGGGCTTGTGTCTGTAAACTACTATACATACTCAGCGATGATAACGTGAAGTCGTGAACTATAACATAAGTTGTAGGGATAACAAGGCTATCAACAAAATAATGACGCAGTTGAGAATGGCAGCACCAGAATAATTTGTAAAATAACATTTAATGAAGCTCTTATGTTTTATTATATCCTAAAATCCGATTGGTAATGACAATTAAATAAGTAAAAAAAAAAAGGGAGAAATAAATTATGGATTAAACTACATTTTTCGGCATTCCATTCGCAAACTAAATTGAGGGTAGTATCATAATTATGGACCATATAGTTTGCAGGCACAAACCAGTGTCAGTCGTTGTGTAACTGTGTTTGCAAAATAAGACAGTGTGTCCCGCACAAGACACCAACAAGACACAACCAGATCCTGACAGGGTTCTAGGACAACTACCCCAGGACAACCACCCTCCAGGTCAACTAGCCCCGGACAACTTACCCCCGGATAACTACTCCATAGGAAAACTATCCCCGGGCAACTACCCCGGTACCCCCCCCCCCCCCCAGACAATTACCCGCCAGACAAGTACGGAGTTAAGTCTTTTGTCAACTCTGTTTGATAGATAACAAATATATATATATATACAGGAAACATCGAAACATCGTTCTGATGTTTCAAACATTCAATACATTTTATTATTTCTCTTGAAAAGCAAGTTGATTTGAAACAAAAATAATACAACGAGCAAATGATTTACTAAATGGCATGTGCTACGACATTTTCCCCTAATTTGTTTCTTCTTTCATTTCTGTGAGATGGTTAAATTGTATTTTTTTGTTTTTTTTGTTCACACAATGTATTTTGTTATAAAGGAGGCGCGATAGCTCAGTATAGAGCAGTGGTCTCGTAATTCGGCGACCAGAGTTCGAAACCAAGTCGATGCGCTATTTGTAAGGCATTAATCCTCTTTACAATATCCCTCGGAGAGGACCTAAAGCCGTCGGTCCTCTAGTAGCTTACCAACAAGCATTTATGTTTTCTTAGCAGTCAGGTAAAATAACCGTCAACCAACCAACATACCCCGAAGTGAGGGGATAAATCAAGATACTTCTTTTGGGAGGTAAAAACTAAAAATATAACGACAACGAAATTGATATAGATTACTTTTTTAAATTTAGATATACTATTAGTCCACAGAAACCTTGATTTGGTTGGTTTCGAGTCATGTTTTCACGGTAGTTAATATTGATTGTAAAGATACCATGAATGGTAAGTTTTATGCATCGGGGCTTTATCTAAAAACCATTCCATAAAAGACAGGCAAAGAAAACGAAAGGGCGAAGAGAGGACTGTAGTCATCCTTTTTTGTTTACCACTGTCTTTAAAAACCAATAATAATAATACCTATAATAGTTTATTTTCTGTAGGAAATTGAAACATTAAATGTCAATTACAAAATGCCCAAAATAATCTTGTTTTTTATAAATAGCTCCCCCAAAACAGTTTTAAATTCTGACCAAACGTTTTTTAGGGGTTACAAATTATTATTATTTTTTTTTTCTTCAATGATATTTTATTTTCTCCATTGCTTTTCACAAACAATAACAAAATAACAATAACAAACAATAACAAAATCAATACATAAAATAATCTGCATGTTAATATTATTATATAGAATATGATTTTACCTCCATCTAAGAATACAAATGAACTTTTACTATTTACATCAAATAAAGCATGAAACATGCATGCATGAAGAAGGCATGAACATAAAAAGACATTAAAAACCCACACACATACACACACAGGGGCGTAGACAACGGGGGGGGGGGGATGAGGGGGATGCATCCCCCCACCTCACAAGGTGGGGGGGATGGCATGTACAATCATCCCCCCCCCCCAGGTTTTGGGGAATGATATTTGCTTACTTAATAAGTCATAATGATGATAATAATAGTAATAATAATAATGATAACAATTATAATATTAATAATAATAATAATTATGATGATGATAATAATAATCCTCATCATTATTGTAATTGTGTCTATTGTTATTAGCCGCATTCACACGGTGAAAGCCAATTCAGACGGTAAAAAAAAAGAAAATCTTACAAGTATTTTGTGGTTATCTTGGGTTTGGAAACCACAAGATAACCACAAGATTAAACAGGCGCGGATCAACGGGGGGGGGGGGGGTAGGGGGTTTAAACCCCCCCCCCTTGGGCGGCCAAAAAAACTAACAACAAAAAAAGGGGAAAAAAAGAAGAAAAAAAAAGAAAAAAAGAAAGAAAAAAGAACGCACGCTGGAGAGAAACCCTTTCAAGTGCAAATATTGTGAGAAGATATTCAACTCATCTGGTAACTTAACCAAACACATGATAACTCTGGATATAACTGTGTATTTAACTGTTACTTGATTTAAAAAGACGTTATCATGCACTGCTTTTTATGGTCTCCATTGTGTTAATAGATGCCAGGAAAACATCACTTACGGGATTCAAATAAACACCCCCAAAAAATCGGTTCGCCGCTTCGCGGCTCGTGGACGATGCTCCGCATCGTCATTATTGGTCAACCCCCCCCTTAGCAAAAAGCTAGATCCGCCCCTGAGTCATCCCCCCAGGTGTACGAACCTGTCTACGCCACTGTACACACACACACACGTAAACACACACCAAAAAAAAAAAAACACCCACTGAAAACATGCCTACATTTGTGAGAATCTCGACCATTATATCAGCCATGTCCATTTCATTGCTTTTATTCGCCTTCCTTATTTTATTTATTCTGCACGAAGCTATTCTAAATTTTCCCACTTTCTAAAATGATATGTGACTGTACGTCGGTCCCCAGCTAATTTCTTCTCCTCCTTTCTATTTTCTAATAATCTTTTCTTAATCTCCAAATAAGTTGGTGGGTTTTGTCTATTTTTACTATCTATAAATATCATATATTTTATCAAAATTATGATATGATTTAATAACTGTTCCTTCCCTATGTTTAACTCAACTATCCCTACATGGATACCATTCCAATTTACATTAGTAATCTCTTCTAAATTAAATAAATTCCCACACTCTTCACAAATTGGTTTTATTTTCTCACAAAGACAAAATAATTGCTCGTAGTTTCTTCATATTTATCACAAAAAGAACATAAATTACTATTAACCGTTTTAAATGTATATAAATGTAATTTAGTATATATAATATTATAAAGCATTTTAAATCGAAATTTTCTAAGCTTACTATTCAATGTGTATTTTCTAAGTCTTAAAAATATTAATTGTATATCTTTTCCATGAATATTATAAGTCTGTTCTAAATTTCGTTCTGCATATAATTTTTCTACTCTCTTATTTAATAAAAAAAGCGTATATAATTTTTGACGTTATTTGATCTAACATAAAATATATACCTTTTCAAACATAATAATATCCATATCTAATTCCCTATCTTAATTTGAGTGAGTATTTTTATTTTAAAATTGTTTCCATTATTGTGAGATTTCATTATTTCGAGCTCAACAAAAGATGGCGCTAGAGCACAATCGTAATTTTTGAAAAGCTAGGGGCGCTTTTTTGTGCCTTCGAAAAGATGTCTGATAATGAGTTGAGGGCTATCCGTCTAGTGCGCATCAGGACGAAACAATCGTGAAAATTTGGCATCGAATATCTCTTAAACCGCATGACATTTTACATCATCGTCTTCTGGAATATATCAAGCAGAGTTTGGACTATCATACTGCGGATTTTTACCACGCGCTTTGGCCGTATAGATGGTTTAAATCAAGCAAGCCATTGTTCGTGCGTCTTTGTTCGGACAGATATTCTCGAAAAGCCTTGGCTCTGTGATGTATGCGCACTCTAGCTAGGCTGTGTGTTCAACGGGACATCATCATAACCGTGTCTTCTGCGCACCCCGCCTACAACACTGTGTAGAATGGAGCGTGCGTATAACCGGCTAGGCGAATGCAGCTAGGACAGGTCAGTAACGTGATTAATTAGCTTTCGATTTGTACCTTGTTTAGTCTGGATGGAGTTTATTTTCCTACCAAGTAAATGTTTAAACCAAACCTCTCGGGAAAACGTTATTGTTTGAACGGATGGAAATTGCTATTTGTAGAAATGTACATTTTTACGGGGCGTGCACGGGTTTTCACACTGCGTTCGTCATGTTGGGCCTATTAAGGACATGAATATTCATGAGTCACCGAACCATTTGAACTAGCGCGGCTAGCTTGCTGGGGAAAAGATCATGAGAAGCCGGATGTCGCCTTTGTCATGGTTGTGGTTCTGTATATTAATGCTAATTCTATGTTTGAAAGTCCAATGAAGGATTTTCTCCCATTTTAAATTGTAACTAGCATAAAGCCATAGGCCTAATATGATAATGTACATCATGTAGCCAAGGCAAAGGCAATGGCTACGTACACAATATAGCGAGTAGACTGTCTACTAATTTATTTTGCATGATGAGACTATGTTTATAAAATGCACTTATTGCGATCGAGCGGATCGACTGTCATAGCCTTGATGTTACTCTTTAGCTTCACTCTTGTGCTCCTGTGACCAGTTTAATTATATGTCTTTGCGGCCCATAGCATCCTGAGCATAGGATCGCTGATCTCCGAAATATCGGATGGAGAATAAGATGATGATGATGAAATAATCTAAATATCATAGTGTCTGTGTGTAACTGTATAGTAGTAGGTCTACGTGTAGTTATATACAAAGTTTGGGTATGGGGTCACAAATTTGGTTCAAGAAGCATATATAGCGATCCTACAATATTCATTGATCGTTGTCGTGATTGATATCGAGTCTAAAGTAAAGACAAGTGATGAAATTGTGAATAATACAAACAAAATCAACACCCAAAATATTGAGGAATATTATAAGCAATTCTTTTCTCATTATACCTTGAAAGACCAATTTAAAGGTACTACGGTACATGTATGTCCCTTTTGCATGCAACATCAAATTCTGTAGAAATTTGCAGATATTATGAATATGTCATGTACATGTATGTCCTTTCAGTGAAATTTAAACACTAGCAGTGTCCTATTATTCAAGTTATGCAATGGAAACTGTTTACTTTCTAGACACTATTGAATGACTGACTGACTTTTTTTTCTTTTCTTTGGTAATAACCTACATAACATGAAAAAGGTACATGAGCATTTGTTTACATCAATAACTACATTCTTGTAATAGCCAAAATTAAACTGATTGAATCTTTGCGCAGCACAAAAGTATGAACATGCTGTACATGTACAAGGGTCTGAAAATCAGACTATTACTAAAATGATTGCAATCACTAAAGTCGATTCAACAACTACAGTGTAATGCTCATTATTTTCCCACAAAAACACATTTTCAAGCCCTTTCGTTTTTGAGGGAAGTTCTAAGATCTCTGGATAACTTTTTTTTCTTCTCTTCAAGATATTGTGGAAGAATTTGATGTATATTAATTTGTGTCATTTAACTTTTTTTGTCACTTTTCATTTCTCTCCATCTTATCCTTCTACTTTTCTTTTTCTTATTTTCTCTTTTTTGTCTTTCTCAATCTGTCTTCCAAACACTGCAGGTCTATTGAAAGGCAATAAAGCATGACCTTCTTGTGATCCAAGTGTGTCTACTGTGCAATAGCTTCAACTCACTCAAATTTACCTTACGCTAATATGCCAAAGTGAGCTTTCATGAGACCATTGCTGCTAAAGCCCAGGACAATGCCAGCCCTAAATTTTGATGTAAAGACGTTCTGTCACAATCTTCGGGCAACCAAGCCTCCATATGAATGCCCAGTGAATGATTGTGGCAAAGTCTACAAGTCCCTGAATGGAATAGAATTTCACCTATTTCACTATGACCATGATAATCCGAATGGTAATGGCTATGCAACACCTGTTAAGAAAGGTGGATGGAGGAAGTCACGAGTGAATAACAGGCCAAACCAGCGTGCTTCTTCACCCCAGTTAATTCGTTCCCCAGCTAGAGAGGGCCTCACCTATGCCCAGGCTCAGCGACTTGTGAGGTAGACCTGGATGGACAGACAATGAGGCTTGATATTTATGAAAACATTGATGTGATGACGGAGGATGAGTTTGAGAGTGAGACAAGTGAGGAGGAGAAGAATGAGAAGCCACCAGCAAGTAAAGGAAACAAAACTGTGGACCAGGCACAAAAGCCTCAAAAAGAGAAGCCAGTTGGTGGTGCTTCTCTTAAATTACCTGAGGCATCTTTTACAGTATTGACTGATTATGAAGAGCCCCCAGATATCCCAAACAGACCAAATTCTTACTTCAGGTACATTGAAAAGACGGTGGAGGAACTGGATGACGATGTCGAATATGACATGGATGAAGAGGACTATGTATGGCTGGACGTGATCAATAAAAAGCGACAGACTACAAACATGAACCCAGTAGGGCAAGAGATCTTTGAGTTGTTGATGGACAGACTGGAGAAAGAGTCTCATTTTCAGAGTCAATCTTCTGGGAAACCAGACAATCAGCAGTTCATCGATGAAGATGCAGTTTGCTGCATATGCAACGATGGGGAGTGCCAAAACAGTAATGTTATATTATTCTGTGACATGTGTAATCTTGCTGTGCATCAAGAATGCTATGGGGTGCCCTACATTCCAGAGGGACAGTGGTTGTGCCGTCGCTGTCTCCAGTCGCCCTCCAGAGCAGTTGACTGTGCCCTTTGTCCTAACAAGGGTGGGGCCTTCAAACAGACTGATGATGGGAGGTGGGCTCATGTCATGTGCGCACTGTGGATCCCAGAAGTAGGTTTTGCCAACACAGTATTCCTAGAGCCGATAGACAGTATAGCTCACATTCCTCCGGCTAGATGGAAATTGACGTGCTACATCTGCAAGCAGCGAGGTGTTGGGGCTTGCATTCAGTGTCACAAAACAAACTGCTACACAGCTTTCCATGTCACCTGTGCCCAACAGGCTACTCTGTTCATGAAAATGGAACCCATTCGAGAAACAGGTATCAATGGTACATCCATTAGCATCAGAAAGACTGCATTCTGTGACATTCACACTCCAGCTGAAGCGGAGAAGAAACCCATTATGAAGAATGACAAGGTGATTGAGATGGATGCTGCTGAGAAAGGCTGGTCAGCCAAGAAGGCTAAGGCAATATCCAGGAAAAACATGAGAAAGGCACGTAAGATATTGGCAGAGAAGAGAGCGGCGATGCCAGTGGTCTCCATTCCATGCATTCCACAACAAAGGTAAGTGCAAGCTACATGTAGTATATTTTATTGAGTGGTTGGAGAATCTTTATTTGTATTTTTCAAAAATTAAACAAAGTTTTCCAGCATAATACAGTAACACTATCTGGATCTACATTTTGGGGTGCAAATCTGTTCTGGGTACCTGTTAGTTTCAAGCCCTGCATCAAGAAAAAGAAAATGTATGAGTAAACAAATTCTAAGTTTGTATCTGTATGAATCTGTATCAAAGTCCAATGGTAGTGCACATGTAGCTTAAAACGAACTGGGGTACATATTATTTTGATGTTTTTGTGTGATCTTAGATGGACTGAATTTTATGCCTTTTCAAGTTTTCATTATGTGTATTAATCAATCTATTTGTATATATTCATTAAAAAACATGTAACCTATCAGGATATCCAAGATACTGAAAAAGGTAACTCTGCAGAAGAAACAGCACTTTATGCAAAGACTTGTCAGCTATTGGACACTCAAACGACAGTCTCGGCATGGGGTGCCTCTACTGAGGCGGTTGCAAGCACACCACCAATCGCAGCGCAACAAGGATTCGGTTAGTGTAAGCATTGTCACCAGTTCCACGTATAGTATTGCACTTTCCTTTTCCTTCATTTGTAGTTTATTTAGTAGAGAAGTAGAATTCCTTTTCTGTGGTATACATGTAAATGTATAATGGTTGCATGGTTACATATTTTCCCCACCTTTTATTTTGTGGTAGACAACTACATGTAGACATGGTTATTTATATTATATTGACTGGGCTTGAGGGGTATATCAGATATATTGACCAAGCTAAGATCATATTGCCCCGAGTCGAAGACGAGGGCAATATGGTCTTAGCGCGGTCAATATTTCTGATGTACCTGGAAAGAAGCCCTGTCAATATAATTATTATTACCTAAACAAGGCATTTTTAAGCAAATTATTGATAGGGGCCTATACAACTTTGGTATCAATCTTGATTTTTACTCCCGTCTGTTTGCCGGTCTATCTGGTTTCAGGTTATTAAGGCAGGTATGTAATTGTGACGTAACAATGATTGTTACTGTGTGTAATTGAAACGTAACAATGATTGTTACCGCGCGTATACTTTAATGCCTACACAATACTGCGCGTAAAGCGCACTTACAAGACAGAGTGGAATATGGCTCAATATTGCCCTCTGATTTAGTACAGTGGTCTACGGGGCAATTCCGGAAGAGGGCAATATGGCAAATATTCACCGTTCCAGTTTCATATTCGGAGCAGCGTGCAAAATACGACTTTATATTTAGCAGCTAAAATGCCTTGTATAGGTAATAATACATAATATCTTGTATAGGCGGCACATGTTTCCTTGATGCATCAGTGCATACTGCATAGACATTATTATCTTAGCAATACATGTAGATCTTCTTGTCCTTAGTACTCTATAGTCCTCTTTGTTTGTACATTACATTTTGCAAAATTTAAATGCAGTTTCTTTGCTCTTTTTTGCATTGCTAATGATACATTACATGTCTTTATTCTATGCATGAACAATTGACAGAATTAGAGCTTTGCACAAGTGCATGTACATCTTCATGATCTAAAAAAGAATAGATTTAAAGTAAATTAAGGTAATCTTCACTTTCACTTATATCAGATTTGGTAACTTAGAGGAGAAAAATTGCTTTTGGCTAATTTACACAAAATCGTTAAATCATGTTCCTTACATGTTTTTTTTGTTCCTCCCAAAAAATGTTTGTGTAATACTTGTTGACACCCCCACCATATCCTATGAATGAAGATTAAAAAATAGATTTGAATAATCTACAATGTAGACCTACTATTCATGATTACAATTAATACATGTAAGCACAATAGTGCAATACATATGCACATGAAGTTCAAGTTACCGGTAGAGAATACCGGTATATCACTTCTGAATGTGGTCTGTAAATGTCAGGAATTGTTAAGGCTTGTTCAGACATGGCACGTTCAACCGTCGCAAAAAAAAAAAAACAGCAGCATTTTTTTCACTGTGTAAATGAATGGCAACTGCTAGCAACAAAGGACTTGCGTTTATTCACTGAGCTCTATGTTATAAACGTTTTTGCCGTGCCATATCTGAACAAGCCTCTAGGAACCTAATCACTGCTCCGTTTGTTTTATTCATGTAAATTTATTCATTCAAATATATTTTTGCAGCGTGAGAGCCAGAAGGCAAACAGACTGAAAGAGCAGCTCAAGTACTGGCAGAGGTTACGACATGACTTAGAACGAGCAAGGCTGCTGGTAGAACTCATTCGCAAGAGAGAAAAGTTGAAGCGAGAACAGGTAAGTAAGGAGGTTATCCTCCCTCGTTTTTTGTAAAAAATTGTAATCATGATGGATTTTAAAAAATCATAAAGTGTAAACAGCTGATGTTCGATGAATTGTTTTAGTAGTTGAAACAGGATCTGTGTAAGGCATAACACAATAATTTGTTGCCTTTCTTTAAACTATGAGCCTAGCTAGAGCCCCTTATTTTAAGAGCTCCTTACAATGATGCATTCATATGGTTTCTATTTGTATATATTTGAGGTATTCATTCTTGATTATTTGACAGTGACAAAATAAAATTTGATTAATATTGTTTATATAACTGCACAATAATGGAACTTAAATATATGTCAAAGATGGGATATATTTCTAATTTCTGTAATTTTGTTATTTGATAAAAATATTTCCTGAATGAGAAGATGCTGAGCTAGGGTTAGTGTTCTGTTTCTAAATTAATTAGATATTAGTAGTCTATAATCCAATTTTATTTTCATTTTGACAGTGATGGAACTATTCATTTTGTAGTACTGTACATATTTGTTAACTTAATGATGATTGTTTTTCTCCCTCCCCCTCCTCTTCAGATGAAACTAAGCCAGAAGGCAACTGACATGCAGCTGCAGCCATTCAATATCTTGCTCCAGAGAACGCTAGCCAAACTAGAGGAGATGGATCCCTTGAACATCTTCTCTGAACCTGTGGCTGTTGACGAGGTAAAAATAATTGTATAGAACAGGGCACTGTCCTATTAAAAGTTGTGATTGATCCAAATCGACTCCAAGCCCTTGAATGAATCTCAAAGTTACAATCTCTTACATATAAAAATGTGTGTACGCAATGGTATTTTCTACCAATCTCAAGGCAAATTGTGATCAATTTGAATCAACTCTTTATAAGACAGGAGGACTGTACATTGTACACAAGATATGGAACAAAAACTTGTCTGGGTTGCTTTTAATGTTAAGTTAGTAAAACCAAATGGTATTCCTAAGTTAAATAGTGGTACATTTTTGTCTTTCCTTTGTCTTGTATGTCGGTCTTGGAAGTTATCAATGAAAGGAACAAGTTTTATTGTTAATAGGAACTTAATGACAGTTATGGTTTAAAAGAGACTCTTAGATGACATAATGTCATCAACTAACCAAAGAAGCAGCCCCTTGATTTGCAGACGTGCTACAGCAGATATGTATAAGAGGAGCATTGTGCCTTTGTATGTTATTCATGAACATCAGATCTTAGATAATTTTTAAGGTATACAGCTACACTTATACTGTATTACCTATAAAAGAAGAAAGTGATAGAGTTAGTTCTGGTTCCTACTCAAATATGGCCTGTCCCTTAGACAAAAAAATTACTTTCTTTGTTTCTACAGGCTCCTGACTACTATGATGTCATCACGAAACCTATGGACTTCTCCACAATGAGTGACAAAGTAGAGGGCCACAAGTACCAGGGGCTGGATCAGATGGAAGAGGACTTCAACCAGATGATAGAGAACTGTATGAACTACAACAGTAAGGAAACCAAGTACTACAGGGCAGCTGTCAAGATCAGAGATCAGGTAATTAAAGACTGATCTAAAAACTTGCAACGTGATCATGACCATGTGAGAGGGAAGGGGTGGGTTAGGGTCAAATTGCTAATGTAGAAGCTGGAAAATTGGTGTGCTGGAAAGGTGCGTCTGTATCCTGGCAAAATTATTTGTTTAACAATGCCTATGAACATGATGCCAGTCAGAGCTATATTTTCAGACATTTTTCTTTTAATTTTGGGCATTCTAATAATCTCGCAGTAACATATATTTAGTATTTGTTGTAATGATTGTCAGTACATCATTATTATAGGAACAAGTGAACAACATATACATTTGAAATGTAGAGTTCAAACCTGGTATCGGTATACTGTGCATTTTCTAAGATGTGTCAATGTCAAAGGCTTTGTTAACCAATTTCCATTAATTGCTGGTATTTTCTGTTGTCAAAGATATTCCTAAGAATTGAAAAATAAACAAAATAAATAAATAAATGTCCTCATCAACCCTTAAAAATAGCTGCACTGTACTATAACATTTTAATTTCAGCTTTGACAAAGACCATGTTACTACTTTTGCATTATTCTTCATATCTTATGTTTCAGGGAGGTGCTGTACTTAGACATGCCAAGAGGCAATCAGAGAAAGCTGGCTATGACCCTGAAACAGGACTCCATCTAGAGAAGGCCCCCAAATATGAAGAAACACAAATTAAACTCGGAGACAGTAAGTCCTCAATAGATTGTTATATACTGTAGATTGATATTGAAATGGTCTTCTTTCAAGCTTCCATCGCCCATGTCATTCTTTGGTTCTGCTGGATCACATTTTCCCACTATTTTATTGAGGGGTGGAGATTGGGATTAGCCATTATCATGATTTGTTTTATTTTTATCTATTTTCAGAAGCAAGTAATAATTACAATCGCTGTTTATACTGAGATGTGTATCAGTCATTTGGGAGCAAACAAAAAAGATTGATGTATGGTTTAACCTAACTGTCTTTTTATTGGGGTTATGCTTCTTAGAAACTTAATGTCTTCCCATACAAGCAAATTCTTATTAGTATCATGGTCTTTTGGGTAATCAGAAGAGATTCAAATTATAAATCTTTCTACGTCTTTGGAAGTGTGCCTATTAAGTGGTCAGTTAGTATAGTCATAAGCAACACCAGCAAACACTTATCGTTGCATCTTATTTGGTAATGTTTCATTTGGTGCTTCTTTATGTTGTGCATGCTAGGATATGAGAAAAGTCCATTCTTATTCATGTAGAAAGTAATTAATTGTGTGTTACATATTAGAACAATGTGAGAAATCTGGAAAAGGGCAGACTGATAAGACAGAGGTACTGGTAGAAACAATGAATAACCATGGTCTGTCATCACCTTATAAAGCATATAGTCTGCATAATGGCTATTGTGATATTGTACTAAAGACTTATTGTCATGTATGATAATGATTACCGGTAATGAAAATGATTATTCTATGCCATCCTTTTCCAGTTGACTCAGTACTTCAAGCAGAGAACAGAGTAGACATGACGTTGGAAGACCAACTTCACGAACTCCTAGAGAAGCTGGATGCAACCTGCGGCATCAAGCACAGTGCTGCACGCTCCAAACGCTCCAAGCAGCTCAAACGAGAGATCAACATCATCAGACGGCGGCTGGCAATCCAAAAGGGCAAGGACAAACCCCACAATGGTGGAGATGCAAGTTCCCGGAACATTGAGTTGACCACTGAGGAGTCCTCGTCAAGTATGTACCCATTTTCCTCTTTTAATCCAATGTCTCCTCCAGCTATCTAATATTCACTGAGCTGTCAAGACTATTAGCAAATGACTAAATGAGTTCATGATTGGATGTTGTTCATGATCACACGTTGCTGTCACAGTGAGCATACATGAATGCATCTGTTTTAATGGATGAGCTACATATCCATCAACTAAAATTAAATAAGGGCATGCACAGTGTGACTGAACTACCACTTGCCTTGCACTTGGTATGAAAAACTTTTATTAACACATGTAAAAATTGTAATAGGGGAATGGCCCAGTGGTCTATTCTGAAGAATCTACCAGGGATTACATTTCTATTCTGTAATATACTTACTGTATGGGTTAAATGTCAGTTTGGCCTATGCAATGTGTCCAATTGGAATATGTTTTTTCTCCATTTTTTTCTTCTTCGTATTTTCCTCTTGTGTCATCTATAGAGTGAATGTTTAAAATAATGAAAGCAGTTAAAATACACATGCTAGGTCATAAGCCTTATGTTATACTCTGAAATGTATTGCTCTTATCCTAAGCCTTACCTGCCATTTGTATTCCAGGTGAATCAAGTGAAGTCACATCCCAGAGTGACTCTGTCCCACCAAAGCTTTCACCAGCCAGACCTCTACCTATAACCAGTCGAAGCAGGTCATCTCCCTCCAGACCCTCCCCTGGAAAAGCCATGGGTTCGCCAGGTAGAGGGCGTGGAAGGGGGAGGGGCCGTGGCCGATCTGTCCGAACTATGTCCGATCCTCAGCCTGGTGCTTCTGGGGATTCCATTCCCACCCTTTCAGCGAATGATACCGCAGAAACCCCAAAGACCAAGAGTCCAACACCGGCAGACAAGACTGCGTCACCTTCTGGTGTTGGTAGGAGAACATCAGTACTGTTCAGTAGTAAGGGAGGGAAGCAGGGCAGTCCTAGTCCAAGGAAGCCTGGTAGACCGCCAAAGCGATCACTGTCCGTGGATCAAGGGGGTTCACCCAATAAACCTGCACATCGGGTCAGCCAGAGCAGTAGCCTCCATGTAGAGACTGAATATGAGGGCAACTTACCAGCTCCCAATAATGACTCCGGTGCTAGCCCTCCCGCCAAGCGAGCCCGCAGTGTAAGCATGAGTACGATCGGACAGCGTAGCCCAAGCAGGAGGATGACTTCTCCATCAAAGGATCTTCCGAATGGTTTTGAGAGTGGTACTCAGAACAGTGGAACCCAAAACAGTGGAACCCAGAACAATGAAAGCTTTTCTAAGTACCGTTCAGGCCATGTGCGACCCAGAACCAGCTCAGAATCGGACAGCAGCAGTTCATCGACGAGCACTTCCAATGAATCGGTGTCTGAGATGAGCTCTTCAATGGAGAACGGAGGACCGGGTGGGCGTAGCCTGCTCCAGGCTAACAGGAACCCGTTCACAGATGACAGCAGTGGGGATACATCCTGTGGAGAGAGCACCAGTACTACCAGCAGACCCATCCCTACAGGTGCGGCTGGGCCTGTGCTCAGGGACAGGAGAGGTAGGGTGACTGTGCACACAACACTTTTATTATATACAGAATCCAAAAAGAAGAAAATTAAACCAAAAAAAACATGTCAACAAAGTTATGGGCTTATCAGCAGGGTTGCATTTTTTTTCAAACTTTATTTTGTTTTGTTTGTTTCTGTTAACCTTATCTAAGGAAATCTTGTTCTCTTCCTTCCTTTTTATGGAATTTCCTTCTTTAAAAAAAATAGTTCTTGCTTTCTTTCTGATTAGTTTGCTTTCTTATCTGTTCTTATTTCTTAAAAAATCAAAAAAATCTTTCACCTGTTCGTTCAAGCTTGACTTGTTTTGTCCTTTCCTCTAACTAGTATACATTCTTGTTCACATTTGTGATTCTTGCTTTTCATTTTGATTGGGCTTAAACAAAAATCTTGCAACCTGACAGCCATTTCTGTTTCACATGCAAAATTATCATAAAATTGATTTCATCATGGACATTCTTTTAAATGAAACAGTTTAGGAACTTGGAAAAAAAAGTGGCACTGTCTCCCTATCTCTTTGATGTTCACATTGAGACCAGGTGTATGTGTTGATATAATATGATGTTGATTGTTTTTTCTGTGTGTGTGAATTCACCATCCATCTGCATGTCTTTCTGTTGCATGATTATTAACACATCTGTTGTGCATGTCTAATTCTCATTTCTCATGGAAGGATCTATTCTATTTTCAATTCACCAACATTGGACAAACTAATGCTGTAACTTGTTTCAACATTCAAGTTAAAACATTTCAGAAAATAATTTTCTTTTTAGCTGTGATTGTAATATTTCTTCAAGTACATGTAGGACAATATCCTTTATACATTATTATGAAGAAAAAAAGGGGGGAAAAAATCACTACCAAACAAAGATAATAACAATACTTCTAACAACGATATTATATGTGCCAATATATATTTAATGTAATTAGATGATTACATTGATATATTTTGTAATGCACTTGTAATCATTTTGTGGTTTTCTAAGGAAGAAAATATAGCGGGGGGGGGGGGGGGGGGGGGGGAAGAAGTAAGTAATAGGTACATCAATACACATCACCTGACATCTGCCAAAACTGGTTATACATGTATCTATCTTAGACCATGACAAAATCATATTACCAAATCAAAGCACTGCTTTTTACACTTCAATGTACTCTCATACTGTATATACATGTATGTGTGTTAACTGTTGATCACTCAAAAAACCATCTGGCGTGATAGACATATGACTAGTATGTAGTTGTAGAATCGTGCACATATTATCACCCATTTTAATGGACAAACGTTCTAATTTCATGCATGAGAATTGTGGCTTGCAAACAAAAAGACAATCATTTTTTAGTGCATTGTTGATATCTTGATAGTTGTAGATGTATGTAGTCAGTAGCTGTTTGTCTATGTTTACTCTGTGGGTACCGTAAACAGTTTTTTGGGTTACCTTGTAGCCTAATCTTTTAAAGGTAATGTGTGTGGTTATCTGTGAAAAAATTCACAACATACTAATTTCTTAATGTGTGTCCTTGTGTTGTAAAACATTAATTTCTATGTTGATATTGAGGCAACAGACTTAATGAACCACTTATCTTAGATAAGTATACTCTACTTTAGTTTTACTTAAATAATGATTAACAGTTTTTTAACATAAAGTTGTTTGGCATCAGTCAAATAAAGAAACCGTTCATTTTATTTTTCATACCACACAATTATACTAATCCTATTTACAAGCCATCCCTTTCAACTGCAATTTATAAGCTTTCACTGCATAACAATCTTTGTTTTTATCCTATCCCATTCTCATGCTAACCATTTAACCCACTAACGCATTCCCCTTTTTGCAAATAAAACAACAACAAAGTCACAATGCTATGCACAAATTAGATATAAGAGAATGAAAATACTCCCCACCGCAAAATGATGGTAGTAACAAGGGACAGAAATAGGAGATGATATCTCTGAAGCTAGATAAAAATTCATATATCGTTCCCCACGTTGTGTGATACTTATGACCCCAGGCTGTCATTATGAACTCTTGTTACTTTGATTATTCAGAATGTAATTAGAACTGGTTGTCCAGAAATGAGAGATTTTATTCCTTTTGGGGGTGCAAAATATTAATTTTTGCTGATACAGTATACACCTTACATTGTTTGTGATATCTATTAAAATGTAAGAATCAGAATGTTTATGTCAACTAAACAAATTTGTTTGAATTTAGGAATACCATTTTGAACAACATTTTGCTATAAAAGGATTTGTGTTTAATACAACACTTCAAAAGTTGTAGGTTAGTTCAAACGTACCATTTCAGCTTGATGATGAGTCTAAAGACTAGCCCAATGGCCAGCCTGACAGATGAATGGAGTGATGTAAAACCATTCAAAAAAAAAAATATGACTTGGCACATACACATAAATTCGGAAAGTTCATATACATGTACAAATGTTAAAAAAAAAAAATACATAATTGGGAAGTAAATATTGAAAATGAAAACAAAAATGCTGTATTCATGATTTCAGCTAATTTGCTTAGATGAAATCTTGCTCTATAGTCAATACCTTATGAAAGTGCAATGATAACAGGTGCCGGACATTACTTTCAACAGGTTTTCTCACATGCAGAGCATCAACAAAATTGGCAATATTATGAAAGGCTTCTTACTGAAGTTTAGATGAAGATTTATATTTGCAAATATATAATATCAACTAGAAAGTGGGCAGAATTTTCAGAATACTGCCAGTGATGTACTATAAAAAAATATTCTCAACGAGCAACGGCCCATTACCAAATATGTACATGTACAAAACAGTTTAATGAAAAAAATGTATACAAACATAATGAAATGAATGAATCAAACAAAATTTAAGAAGATTTTGGATTCAATGTAATCAGAAAGCATAAGTCATTTTTTCATGAAGGGGTACTTGATTTCCTTGTAAAATAATGAAATTTGAGAGTCCATTAGTCTAATGACTATTCCAACTGCTGTTATACTTTATTGCAAATCCCACAAGTTGACCTTAATTTTATGCACACAAAATCTGTTTTCAACAACCATATATATAGTCCCATTGTAAGATTTTGATGTTAGCTACAATGTATGCCTTTTCATGTGTCGTGCGTTCTTCTAACAGTGTGTTTGAGAGCACTTTCATCCCATCACTTTAGATTTTAAACTAACAAGTTACACCTAAGTAAGTATGGGACTGGTTCATAGTTTATATCTAAAATCAAGCTGTCTGTCCTACATGTATGATCTGATTGTTTTTGATATAGATTGAAAACAAAAATAGATTGAAGATTTTCAATCTCTACTTCTCTTGCGAACATGTTGCAAATTGTCAAAATCAGCTACTGTTGAAGACTGGTAGTTGTATGATAATAACATATTATACTGGATACACATTGATTGTGCTATGAGTATACCTTTTCTGTAATGGGATATCTTTATATTTTTCATGATCCAGTTCTATTTCGTATTGCCAATTGTTACTGTGTTATGTAATTTATTTGTCCAGTTTTGCAGTTTAATTGTTTTTCTAAATTGCCCACACTGTAAGTGATTAAAACAAAAAACCTTACTTGAATTATAATATACTTTTGATATACTGATATCAGTCACAAAACACCCCTTGTCCCAAAGAAAAAGAAGGAAAAAAAAGAGAAATAAAAATCAGTCTTTATCTAAACGTTTAAGCATATTATTCCATTGCTAAAATAAAAGTTCAATGGGAGTTATTTGCAAGTTTCAAATATACCCAGTGTACCAGTGTACATGTGATGGCTCAGTGTTGAGTGTAAACATCATTTTTGCAATGTACTTGCTTTCAAACCTCTCAAATTTTCAAATCTCTAGTAAAGTAGTATACTGAACAGTGGAAATGATGTTGATCACTGGCATACTTATAGAATTCACATTTGCAAAAATATGACTAAGGTCTGCAACTGGACATACAGAATTCAATTGAGCCTTCTTTTCTTTTTTAAAATATTGGTTTATGGAATGTAAATTTCATTTAGTTGAAAGAATAAATCTTAACTGGACAAAACAATGCTTTAAGGACCAAATACCAATTTAAAAAAAATAAAATAGGACACTTAAGGAACCACCATCATAATTAACATAACTGATGTCTTGTTTGACTTGACCACTTAAAAAAAAAAAAATCCTAATACAAACTTGTATTCATTGTGCTTCATATTATGAAAATATTATCCTGCCGCAATGATTTGATCTGGCAAGTTTTCGCTATAGGATTTGTTTCAAGGTAGTGCCTGTAGTTTGCTTATTACTCTTTAAACCAACTTGACTTGTGTAGTAATTCATTGCATTCCTATTTTATATACAAGCATTTATTAGCTTATCTAATATTGGGGAAGAGGGGCTACTACTTACCAGTATTCACACAGAGTATGCAAGTATTCAAGTATAGTTTACATGTAGGATATATTGAACATGATTTTGAAAATCTGCAGTGTTTGTGCTGCTAGTGGTTAGGGCACCTTTACGAGCATTTCAAGAGAGTAAAACAAATCTTAAGAGTACACACCTTTGTGGAGAATTGTAAGGCAGTAGAAAAACTCCCATAATGGAGTGAGTGATTACTTGGGGCACCCCTAACGTACCCACCCCCTGTGTGTCGTGCAGGCAAGCTGAGGAGCCACCTCTGGGGTTCGGACGAAGAGGAGATCCCACTCAATCCATTGGACATGGTCTGGGCCAAGTGCAGAGGCTACCCATCCTATCCCGCTCTGGTACGTACTCCACCTGTCATCATCACATTCCAAGATCTTCAACCGGGGGTGTCCAACCTATTCCCTTAACCACCCATAAGTGAGAAGAAATCTCAAGAACAGCAGCAGCTCCTCTCTCTATGTACCATATCTCTTTCTGTGCCAGGCTGGCCTGGACCATATCTGAGGCTGCAGCACAGTTTAGCTGTGGAGTAGAATTAGTGCTAACTAGCTGGCAGAACGTGGAGCTGGTGTAGTTCTCAAGCTGTGTTGTAGTGTGCATCTTCGGTTATTGCCATGTGCACCATCATTTGCTTTCGAGATGAGAGGATCGTGCTGCAACTGTGCACTCTCGAAGTCTGTGGCAAGTTGGGTGATAGGTTGGACACCCCCGATTCAAACACACAAGTCAGGGCAACTCTCAGTAAGATTCATGTAGATTTATAGCCGTATGAAGTTGCGAATTCAACATGTCACATCACAATCTACAGTAGACACCCACAGATAGCACATGCAATCATCGTCATCATTCAATATGTACACGTAGGAGTAGCAAAATGATGTAGTGCATCCATCTCACTGTAGAAGTGTAGAAGATTAGTGGTAGATTGATTTGATGATTTCATTCCTATACCATTGCTTTCATGCTTCACTGACCTTACCTTACCTCTCACGCTTCTTCCTTAACAAATATTAGCCAGATCAGAATCATCCCCTTCCATTCTTTTATTTATTTCTTTATTATTTATTCATTTATTGAAATACAAAAATTCAATACAAGATACTTGTATGACACTTATATATTGTGTAATGGGTAAACTGCTACATGTACATGTATTCAGGGCATCATTTTTTTTTTACAAATTTTGCAGCTTTCGTTCTGTGTGCCGCTTTTTAAAAGCTTTTCATCTACAATGGTTTATCAAAGGAGAGAAAGGAATACTAAACAAATTATCATATAAATAAAAAAGGTTAAATGTTCTTATTTTATTCTCATGAAATGTTTTCATTTTCTTATTACTTTTTGATGATTTTATTGATATGATTGTATTTTTTAAAATGATTGTTATTATGAGTATTATTATTGATCAATGATTTGACGCTAGTTGATATGTTTGTATGTGATATATTGGCATGTTTCTTTAACCCATCTGTAGTTGCATCGTAATGCTATTACCCGCTTACGACCAGGTTTTTTTTCCACATACAAGTAAGGACTTTAAGAAATGTCCAGGAAAGATCACTTTCTAAATACCATAGATATCAAAGCTGATAAACACAACCAATATAATCTGAATATTCTGCTATACAATGGTCACTTCTATGTGTTGGTACAATCACTACCTTAAATTCAATTCAGTTAGAGGAAGGAATAACAATTTTTTTTTTTACTGATATGGGAGCAAAAGAACATTTGGTAAAACATTATGCATATTCTAGGGTGCGATTATCTTTAGATAATCAGGGCTATGCTTCATGGCTAATAACAGCTCTCCATACTTTGTATCCTATTTGCTTTTCATGTGATAACATATTCTCAGCAGTTCTAGTTGCGTTTAGGAGAAAAAGAGTATACTTGATATCATATGGTCACTTTTGAACAAAGTTACCTGAGTTAGAGTCTTGTGTGTCACATAGATATCACCTTTCTGTTGCACACAGTGAAATATGTTATAATGTTGTAGCACATCTCGAGACCCTCACTCCATCACTGTTCCAAATGTGGCATGATATTTTAGATATTAGGTATTCAGTTAATCATTCAATGTTACCCACTTAATAGAAACAACACAATTGAATTTACTGGTATGTTATCTCGCTGGTTGGTATATTTCATAGGATAAATACTTAAATCAAGAGTATAGAGAAAATAGTTGAGAGGATGACATCATTGTGTTATTTTGTGAGTATAGTCAGAATGGACCTCTTTAAGTGGCATATTCCCCAAACAAATCTGGTTCCTCAAGGAAAGAAGTTTCAGGATGTTTAGCAAATGCTTTAAATGGCACAATGCCACACTCTCAGTGGTAGAAGAACTGTTGGGTAAAATACTGAAGTATCTGTTGTAAACTGCTGTTTTCTGACAAACATAATGTTTTTTGGGATCGTCAGATGTGTTTTAAGACTTTGCTCACACAAGGTAACCACTGATATTAAGTGGACTGTTCATTTGAGCATTATGCATCATGTAACAATCATATACTCTCCATCCACCTGTGTCTAACTCTTGGTTTACCCATTTGTTTACTTTGACTGTGCGTAGATTATCGACCCCAAGATGCCACGGTCTGGAACGTTCCACAACGGCGTGCCCATCCCAGTGCCCACCACGGAGGTGCTCAACCAACGTCTCAACTTGGATGACCTGCTCTATCTTGTTCTCTTTTTTGATAACAAACGCACATGGTGAGTTGGTTGAAGAGGCCTCTTCTCTTTGCTTCTCGCTTATTTGTCAGATCAGAGTTGCCTGAAAATTCTATCAAATTTTGTTCAAGGAGTGCGAATTTGATTACTGTGCCAGTATATTTTGATAATTTCATGTCAGGGTTTGTGGGAGGGGGAGGAGGAGGAAGGTACATGTAGGAGAAAGATAGGATAGAGGGTAGGGAAGGATGTGGGGGCTTGAGCCAACCAATTTTTCTTAGCTGCATGCTAAGGGTTGAATGATCTCATAGTTCAATTTTGGATGTGTATCTAAACAGGTTAGAATTATTTCTAATAAGTTATTCATGTTTTTCATAGGGTACATATCTGGAAATACATAGTAACAAACTTTATGTTTTTGTCGACCGTACCACTTTAATAATGTTCTATGGTGACCATGCAACTTCCAAACTATTCACAAGTTTTGAAGTATGCCATCAGCCCATCAAAGTTTCTAAATATCTGGGGTGATATTCTGAAAACAATGTCAACATTTGTGTAAGTGGGAGGTGAACAAATCTATTTCATTATGATGTGGTAGACTCCATGACTCCTATACAATGTCTAAATCCTTATCATCTTTTGATTTTTTTTTCTTCATATAGGCAATGGCTTCCCAGGACCAAATTGGAACCACTTGGTGTCGACTCTGGCTTGGACAACGTGAAGCTTATGGAGGGACGTAAGTCAACTGTCCGCAAGAACGTGCAGATTGCATACGATCGTGCCGTCCACCATCGACGCAGGGTGACAGGGGAGGGCACTGAACCGTTTACGAGCGATACAAGCGAGGCCCATGATACAGCATAGGACTTGCTCATATGATGGTTCTTTCTTGTTCTCTTTCTGTTCCTTGCACTTTTAGAATATTTTCTCTCTTTCTCTGTTCGTCTCCCCTTTTCTCTTTTGCTCACTTCATTTGTCCTTGTTTCAGTATCTCATCTTTTTGTTCACACCATTGTCAATGTCTCTACATGTTTCTCATGTTCTTTTCTACTGTCTGTTTCTGTCTCTTTCTCTCTAATATGCTATTTTCGTTATGTAACCAGATTTAATGCATACGTCTTTGTGAAGTGCCGCAATACAAATTATTTCATTCACCTGATAAGAATATTAGTATTTCAATAGACAGAATCCAAACTGTATACATAACTTGTTGCCAGGTAGGACAAACATTATGGCTAGACCTACCTAGCAACACTTGATATATGCAGTTTGCATTCTGACTATTGAAATGCTATTATTCTTATCAGGTGAATGAAGTAATTTGTATTGAGGCACTTCACAAAGACGTATGTATTAAATTTGGTTACATTATGAAAATGGCCTATTGTATCTCTCATTTATGAACTCTCTGTACATCATTCATTTTTGTTTTCTTCCTCTCTCTCTTGTTCTCATTCAATATCTATCTTGCACTTGTGTTCTATTTCTTTTTTGGAAAAAAATTATTGTCAGATGATGAAATATGAGTGGAATAACTTTATTGGTATATCATACAGAGACTAATAGGAAGACATGGTATAGTGTTTTACAACACACAGCACTTCTTCAACATGTTTCTGATTCATTATTTCCTTTGCAATGAATGTTATGTAAACCTAACGGTTCTTTTTTTAAGAGCAGGAATTTCTTTAGTAAGCACTTGAAGTTTGAAACACAGCATACATGGCGATCTGCATAGTTGCACTTCATGATATTTCGTATTGAAGTTGCAGATTTTCTTTCTGCTACTTATACTTGCGTGGTCTATTCCTGAAACAATATTTCAAACAGAACTTTAATCAAATTATAATATATGCAAGGCAGCTCCTTCATTTGTCAGTTGATTGTTCGATATAGGGTATGTATATGTTGAGCAATAGAATTTCATTCTATTGTAAAAGTGGTATGACAATAATTAGAAAAAATGTCAGTAATTCTTTAGGAACACATGCAGTGCACTGTTTCATTATGTCATTTCAACTTTGACACATTTCTCAAGAATATATGAAATATGAGGAGCCTCCTCATTATATGTGCAACAGTTTCTCAATTACTAATGTTTTCTTCAATACCCTTGATATTTAAACTTACTTTCTTATTCTCTTATCTCCATCTGATCTCCCACTTTCTCTGTTACCGTACTCAACTTGCAAAAGGTACTTTGTGTTTCGTTTTTGTTGATATATGTGTTTTCTAATTTTGTTATGTTGTGCAGAAAATGAGATGCTATATATTCATATAGACCTTGGTAGTCTGTAAATGTTGGCCCAAATAATAAATGAATTAAATTTGATAAATTTCTTAAAAATTAATTTCAGGTCATATTTATAAGTGTTAATTTAAAGTTCTTCGCTTTAAACTGTTTGCTTTAACTTTGGTTAGGTTTGTGTCTTGTCATTGTTGTGAACTGAATCTCTTTTTGATTGGTTTGGAGATAATAATTTCAACGAAAAGATGCTGGATTTTTAGTGATCTGTGTTCTAGTATTCTACTATCGAGTTTGTTTCAACATGTTTTCCATTGTATTTGCTAATTTTATTGATACAAAGGCTATTTATGTGGTAGATTTTCTCAGTTCGGATAATCAGATATGCTAGGAGTGTTGGTAGAGTATATACTATCAAATATCTATTCCAAATTCAAATCCTGGATTGACCTGTAAATAGGGTGAATATTACAGCAGTTGATATGCACTAGATAATAAAGAGGTTGATTGGGAAAAGAAGAATGGAAATGAATTGATTTAAATTATATACTCTGATTATTATTCTGAAAAGAGAATGACATTTTTGTAGGCTCTATATTCTTGGTTATTGATTGAATCGATTTGGAATAGATTTTAATATGAATGTATATAGTGTAAACTAGCAATCAATTGTACATTTACATGTTCATATCTTCTAGTTTGCTAGGGCCAATTGATACGGAGGACTATTTAGATCTCTGTTGCCTTAATACAAAGAAAATACATCGTTTTATTTGTCCAGTTGCATGCAGAAAGAGTTTTGAAGTTTTCTTTTCTTAAGACTTGGAAATGTCGTATTGTAACTGTTTGTTTCCAATCAATAAATTGTTAGTAAAAATGCCAGATCATTGTATTAGAATTTTTGTTGTGTGGACTCTCCTTCAAAGCAATGAACTTTTATTCATCTACAGGGCTCTTAACAATAAAAAAGAAAAGTATGGATACTAATAGTTGTATAGAAAAATGTATCTCTTTTATTATTTTTTTAAATACAAAATGTCAGGAAAATGAGAAGCAGCAAAATGATCTATAAAATTCAGCCAGAATATAAAATATTTCTTTCATTCAAAGTACAAGAATAACATCAACATAAATACAGTGGAACCTCGTTAAAGAAATTTTGCTGGTCTCACTAATTTATTATGCATCATTACTATTTTCTTGTAGCCTTGATTTAACAAGGTTTAAGTATAAGAGGATTTGATAACATGACAAATTTCCTGTGTCTAAAGGAGTTTGTTATGAGGTTCTATAGCATTTTTCATTTAAATATGTTGGATGTATTCCAACATTAAATATCTAGCTTCTCTTACAATAGAAAACTGACAAGATATCATATAATATATTGTGTAATTTCTTGGCTGGCAAGTTATGGGACGAATTACCCGGATAAGGGTATAGCACCAATCAATATTTACTTCATTATTGCTTAATTAATCATTCACTTTAATACATCACATAACTATTACACATGTACAACAAAGGGTGGTCCACAAGGGGGTTTTAACATGTGACAGCGACGGGTTTAAATTATGAAATGATGGGTTTGAACACCAGTGGCGGAGTAACATCCATTTCCAAGTAACAATTATGAACTAGTCATTTATTTTTATTTGAAAAATGCTTCAAAATAAGCCTCGGATTGTATTGCAGAACAAGTACGAGTCTGAGGTGCAAGATACTTTATGTACATACTCCTTCCAACTTGCATTTTGACATGTTTGAAGGTTTGTGGACCACTCTGCAATACCTAAGTGTTGTACCTGCTTTGGATTTTCAGGGTATTGCTTAGGTATCTACAACTCTGAAATTTGAAACAAAACATTACTGAACCACACTCAGTAGCACCAATATACATAAAATTCAGAATATGATTTCGATACAAATTCTATAATTTCTAAGAAATGCAAATATTATAGCCAAAGATGATAGACTATGTATACAAAGAAGATCTGATACTTAACCAAAATTGCAAAAACGGGCAAAATTGTGGCATAAAATAACACAAATCTATATATCATATAAATATATACATATTTGACAGGTGGAATGTTTAAAAACATAATTCATACATTCATATTGTATGTAGTACTATCAATCACATTTCAAGATATACAGTACCTGTACAAAGAGAAATACATATCCTGTATATTCTTGCTTTTAGAAAACGATTGTCATAATTTCATACTGAACCATGATAACAGATAAATTTGGGAGACATAAATTTCACATTAATTTGCCATGCTAGAAATGAATAGACCTGACAAAAATCATACACTGATGATTTTAATCAGGCATTTTACATAAGATTGAGATATATATGTTATTAAAATTAAAATAAAAGTTTTGCATATTATGGAACTACCGGTATACAAAATATCCTTGTGCAGATAATAATTTTTCACAATTTTGCAGCAGATATGTAATGATATTTCTAAAATCTTAATTGTAGTATAAACAAAATAATGATACTTTAAGTACAAGTAATTGCACAAATGTTATACATGTATACGAGTACATGATTCTTCTTAGTTAATTATCAGTTCAATTGTATAATTACATCTTATTCTAATAAAAAATGATACATATTTGATACTTATTTTTAACATTGATAGTTTTTCACAGTGTAAGTCAAAGTTTTTTGCACAATTCACGTTACTGCCTTATATCTCTTTGTGACTTATTTACATTTTATATATGATTTCTGACTGATTGACACACTCTCTTATGACACCACACAATACCTATATATAGTATACCATCATGTTTTATACAGGTTGATTCAGTGTACAATTTTATTTACCAAATTCATAACGCTGTAACATTTTTTGTAAATCACTTATTCGAGAAGGTGAATCACATAATGTTCAATGTCAAGGATTTTTTATTACAAAATAAATAAATAATAATAATGCATCTACTGGGTACATGATCTCTAATCAGAATTCTAATTTTTACTGAAGATATATAGGGACCAAGGACAGGATCATACGACAGCAATGGAACCATTAGAAGGGTTAGAATGATAGAATCTGCCTATTCACAGACAGGATTGTACCTTCTTATACTTTCAACCACAAAATGTACTTTTGAACTGTCAAATTTTAGTTCAGAAATGTCTCTATCCCTGAGATATTCTTTAATTGTTACACTTTTGTCATCATAATTGTTAAAGATAGCTCCTGTAAACATGTTATTTACAGTGAACAAAAAAAATATGGGCAAGCAAAACTGATGTATTGTTAGGGATATCTTGCATAGACACTTGGCTGTATAAGTTGCATCAGGGTGCAACCAACAGAACAGTGCATATGAATGTTGCTTGCAAATTTTCATATACTTTGGCCACTATCCAAACCCCTATTTATTTGTAGAAGTTTCTCTCAATGAAAACAAATATTTTTTACAAAGTGAGGGAGTTTCAAGTCACAGAAGTTTTTAGATTTTCAATAATATGAATCGTCCAAATATTTTTTAAATTCCATCAGATGTTGAAGGTGATCCCTTTGACTGTGATGCTGACCAGGAATGTTGAAGTAAGTATCAATTTTCTCTTGGTCCAGCTTGTCAACCAGCAAACAGATTGGACTCACTGATCAGCAGCTCAACAATATCTTATACTTATGTCAAAGCTGAGCTGTAAGAGTTTGCACCTAAGTGCCAAATACCCTCAAGATGCTTTTGAGTTTCATATATTATGGCCACTTTCCCCAGCCTTTTGATTCTAATATTCAAATTGTGATAAACCTTCCTTGGTGAAACTTGAATGTCAATGTTTAACAATCATGCTTTTACATTAACCCCTTCTGAGCCATAGGTGACAGTCTTACCCAAGATATGGTGAGCTGGACTGCGTTTCATAAAACTTATCATCAATAAAACTGCAACATTTCTATAACAATTTTGCCAACAGCCAATCAAATGCAACTACTTCAGTTGCTTATAACAGCTATTGTAATTTGTTATTGATAACATATTTTATGAAACGGCACCCTGAACAATGTCTTTTGAATATAGAATATTTCAAATATTTAAACAAATCTTGAAAGTTCTTTTAAGGCAATTGCTCATAAGTGGGCATACACCACGTTACCAATGTTTGGATTATCTGGAGATTTTCACCGGCAGCTTGGGAGGAATCACTAGACTATGAGGCTGCACCAGGAATGTTGACATATGCATCGGTTTTCTCCTGGTCAGCTGGGTCTTCCGACTTGACCATCAGGATACCATCCAGATTGTCAACCAGCAAACAGAAGCTTGGACGATCGATGGGACTCACTGACCAACAACTCAACATCACCTCATACCTGGAGGGAAATCACATTGAAGAATAAATGATACATTTTTATCACATCAAACAGTGACCCAACCATATATAGTCTAATTACCAGGATCGCCCAAAGTGCCCAAAGTGCATTTCTTTGGAAAGATAATGTCATTTTCAACAGGGACAGTGTTAGAGGAGCAGTGGTAGGGGGGCAATGTTTATAGGGGCTGGATTTTGATAGCCTGTAAACAGTTTGACAAAACATAAAGGACATGCCTTTAGCATATTTGAAATTTGTATCTGTTTCTTCTTTTTCTTTTTAGAGACTTTGGAAACAATGATTCAGAAAAAAGTGGGAGCCATTTTAAACAATAGCATCTGAAAAGGTGCATTTTTTATGAAAAAGGTAATGCTGAACCAATATTTATAAATGGAGGACAGTTTGCTATTTTCTTGTTGAAAAGCAAAGATAAACTCTTATTCTTTGACAATGGGAGTGGCATTTCCTCCCTACTCCCTGAACCAATATATTTATCTACAAACATGGAGCTGTGATTCTTGTACTTACACATGGTCTGGACAATGCTCAGGCTGGGAAAGCCGTCGACCACCATGAAGAAATGTTAAGATGTCCACATTGTCCACAGAAGGGTATGGCACTATTCCTCGGGTGAGTAACTCCCACATCACCACACCAAATGACCACTGGAGTAAACAAGGATAACAATTTAGTGAAGTATAAATCTTGTATTTATGTAACATCGTTTGTTTGAAGCCACAATGGCATTGATCCATATTACTTTAACATGGAGTTAATACCCTTGTGACTCCAAACAGACGATATGTTAACTTGTCCGTTAACATTATTGTACATTGTCTATCACATATCTCATCATAAATAATGTGATGTATAAGCCCTGCATTATTATTAATAGAACATGGCCTGGGTTTTTTTTGTTTTTTTTGGTGGCATTTATACCAATATGTCTTATATTCTATTACTTCCTTTGTTAACAATCATGATAGTGATATTAAAACAAATGACTCCAGGGACACTGAAATACCCAAGAAATTTATGACACAGCATATTTCTTCATACTAGTAGCTGAAATACTGCAACATCATTCAAGATCGAAGATCCTGACATGTCAAACCCTTTCTGATCTGAGGTAAGCATGTAATTGTTTGCTGAAAATCTGCCAAATATTCTGATACTGCAGTATATTTCCTTATAAACTGTATGATTGTCAAATCATTATGTTTCAAAAGAATTATGTGAATATATAAATTTAATGTTATGTTACACAAATTCAGAATGAATGGAATTACATGAAGATCAGCATTCTAACTCTGTGATTCAATTGAAAAGATACATTGATCGATAGAGAGATAGATGACTACAGAGTAAACTATGCAGGTGGGATTTGGGATTAGTCAATGCAACTCTAATGATATGATCAAGTGAACAAGATTTGTATAGAGAGTACAGTAATAAAAATGGATTTGAGTGCCGCTAACTACTGCCACCCTTGTTATCCCTCATAACTTACCACATCTGTCCTGGTATTATATATGTTTCTCTCCAGACACTCCAAGGCCATCCATCTGACCGGCAGCTTGGCAGTCCTGTCCTTAGCGCTGTAGTATGACCTCTCATAGATGTCCCTGGACAGTCCAAAGTCCCCTACCTTGACCACCATGTCCTTGTCTAGCATGCAGTTACGTGCGGCCAGGTCGCGGTGGACGAACTTGAGACCCGCTAGGTACATCATGCCCTCTGCTATCTGGCGACAGAACTCCAGAAGCTGTCTTGCTGTAAGCTCCTATCATGTCAATACAATATCATATTGATGCATATAATTCATTTTCTTTACTGATATTTAATTTGATGGAGCAAATTTATTACATATATAGCACCATGCAGATATAATTTGCACAATTTACCTCTACAGATATAGAATATTTTCCACTAGCACTGCACATACAAGCTACTATGATTATGAGTAATATTCAAACTCAGATAAACAGAAGCTGGGCAATCAATGACTGTTTTTCAACTGTATGGATTCTAGCAAGACAGAACAGGCAAGCAACAGAAGAAACCATTTAGGCATGCCAACCCTAGTAATACAAAGATCCAACATATTGAAAAGACCAATGATGATTGGCCAGATGTGCCTCTACATTTTGACAAGTTGTCTCAGTGATCAGAAAACCCCCAGTGGTAGTGGTTTCTCATTAAAAAGAGTACGTCAATGCACGAAGCATTTACCACTTATAGATCCTCTTAGAAAAATGTTCCATATTTGATGTTATTTTAGTGATTGTACCTTTATATTTGCAGGGCAATTTTATCTTTGATGGGAGAATCAATGCCTAACTTGCTGCCAACTGTAACTGAATGTGGTTCTACATGGAGAGTGTCTTTTCTTTGACCAATGGAGGGTGATCACTTTAATAATAAACACAAACACAGTCCAATTACTGGTATACATGTAAGTGAGATCGATAGTAAGTATAGAATGACTTACATTGGATGGATCCCGCACAAACGTCAAGATGTCTCCATTCTTCATGAAGGGCAGGACGACATAAGGCATGTTGGTGTCACTGATGATACAGACACCAATCAGAGACAGCACGTTGCGATGTTTGAAGTCTTTCATCATGATCCCCTCACGAAGGAAGTTACTGATCTCGTTGAGGGTACCCTGGTGGAGGGACTTGACGGCAACCTGATGTTCTTCGCCGTCTTGATGGAGCTTACCGGCAAACACACATCCAAAATGACCTTTGGGGATACAAACATCAAAGACCAATTAAACTAAAACAAGAACATTCGCTAACCTATTTAACCTAGGGATCTTTAGAAAAGTTAATCAGTTAATACCAACAAAGAATGTTTCATCAATGTAGTTTGGAAACAGAGCTTCATAGCTAGTTTGTGGGAGTGTCGTGGTCGAGTGGTGTAAGGCGCTAATTGACTGGAGATGCGAAGGTTGAGGGTTCAAATCCTGACACAGCACTAATATCCTTTGGCAAGATATTAACCTACACTTGCTACTCTCCATCCAGTTGTTAAACTGGGTACCTGGTAGGATGTGACCGTCATTGTTGGTCAAACAGTTTTTTAGCGTCAAGTCACACCTGGCTGGAATGCTCCCCAAGGAGTGGAGATTGTGCACACTGTGTGTGCGGGCAAGCACTGAATCCAATGGCCGGGGTAATAGTATATCTGTAAAGCGCTTTTAGAGACGTCCGAGATGTATTAAGCGCTATATAAAAGCTGAATATTATTATATATTATTAGTTCTCATGGATATGCCAGCAAACATTTGTGGAAATTTTACTATGAACGGACTATCACTATGTACCATATACTGTAGCTCCAAAAGCAAATACTACCAAAACACATGCCAAATGCAACCAAATTGCTGACCCACTTATTTCTTTGATGACCGTATATTGTATCTTGCAGCTATTATCAAACATATACAATAACATATTTATTCATGCTCTAGCTTACATTTTTTGTTTTTCGAAGTACATCTCTAACCACCTCAATATTTGTTTCATTTTGTAATTATAAATTAAAAAATTGAAAAAATCTAATAAAGTTATACACAATAGCATATAATATAAGTTATTGATTGACCGACCTACCTTGGCCTAATACTTTGCCCACAGCAATCTTCTCCTCATGAATTAAGACCTGGCTGATCTCAGCGGCTAGCTCATTGTTAATCTGCTCTAGTAGAGGGGCATGCATGATTGGCATGGCTTCATTGGCTGGCATACCAGGGTTCGTCAAGTAGGCTGTGGGTCAACACAAATGGAGATAAGTCTTTGATAAGTCATTTAGATTATGATTCAATACATGCAAACACACAATGAAGATCATATTTAAATGTGCTCTCGTTGAGGGACATGCATGAGAGGCAGCATCGCTCCATTATTAGCCGGTGGATCAGGATTTGTCAAGTTCCCTGTGGGAAGGAAATGATAGATTTCTTTGATAATTCATGTGAATAATGAATACATAGCTTCCATCAAAAGGGGTTAATACTGAATTGTCTTTTGCCACACAGCTACAATGGTCTGGTGTTCCAAAGCTTTATAAATTTGCAAGTGTACTCTCAACTGAGGTGATTCCATTTACTTGGTACAAAATATAGTGGTGTTAATTATTAAACAAGCACAGGCAGGCATTCCATTTCACAGAACCTTTACTTTAAGGCCTGGTAATGACATCCATAAATGCAACATCTATTCCTTAATATGAACCTCATCACAGGGTATTTCCCATTTTTTGCAAAAATGTATTTTCTTACACAAGCACATTTATTGGTTTCCAATAACATCCATACAAGCTTTTCAAATATAATATTTATGTAGACCAGACAGAAGAGTACTAAAGCCATTATTCCTACTACTTACTGTTGATCCTATGTAGACCCTGGCCTTGCAAATGGACTTCCTCTGTGCCTGCCATATGATTGAAGCCTACATGAGTGTTATCAATGGGTAACCTCTCTCCTCTCTTTGACTTGTGGTACCTCTTGATGCCTATGACGACAATGAGGATGACGAGGGCCAGCAGAGTCAGGATACCGATGATGGTGAGGGCTATGGGTGTGTTACCTATGCCCTCTGGGCGTGGCACTTGGAGGAGTCCCACATTATGTGCCTGATTGTCTCCCATCGTCACCTTCAGGAAATTACATACAACAAAATTTTAACTGGTTGTTGTTGCTGCTTCTGGTTAAGTTGAATTACTTTTGAAAATTAGTGATTTTCATTTAGTAGCTATTAGATGTTTTGACTCAAAAGAATGCATTTCAGACTTTCATTTGTGAAGAGCAATACTGGTTGATAAAAGGACCAAAATATAAACACCTCAGTTAGGAAATGAAATTCTTGTTATGATGGATTTATGTATACAACTTTTTATCACATATATGATCGTCGCTATCCTCCTACTGAGAGATTACCCATAGAAAACTACATATGCACCTTAGATTATTTGCAAAATTTAGCAAAATGCAATCAATCCCATCCCCAATTTCATACCTATCTCAAGAAATATCGCTTCATAAATGTAACTTCTGCTACAACCTTTAAAACAATGCTCAACACTTAAAAATGAATTAGTTAAACACTTCACTATCTTTGGTCAAGCAATGGGACAAACAGGGACTGCCATGCAAGACGTTTATCACACATAAAGTGTACATGTGCAAAGTACTCCAAACTATGTGGCATTTCAGGGCTCTGATCTGTAACCAATAATAAAAGAGGTCAAAATCTCACCAAAGCATTGTAAAGGTTTAACCAAAGGGGAGAAAACAAGCTATACCTTGACTTCATATATTCCGGATCCGTTGCCTGATTGCTGAAGAGAAGAGGGGACCTGACATACGATGTAGGTTGATGCAAACTCTTGGATAGCACATGGCTGGGAACCAACTGTGACAGATATATCCTCTTTTCGGCTCACAAGGTCCAAATATTCACCCTTCAAAAGAGACCAATCCATAAGAGACCAGCATGAATACAGAATAATGACTAAATTAGCAATAATATGGGCTAACAGCAATTCTTCCTCGAGTACTGTATGGTCTCCATCGATTCAGTATATTTTATCTCCTGAGAAGCTACTGCAAAACTAGAAAAATTTGTGTATATATCTATATATGAAATGTTTGCAAATTTCACAGCTAGTTCAGATTTGTGAAAGTTTCAGGCCATAAAATAATTGAATGACGATTAACACAACACTAAATTTTTTGCAATTCATGAAAGTTCCTTGGTTTGAAGCTTGATCTTCTTTACAAGATGCAAGATCGGTTTCTGGTGTCACAGTACCATGGCTTATAGTGAAGAAAAAAATAAAATGTGATACTATATTGAGTTGGAACCTAATTCAATACAAGATTTCCAAGTAGCCTCAGTGTTTATTTCAAGCTAAGTAAAACATTACTGGGCATACAAGAGAAAAGTCTACCAGCACCATAAACATGTAGAACACATAGATGAAGAACACCATATAACTATAGCTATAGTTCCAGTGGAAAGAAAAAAATACTCACACGGATGAGAACAGTATTGGATGTTAGGTCTAGCAGGTATATATGATCCTCAAACTGCTCCAGGATAGGGTCGGGGTAGTACAGTATCTTCCACATTGGCAGTTCTATCTGTCCATCATAGGACATGGGCACCAGGATGTTCTTGTTGAACTTGATGGTGAGATTGGCGATGAATGGCTGGTCCGGGGTGGGGTTTAATTCTTCGTCACTCAAGTCTGGGGTAGTACAGGTTAGACTGTTCTCTAACGTACCACTTGGAATGGTATCGTCGGATGAGTGCCATGGCACAGTGCATCCCTGGAGGAAATGACGAAATGACAAGGTTTGGGGGCTAATCAAAGGAAAATAATGGCAATTTGTATACGTTTCTTCAGAATGAAGTTAAGTAAAAAATACTGATGATGACATTAAATAAAAGGAATATTGTTAGGAAGGAAGTAGAGTGCAATAAAGTTCCCATCAAAATGTGACAACCCATGGTTAAAAGTGATAATGAACGTGTTAGATGCACGTATGCGTAACTCTGGGACAAAATCAAGACAAATTAATGATACACACGTAGCTTAAATGGCAAGGACATTGATGTGCTCAATAGGATGTGCAGTACACTATTTGACTGCACTTATGTAATGTCAAAAAAAAATAGCGGCTTTCATGAAGGTGCACCTCTTGGCATGTTTTTATCAGGTTTGTTCCATATTGCTAGACTTTATTGCCGACCCATTTTATACAACAAATAATCAATATTTTGAAGCTGGTGCATTAGTAATATGCACCGCACTCTGTTAAGTCACATGATTGTGACTAATTAACCTGCATGCAGTGCATATTCACTCAAGCACTTGAAACATGGATTATTCTTCTACTTATACCAACCTGTGACTTTATCACCCTATGGCCAGAGTCAGTCAAGGCAGAAACCTCTAACTGAACATTCTGACCAAGATGAAGATTGAAGCCTGAGATCTGAAGATTGTTGCCTCCACTGGTCATCAGAATACACACACAGACAAATTACACAGGGCAGAGGTCAGGTGCAGGAGAGGAAGGTCAAGGGTCACATATTGGGAAGAAGGTGCGAAGCAGGAAGCAAGCGTTAAAAAACAAGATTGAGTGAGCCACATGCATATCAGAAAGGAAGGAAGGAGAGTATAACATTTGACATAAACGGATATAGGACACATAAATTAAGTAATGAGACTTTCAATACCACTATGAAAGTGCCTAGATTGACTTTAATCTGATCAATCACTATTTCATGTATTAAGACAAAAGTACAAACACAATAAAGTACATGTATGATATAAACATGAGGCCACGAAATGGCAAGAGGGATATCTATTAGTGGTTCATGGTTTACAAACAGCCACTTGAAAACTACCGGTATGCCAAAGTCTGGAATATATGACACAAAAGTTATCTGTTTTTATATTTTTTTTAAATGTTGCAAGAAACTCTTCCTTACATGTACCTTAATCTGCTGAAGGTTTGTTCATTCATTTTGTTGTTCAAATGTATAATACTTTAGTAAGAATCCTGTATTTCTGTATCCCTATACAATTATACTTATTAAAACAATTGGAAAAAGACCACTTCTTGTAACAAATTTAGAAGAAGGTCCAAACAAAAAATGAGCCTTCAGCAAATCAAGAGAAGTAAAGAGACATTGAACAGGGTGGATACATAACTTACATAAAACACGGATTAGATAAAAAAAAAAAAAAACACCTACACACATAGAAAGCATAGAAGGGAGAAGCCCATGTACATAAATGGTGTAAACAGTGGTCATGAAGCCAAACCACTTCTAAGAATGGTTAAGCACTTCCTGTCCTGTAGTCACATGATCTGTGTATCTGTGCTGTTATGTCATATAAATCGGAGTACTAAATTACCATATATGGTCAAATGAAAGTAAATCATCTACCTAATGCCAGACACTTTGAATTTAACCAAATTCTAGCATTTTTGCCAATATGCCTGAAGACCAATGCACACATGAGTTGGTAAGACTGCTTTAAAAAAAAAAAGTTGCTGAGACAAGATAAAATGAGATACCGCTTTCCACATTTCTGTATCTTATAAACTCATGTACAGCTCTGGGAATGGATATAGAAACATGTGCAGCTATAATACCCCTCATAGAGGAATAACAGTAGATAGATAAATGGAGAAAAAATTGAAATAGTACCTCTTGCCATTCAGTTACATGTAAGTTTAGCTGAGGCACTTTTTTTGCTTTGTTTAGTTTATTTTTTGCTCGTTATTTCATTTGTCAAAAAGCAGCATTGAGAGTCATTTCTGAACAAGGCTTCACAGTCAAATGGTCAGCTTGTCCTTGTCCTAGAGATGGACAGAATTGCTTCTTCTTCCTAAAAGATAGTCAATCAGCATACATCCTGTCTAGTCCAAGATGGTCATTTTATTAATGGTTGACCAGAGTATAACCCTTTTTATATCAAACAGTCAGGTGAAAATAATATCCTCTTCCTACTGGTCAGTCAGAGCACCTTCTACAGGTTAAGATGGTCAAGCTCACCTTTTTCTTCGAAATAGTGGTTACGGTACTAATTATTAGTTTTCACCCAATATGCAATATCTTCAGATCGTATAGTGAAAATTATGTTATCTTTATTGAATGTTACTTTGAGTATGTACATTGTCATGAGATATAAATAGGAATTTGTAATTGGTTGTCTGAAAAAAGCTCGTTGCGTACACATACATGTATAGCTTAGAGGGACAACTGTGTTTAGCACCGATGAGAAGTGTCTATTCTGCATAATTTCCTATTTGTATGGCTATTAACATACTTTCCACTCAACATAAAAGATAACATCGTTTCAGAATACGGCCCTGACCACCACAAGAGCTACTGTATATATGTATGATGACCGAAAAAGCATGACGCAGCCTGAACAAATTAGTGAACAAAGCTGCTATAGATACACATATTTAACAGCATACAATATGAGAATACTACAGACATGTGAAGTCATCCTACCTTAGGTAGCTCTTTGTAGGGGAGAAGTGTGTGATGTATGGATTCTCAGCGTAAGTGAACTCCAATGTGCTGTTGAGTTGAAGGCTGTCTAGGTTCAGAATAACTGGCCCTGATGTCAGTTCACTGGAGTTTCTCGTTACACAATGAATCTTTGTAGGAGTGACACTGGTTATTACAGAGACAAAAGAATATGCAGTTTAATGAATCAAAACACACAGGATTTACATGTACCGGTAAGTGTTTTTTCTTAGAACAGCTATATATCATGTTATGTTTGTCCTATGAAACTGCCAGCCAATCTTTAAGAACTTTTAAAAAATATATTCCATGTTATTGTCGATATATTACGAAACTAATACACTACTGGGGGAGGTCACATCTAAAGTTGGAAATTCCTTTATTTAGAAATTTAATTTTAGGATCTTAATAATGATCATGGGACTGGTGCCCAATGACTGAGAGTATTTGCTTTGTATATTTGGGGTTCCATGCCCCTATAACAGTAATGTTAATATCAGCTTTAAATCCAACTTCTGTATTACAGAGATAAAAGAGATACATGAATGCATTGCCAGTATAGTGATAAAGTGTAGTGGTACACTCGGCTCTGTCTCTTCCTAGAAACTGACTACCATATGATGGACACCTGTTCAAAACTGAATGACATCTACCCAATAGTGATGTTCAGATTCTGTACTCAGACGTAAATAGTCACATCTGATTGATACAAATCTTTATAAACCCAATTAAACAATAAACGTATGTAGAGCTGAGTATAAGTGAACCTTGCTATGATTTTTTCCTTCTTTTTACTCCATTATCCTATTAGGGCCATAGTATACCTGTGTATGTGACAAGGCACACCAGCAACTGTTACTTCTGGATTGTTTCCGGCATGAAGGCCCTCACCAAAGAGAGTGATCATAGTTCTGCCAAACATTGGTCCAACAAGAGGGCTGAAGTGGGTGAAAGCAGGTTCCTGACAAGACAAGTTAGTGAGTAATTCATATTAACAAGGCCATTTGCTCAGAATGGTTGAAATTGTTGTTTAAGTGGTTGTGAAAAAATTTCCTCAGCATACGAATCACCCTCATCCTCTTCAACCATTAATACTTGTTGCCCTTCATTTTTATCCATATTTACAGCAGCTTCATAATTATCATCCCCATTGTCTTCATCATCCTCATACATTATCAATACCCACAGTAACCCCCCCCCCTCTCTCTTCTTCTCCTTCTCCTCCTCCTCCTCCTCCCCCTCCCCTCCCCTCCCCCCCCCCCCCCCTCCCTCTCCCCTCCCCTACTCCTCCCCTCCCCCCTCCTCCTCCTCCTCCTCCTCTTCCTCCTCCTCCTCTTCCTCCTCCTCCTCCTCCTCCTCCTCCTCCTCCTCCTCCTCCTCCTCCTCCCCCTCACCATCATAATCATCATTTGCATCCTTTCATTCTCCTCCTCCTCCTCCTCCTCCTCCTCCTCACCATCATAATCATCATTTGCATCCTTTCATTCTCCTCTTCCTCCTCCTCCTCCTCCTCCTCCTCCTCACCATCATAATCATCATTTGCATCCTTTCATTCTCCTCCTCCTCCTCCTCCTCCTCACCATCATAATCATCATTTGCATCCTTTCATTCTCACCAAAGTCCTCATCAACATAGCACCTACCACATATGAGAAGATATATCTTGGCTCTGAAGACGTGAATCCTCCTATAGCAAAAGTGAGGCTGGGATCATCCACTTCTACTTCGATTGTCACTGGACCCGACACAGGCTCTTCAACAGATGGGGTTACGCAAACAATACTGTGAGAAAAAATATCATATTCAACATATACATTAACATAAAATAGGTCACCCAAAAGATAGAGATTCATTGCTTTTCAAATACTGTAACCCCAAATACAATATCAATTTTCTGAAATGCTATACAATATGTCATGTACCCGGCAGAAGGGTGAGAACGGATGTTAGGAAAACAGGATAGATTCTACATAGTATATTTTGAGAAAACACATTCCAATATTTTTACTGTTCTTTGATTTCATCTACGCAACACAATTCAATCTGTACAACATAACAAAGGATTTGTATTTATGCCTTTCTGCCAGGCACACAAAAAATGTAGTATCTTTCTATTCATTTATCTATTTATTGATCTATTTATTTATCTTCATTCTATTCTAACACAGCAGCTCTAGCAGTAGCAAAATTTCTTCAGAGAGGTCGTGAACGAATTAAAGATTACAAAAACAAAGTACAAATGCAAAGGTTTTTATTCTAGTTTTACATGGAAATTTTCAAAGTTAGTACATTTTCATGAACTCACTGGGTAATATTGCTTGAACTCAAGTCAACATGACAGGGTTGACCTGCTATAATCACTTCAAGGGTTGAGTTAGCATTCACTGCTGCATCAGCCACAAGACTATCACCAATGATGTTCACTGTAGTATCGCCCTGAAGTGGACCAAACACTGGCGAGACCTTCAAAATAAGGCAAGATCAATGTATGACTTAGTTACATCCTACAGAGCATGTTAAGAGAGTTCAGAAATTGTATTAAAAAACAACTAATTTTTTTGGGGAAAAGTATTACTGATTTATACATTAAACAATATTCGTCTTGACCATCCCATTTAGATTTATGCTTTATTTCAATCAATGCTAATTTTTCTCATATCATTTCTCTAATCATTTATATACTAGAATCCCCCCCCCCCCCTCCAGAAACAACAACACCAATATTACAAATATAAGAAATATTATAATTACTGCCATCTGCAATTCCATCACATCCATTTGATTTTAAATAAAACCTTGGGAAGTCTTGTAATATCATCTCTAAATAAAGTACCAAATTTCTTTCATTTCTTATACGTTCAATAAGATTTGAATGAAGGTGGCAGTATACGGAGGTTCATACACTTGACTTATGGTCAAGAGGTTGAGGGACCAAATCAAAGCAAGGCACAAATGTCCATTGGCAATGGCAAGACATCAATCTACATTTGCCACTCTCCACCCAGGTGTGAGAGGGATTGATATGCTTGAGTGCTCTGAGTGGTACTAGATACATTTCGCCGTTTGTTCGGCTGAATTAAGAGGATAACAGTATTGGAGCACTAGGAGTGTCAGCAGTACCACACTTGCTTCTGTGACAATTTCTCCTCAGTAATTTCCTACACTATAACCAAATACTTAACTTCAACCATGGACCCAACACTATACCATACCCTAACCCTAAGCCTAAACTAAACCTAACGCCAAATTACCATCCTAACCCTATAATTTTGACCCCAAACAAGAGAATCCCGAAACAGTGGTCGCCAGAGCAAATATCAGAGCACTGGAGTGCAACAATGTGCCGAAATGCATGAGTCATCCAAAGAGCCACTATATTATGAATATTATCAATCTATCTCTAAGGAAGGCAGGCTTACCTCATAGATAGCTGGTGAACAAGCATCGGTCACCCAGTCAGGATCATCTTCCGAATCGACTTCCGTTTCCGGTATCTCACCAGATGGACCGTCGGCACCATCACATTCCTCCTCCGTGGTGCACACCCCTCCGCACCACCCGCAGCCGTTGGGGTCACGAGAGGTCACGCAGGCGGAGCAGTGGATGTAGTGCTCACAAGTCTTCAAGGCTATCTTATACACCTGAAAAAAATATATCAAGTAGAGCCCATATATATACCCTTGTCTTTAAAATGAATGGTGATATTTCATGACAGGTATGTATGTGCTATTTACTTACCATTTTTGTTGTAATCCCCTACCCCATAACATTTCCTTTATTTTGTCATGTAATTCCCATTACCAATTTTTGCAATATGCTTGTTTATCTTCTGAAACATGAAGTTAATAGCTTCTAAGCTTACATATTTCAAAATTAACTATATGTCCTGCAAGAGTAAAAAGGAAACTTTAATAAGAATTGTATTTTTCATGACTTTTATTTTATTTCATATTTTTATTTTATCTAATTTTCTGGGACTAATACATACATACAAGTATTAACACTTTATTCACAAGGTTGGGGTTAGTACCATAATAAGATAACATACTCTCTTCTTAATTTGAACTTCCAATCTTGACACATAGCACGTACGTCACAAAGAACTGTCATCTCAAAACTACAATCATGTGGTATATGTGGTAAATGAACAGGGCTCAAGATATATTTACTTACTTTGTATGGAGTCATAACATAGATATGTTCCTGCTCCGAATCCAGAGGCATATCTCTTAATACAGGCCCTTCTGTATCTAGCTTGAGGTCCTTATAAGGCTTCAGAGGGTAGTCTCGTCGCACAAAGTCAACGGAGAGAGGGTCAATCACAAACTGGGTCGATATGGAATTGGAAAAAAGAAAGACGGCTGTGAAGTACCTGTATATAATATTTTTTGATGCAAGACAAAGTGCAGTATATATTGCAAGAAGAAATATATTCTTTGACTTCTTATTATTAATGCACAAATTCCCCAGACCTCATTTTGTATCCCCCCCCCCCTCTGCATTTTCTTTCATTCTATTTTTATTATTAAATTGTTGTGTTCCTTTTCAAGTATGTTGATTGCCGCTATGTATTTATTCTTCTGTATGCATGTGTTATACATGTACATTAAGCAAATTGTCATTGATATAGACAATAAATACATAGAATTGACAAAGATGTATATATATAAAGGCTGAACACTCAAAAATAAGACTGTGTAACAATCATAATCTTCTTGCAAGATATTCATTACTTCTTACTGACTTTAACTGCTATTGAAAAGCCTGTCAACTTAATTATCTGACCATGATTTTTTCATTTCCTGATGCTTAATACTGGTTGCATAGATCTGTATGCCATATGCGTAAGCTTTTTGTGAGGAAATGAAAACGAAAATAAGAGAGGAAAAAACAGATAAAATTAATATCATATTTATTTGCCTTTTCATACTGGTATGATATCAATATTGTGTCAAATCACTCAAAACTTTATTCAGATGAATGAGTTTTTTAGAGGCATGACAAATTGATTTTGTCAGTTCTTTTGATACTCTACATTCAATACAGGAGGATATTAATGTTCTCTTCAAATGCTTGTTTAGGGTACTGGTTTTACTCATTGGTTAATTGGTGTCTTATCAAATTGACCTACAAGTAGCATCTAAATCCTTTTGAGTCACTTCCTTATGTCAGCATACATTGTGTATCCTTGAAGAAAATTGCGAAATCAGAGCCCCCAAATTAAGCACATTTGTTATCAGTTAACTTCTTGACATACAAACAAGAAATACAAGCCATGAAGCAGCATTATATGGGAAGTATGACAACCAGTACATTATACTGGTAGTACGAGGAAATACCTGAAACCTGATATCTCCATCACACACTTCCTGTGCAGGGATAACCTATTAAAAGCAATTGACCCTTTCAAATAGCCCTATAATGACCACATATGGCAAAACCAGACTCTAAATTTTATTACTCCACCCCTGAAATGAATAAGTGTTCGGATAGAGAGAGAAGACAGGAAGACACTGGGACAGAAGCGGAAACTGAAGCATTGTTTAACAACCTGTCAATTCGCAAGTCAGGAAACTTTTGTATACAAGCATTTTATTAATGCCCCAAACAATCACAGCTCTCTCTATTCAGCTAGCTTAATATATTTCTTGTCTTCCAATCATTAAAATATATACAATTTACTTTTCTCTGGTGACTCTGGTTTCACGCTCTGCTTTCCCCTTTATGTTATAATGTGCTTCTGAAACCAGTTTATGTGAATACAAATATTATTACACAAAAGAAGAAAAAAATCTAATCTTTACAAAATCAAAATAAATTACATTTATAAAGCACTTAATAAAATGTTTTTAAGTGCTTAACAAAACTAATAGCAGCAATAATAATACATAATTCTAATAATAACAATTGTAGATAATTAGCAACTAACTTTAAACAAAACTACCCTATAAAATACTATTAAACAAAAAGTACTTTCCTTGAAAGACTCTACAGATGGGGATTGACAGATACTAATTGATAAACTATTCCATAATTTAGGGGCTGCAACAGCAAAAGCATGATCATCTTACAAGGTACTGGTTTCGGGGACCAGGGGCATATTGGAAAATGGAAATTAGCATGTGTAGTTGACCATAATGAACGTGATGGAACAATAGGCATGAGAAGGTCGTTTAAATATATGTTCTGAATACGTTGATGTGGAGAAATGGTGGAATTTGGTAAGCTAAAGTACGATCGTTACAATAATCTAAATAAGAAGTCACAAAAGTGTGGATCAATTGTTTTGTAGACTGTCAGTTCAAATATTTTTGAAGTTTAATAATCCTGGAGAAAACACTTCATTCATGTTGCTTATCTGCGATTGCAATCCATAGCATAAACTCTGCCTTATTTTCATCAACTTTATTCATTCAAAGAAGCATGTATGTTTGTAGGGGTTAATTTTCATGGGCCATTGTAAAGAGGCTTTGAAAAGAATTCATGGGCAGACAATATAATATAGCCTTGATTTGGCACTCTGTTAGATATTGACAATAAAAAGTCATCAGAAAGATGGAAACAATGAACAGAAAATCAATATCAATTGTTGTACCTGGCATATGAGAAACAATAAGAGGACATATATACCAAGACTCATCCTAAGTTCCCTTACCTACCAGAACTGAAGATTAATTATCTTGAGCACTTTTGTCTCTCATTTGCCACAAAACAATATATAGGCACTAAATGATGGAAGGATTGCAGGTCTTGATGAGCTCACTGACAACCCTTTGAACACTGGAATAGATTATTTCTTTTATTTCTTTATTTCAACTTGTGGGATGGATCACCCTTAATTAATAGATTAATCTCGATTCTTGAAGCCTTTGGTATATCTATCCCATAATAAATACAATGTGGCACAGGGAAATTTGTGTGGCATATAGTAGAAGTTAAATCAGTCACTCAGTCTCAATTACCTTATGTATGCGCCCGGACTTGGTGCCCATGACCGCTACTGTATCTCTGCCCATGGTAAGAGTTGATAACGAGGTATAGTGACGGCCATGTCCGCCTCCAGTAAGGTAATCATATGCGTTTACTGTGGTTTGCGCTTGAATGGGATGCAGATCGCCAGTCCCGCAGAAAGAGTCGTCAACATTACGATACTAGGAAGAAAAAGAATGAAAATGAACATAAAGATGAGCTCTATAGTAGTGCCCCTCCCTGTTTTTTTCTTATGCTATCTTCATCTATCCATCCCTCTATCTGCTAATAAAACTGTCATTTCTATCTCCTTTATAACTTTATAACTTGAAGAAAAAAAGAATTGTTCAGACATTCTATTCATATTTTTTTGGCTATATCTTGCGCAATTTCATTATTTATTCAACAATAAATTTTTGCTACTGCAGTTGCTCTGCAAATGTACTTCTACTTCTACTTCTGCATTGATTCTTGTACGACCATTTGGTATCTTGTCTTTCCAAGTATTACATCTGGTGTAAGATGAACATCCCAGCATCTTTTTATTTTTCAAGAAAATACTTGATCATTTCCTGTATCACATAAATATTAAGCATGACTGAACGCATAATAAAACATGTACTTACTGTTGAATAGCTGCATAACAGATTGTCTGAAAACTGGCTTAGACCCTGGGAGCCGTATCCAAAAAAGCAATTTTGTACTCCGTCTCTGACTTTCTTGGTTATCTTCTTCAAAGTGAAAATGCACATGGCCATATTGCTGGTTGGTTGATCGGGTGCATCTGGGGAGCTCTCTGCAAACAGACCAAACAAGGCCATGTCCCCAACCTTCATGTTAAGGTCCCTGGCTAGCTCTACACCAGCAGAGCTAACATGCGCTGCCTGCAGCAGGTTGTAGGTGCGACCACTGGCGTAGCTCCTGCACTTCAGTGGTACCTCGGTGTAGGAATAGTAAGCTGGAATACAGAATGGAAGGGAATTATGGAAAGTATTACCAATGCCAGGCAGTGGTAGCTTCAGGATTGTTGAAAATTATACAGCATTTTTTGTTCGTGATCTCAAAATGATACCAATTCTAATGGAGGGGGGGGGGGGGGAGCAATGGGTTGTGCACCTTTTAAATCCAGCACTGTGTCAACGAACCTGACTTAGATATGGACATATAGGCTTTTGATGATTAATAGATATTTGCCACAGATGACTTAATGACTTGATTTAAACCCCCCAACAAATAGCAAACATAATATATACCTACCACTGTCTTTGTTGCAGATTCTAACAAGCCGAGAATGATAATTCTCTGAGTCAACGTCTTCTTTCTGAACGGTGGTTAAGTAGCTGAAGCCCTCAAACGTGAATCCATTAATGTACTTAATCGGGTAGTTATGAGCATGCTCCTCTCTTACATCAATGTATGTGTAACGCCCAAATCTCAACTCTTGATAGGCCAAGTCGAAAGTCCAGCGACTGTTTCTTTGAAGGAGAAGCTTGGTAGAAACAGCATGTTGGCGGATTAGTGTGTCGTTGAAGAGAGGGTTGAAGCTTGCCCCAACGAACAGAGCAGTACCCATGGCTTGTTGCCCATCTGTGTTGACAGTGGACGGTCCGTAGAAAGCGACCACAGAGTCACCAATTCCCAGGGAGGCTTCTTCGTGATGGACAAGATCATGCACACGAGATTGGACAGTCGTGATGGAGTTAAGATGGTGGAGCACACAGGTTCCGTTGAACGCGCTGCCACAGGCGATCAAGAAGTCATTGTCCTCGTCGATCAAGAGCACTTTATTCTCATTTTCCCCCCATTCTGGAGGGAGGATGCATCCAGAGTCTCCGGAGGAACAGAAGTTGGTGATGTCTGCCGTGAGTGAGCTCTGCTCATCTACTAACGACAGGTTAGAGGTCAGGTGGTAGATGAAATTGATTCCTCCCAGATAAAGATCACCGGTCTCCTTGTTCACGATCATATGCTGAAGTGGTAGATTGGCCTCAAATGATGTGTGATATTGTTGATGCTGATTTGACATGTTGTAAATCTGACAGCGGAGAAGAAAGCGGCATAAAGCAAGCAGAGGACTCGCAGGTGAGATCTAAAAGCTGCCATCGTGATTTAGCATTAGAGAAGCAGATGATCAATCCTCATATGCTAATGCTTGCCCTGAAAGATTTTTAATAAAAAAGGGTAAAATGACTTTAGTAGCCAAACAAAAAAGACTTACCCTAACCGAGTTTGTAGGTCACCCTTAACAGAGTGGATATGAAATATAGAGCTCTCTCTATACAGTAATAAAAGCTCCTAGAAACCTTTTATAGCATTACTTTTGTTTGAGATATATTTTCCTGATCTTGCAAAGCCCTGTTTTTCAATAGACAAAAGCATCAATGACAGAATGGTTCCTTTTTAAAACAATAGTATTGATACCAGCTGTTGTTCAACAGACCTGTTTCAGCTGTTTAAGTTTCCCCTTTCACAAACCTTGGCAACTAGGAAGCAGTTATTTGTATAACGCTATAAACAAGTGACCTATAATTATGATTTTAGTACATAATTGCCGATCAGAATTCAGAATATAAATGTATACCCTGCATGTGTAGTAGATTCAGTAACTGAAAGGAAAAGTTAGAAAGGTATAGAGAAAGACACCATCCTCTCTTCCAAATGGTCCCTAAATTGTAAAAGAGATATCATACCAATCTATAAATACAAAATAAGAGCACCAATGAGCACACAAACACAGTAATACTTTACCTCTAAACTGTGGATGACTTCGATAAAGAAATAATTCTCTAGTTTTCACTTTACCAAGATCGAAAGAAAATCAAAAGACTGATAGTGATATCCACAACTTTGGCAATACTCCACCCACTGGTTTTGCTTACGTCACCAGCTCCCAAAGAGATATCGTGCAAGTGATCACTTCAGAACCAAAGGATGTACGAACGTTATGTGACATTAAGGTCTAGCAAAATGTACATCGATCTCTCTCTCTCCGTCAGTCACACAAACACACACACAAGCGCATACACCACACACACGCACGTTGTACTGTCTATCTCTTATGGTTCCTTTCCCTCTCTTGTGATGATCCTTCCTGAAATAAATGCCAGGAAGGATTTCTGTTCACTGCTTCCTGTTACCAGCTACCTATATCAGAAAACAAGCATTAACATTGCCTAAAAGTAAGGTTTATACAACCTTATTGTAGTTTGGAAAGTTTGTACTGTATTATTTCACTTTCGCTCTCCTTTGAGGGTCTTTCCCACTTAACGATTGAATGGTTTGTTAATCCTCTTTTCTTCCGCTCCTATATTTATTTATTTCCATTGTATTTCTTACTTGACTGTCCTTTAAAGTGTGCCCTTTGGCCACTGAACTTTTGGTTATTTTTCTGTTGTATCCTGTTGCTTCCCTCTGTATGAATTCCAAGCAGATGACAGTTTAGACGCAACCCTTTTAAATCATTTTCATGTGGCAAGCTTACATTGGTTTGGCTAGGCCTATTTTGTTGGGTTTGAAACTGGTAAAAATAATGTGAGACCTTTTTTGGTGTTGTCAAGACTCTGTATAATTGTGAGAGGGGCAGGAGGGATTGTGCCCAGTTTGTGCCTGGGAATAAAATACCTCTGTTAACATATAAACAGTTTCCTTTACCACCCCATCCACTCTATCTCTCTCTTTTTTCTCTCTTTTTCTCTCTCTCCCCACTTCTTTTAAACTGATAACCCAACTCTATCCTTTGTATGAATTAAGTATAAATCTAAAACCAATGAAAAGAATAGGATAGAAAATATTTCACTTATTTTAAGCCATCATGAATGGCATTCAATGTCCCTACTTCCCATGCATATCTCCTATTTCTTCTACGCTCTCCCATTTCTCTATCAATTTCACTATGATTCTTTCATTCTGCTTTTTCTTTCATTAACTTTAAATGATTAGAGTATAAAACTATAAAATATTTCAAACTAATGCACAGAAATAGAAAGCCACTGCACCGCCCTCCCACTTCCACTCTCATCTCTTTCTCTCTTCCTTTCTTTAAATCTGCTATAATTTCTTTTCACTTTTATAAAATAAATAGATTTAGGAAGACACATATAAATAATAATATATATAAGTGTTTATGTCTTCAGTGCACTTCTCTCCAAAATCTTTCTCTTTCTCTCTCAAACATGCTGTAGCTCTGTTGAAATACATCTGTAAGATCTTTACACTGTCTTTCTCTCTACTCTTTACCCAATGTGTTTTCTACTACATTTTCCTTTTTCTTTTTTTTTTAAATAAAGACAAATGGGTTTCAAACTAACAGACTATTAAAGGAAAGCCTCATGTTCCATTTCCAATGCCTTTTCTGTACTCATCACCTCTCTCCCTCTTTTCTCCTTCACCCCTCGCTATACACTATAAAAACTAAAATGTTAAATCTCAATTTAAAAGGGCCGAGGTGTGACCACTCTTTTAAAAATGTCAGATTATATCTTTTAACCTGCTAGATTCAACCTTTATAGTGTTGGATCCAGCATGTTCCAAGTGTTATTCTACCATTTTGAAAGAGTGGTCACTCCTCGGCCCTTTTAAATGGTGATTTAACATTTCAGTTTTTAGAGTGTACCTCTTCCCCCTCCCTTTATTCCTTTCTCATCCCTTCTCTTTCTATCTCCTCTCATTATTGCACTCTTTTTATAAAAGAGAGGAGCTTTGCATGATTTGTTCCAACAAGTACCAACAACAATTCTTTGAACATTACATAACTTCCTATTTCCTCATCTGAAAAAAATTCTTGTTTTACTGATACTGTTATCTGATAGTTCAGGAGTTTAAAAAAAAACACTTCCAAATTCCATGTAAGGCATAAAAAACTGATCTACGCATATGCAAACAACGAACACTATACTTAAAGGGCAAGTCCACTCCAAAAAATAACTTACTTTTAATAGAAGCAGAAAAATCTGACAAACCAATAAAAAAAAGTTTGAGAAAAATCGAATAACTAATAAGAAAGTTATGAATTTTTAATGACATGAAAAACTGTGAAAATCACTAGACAAATTGGCAACTCACTCATGAGTCTGTGACGTCATATCCTCACTATTCACTAATTATTTTCTTTATATTGATAATATAAATTTCCTTTTTCCCCCCTAAGAATCTTATTTCTGCACACCAGCATCCAAGTTAGATTGATAGTAATATGTTTTCGTGTGGATGCACTAATATAGAGTAATTTTTTCCCAATTAAATCATGAAAAAAGTGAATTTTGATAAAACTATTTATATAAAAAATAAATCAATAATTATGAATATACAATATTCAGAAAATAGTATCAATTCTTCAACGTTCATCAAAGATTTTGTGAAATGTTATGCACGCAATATGATACAAATCATATAACCTGAGCAAAGGCATGGGGAAATCAAGTTTTGGGGGATAAAAAGGAAAATTAATGAGATTAGACTATATAAAGCAATTGATAAATAGTGAGGACATGACGTCACAAAAAGATAACCAAATAAGCAATTTGTGTAGTGATTTTCATTGTTCCATAGTTTTACATACTTTTTCAAAAATTCATAACTTTCTTATTGGTTATCCGATTTTGCTCAAAAACTTTTTTTGATTAGTTTGTCTGATTTTTCTGCTTCTATTGAACATAGTTATTTTTGGAGTAGACTTGTACTTTAAGTCTAAATGTAGTCAGGCAGAGCTCTTCATTATCTAAATGACTTTTATTTAGCTCTGTCTGCTCAGCCCCAGTCAACCATTTTTGGACTGAAAATTTAAGATAAACAAACAAGTAGTAAAAGTCCGAAAAGGAGAGAACATGATCACAGCTATTTTCTAAAAAGTATATGGGTGTGTTGTAGAGACAAAAGTAGGGAAAAAGTAGAAAGAATTAGGAAAGGCTAAGAATTGTAGACATTCAAACAGTTGAAAGGGTGGTGCATGCATCCCACCCATCCTGTCTGGTGTTATAGTGACTTCCTATATATGGCTGTTGAAGAGCACCTATTAAAAAGTTTGATTTCTCTCAGATCTCATATAATGAGAAATCAACACTGAGAAAACACGCAATATAAGCACGGCACAGAAGTAATTTAGGAATGAAAAGTTGAATTTGTGTTATAACAGTATATTACAGAGGGCCACTTCTCACTTAACTTTGCTGACAGCCTGAAGGGTGAACTCCAGTGAAAAAAATACACGGGGGCTCGGGGCGAATTAGCCCTCGAAATGCCCAAAAGAGCCCCGAAAATCAGAAAAGAGCCCCTGTAAATTTGCATAGAGTTCAACAAAACAAATTTTAGAGTGTTAATTTCATGCAGGCAAGCTTGAAAAGTAGCCCCCGAAAAATGAATATTAATTTTTTCCCTGGTGAACTCTATGAATGATACAAAGTTAATAACATCCTTTTGGCTCTCAGCAGATAATAAAATCTGTTGTCTTGGCCATTATAATGCAGGATTAAGAACATTTTATCTATTTGGAGCCAGAAGGGCATTTAATTTTTTTTTTATTAGCTCTCTTCTTTAACAGAACATGATATAGACCCCTTCACTGTAATATATTTCATAATAAAAGAAAATTATTAAAAAATCATATGAACGTACAGTGGCGTAATGAGCAAAAACGTTTGGGGGGCAGACAAAAATTCTACATCACTACACTCTTACATGCAGGCCCGCTGAACGTTTATCAAAGTGGGGTCTAGGGGTAAAGCCCGGCGAAGCTCAAGGGGTATGGGCATCAGTGGCAGATCCAGGAATTTCTTACCGGGGTTAGTAGAGGGCACAAAATGGCTAGGGGGTGAAATATATGTAAAACAAAGCGACAGAGCGAGGCTTTTGGCAGCAAGGGAGCAGAGCGACCCAGCGGCCTCTAGAACCATAGAGGTAGGTTGGTAGAGGTAGGTATAGAGGTAGACCGAAAACTTCAGTCTCTCTAATCGTCGGTTGTTCCACTGAGACTACGTCTGGCTCCACTAGACCTCCAATTATTTGGGAATGTCAACAAATGTCAGTTTTATTAAAGAAATGACCAAATCAGACGGTTATTTCTGTCTAGTATAGAGGTAGATCGTTATACTAGCCGGTAAGGGTAGGGTGGGGTAGAGTTGGGATGGTATTAGAGGTAGTATGGCTGTAGAGGTAGGGTGTGGTAGAGGTAGGATGGTAATAATGGAGAAAATAATTTTTTTTTTTGGGGGGGGGGAGCTCCCCCCCCCCCCCCCCCCCAATTAAGCCCTCCACCAGTATGCCAGTGCTATCGTACATGCTTTTCTGTCAGTAATCAAGACTCAAGACATTCTTTAGGATAAAACTGACATTCGAAATGACTCTTCTACTGTCTGTTCAATACTCAAGGCCATGACTAATTTACACAAATAACACAATAAATTTATAACTGCATGACCTAATTCTCTTTTCCGACTCCAATCATGTTCAAAATTCAAATCGTTTCTTCTTGTGCATTCTCTCTTATTATATACTCTTAATCCTTACAAAGTTTTCGTCTTTGGTTTCAGGTTAAGACTTTAGCTGTTAGTGTTGTAATGAAGAAAGAAATGAATAAAAGAGAACTTACGAGGCACCAACCCATGCCAATAATATGTTATCATCTGCTGACTCCAGCCGACAGCGACAACCCTCAGCTCAGCTCCGGTACGATCACTGGAGCTCCTTCCCGTCAGATGCGCCTTTTTCGCACTCTCGGTTGTGGGGAAAGTTTGCAAAATTCAATAACTCTCAATGAATACTTGATCTCCTCAAGTCATCATCCCCAGCCGAATCCTCCCTTTTTTTTAGCAAAACATGGTGAGATATATTAAGAACTAAAACTCAAATAATTGTGCTACAATTGTGCTACAATTATTCTACTTCCCTCAGTTTCTTTCGATCGGCCAAGTATTATCACTGCTGGGCAATCTCCAAACATCTGAAACATCTGCATTGAACGGTTACGGAAATCCGGTAGAGTTTCGAGTTAATGAAGGTCGAGGAGGCAGAGATACCAGGAGAGAAAGTTGGGCACTCGAATCATGTATGACGAATGTTTTCAATCAAGGTAAACAAACAAATAAATGATTTGAAAAAAGTGTGTCAATTACGAAATGTCAACGTCAATCTTTAGTGCCAGGTTGCAAGATGGAGAATGGGTGGTGGTGGGGCGGGGACAAGAAGTGGTGGGGGTTGGGATCGGGAGAGGGTGGGGCGGTGGGTGTGAGCCTCGGGGGGGGGGGGGGGGGGGGGGGGGGGGGGGGGGGGGGGGGGGGGGGGGGGGGGTGGGGGGGGAATGGGGGTCGGGGTGGGACTGATAAGATCCTATTAGATATTTAGAAAGGAAGAAAACTTTAAAAGTTTGTGTGTGTGTTAAAGGGACTTTGTAACATTGTTCAGATGAGAGATAGTGGTGCTAAGGTAGTACAGTGACTTCATTGCTAGATGTACAATTAAAGATAATCTGAAAATTTGAGCAAAAGCGGACCATTATTCATGGTACAAATTGAGAAAAACTGATCCTAACGATTCCTTAATTCTCCCAACTCTATTTTTACAATTTAATTACATTTTAGGTGAATGGAAATCTCACAAAGCAATAAAATGGCTCTACATTCCATTCCAGACATTTAAGTGTTGACAGATTTTTTATAGCCTGTTTTTATGTCTTTTTTTCATGGAAAAACAGTTGGGAAAATTGAAAAATGGTTGGGAGAATTTAGATTCAGAAGCGCCTCCCATTGACGCCCGTTTCGAAACCCGTTGAACATTGTTAAAAATCTTCATATTGCGTGAATTAATTTCAGATTTGTGGTATCGTAGTTGGATAATCCATACATACACACATAATTTTACATGTTTTGCATCCTGATTCAACAGATTTGTGAAATCAACCATCACAATGTTACTACGAACCTTTAAGATACAAAAACCTAACAACAGAACCCCAGGTCCTTCTCTTTCCCCTTCAAAAGCAGGTTTAGACTTTTGTTTAAAGACGTCAAAACTAAAAAAGTTACGGAAGGCTTTTTCGTTACTTGTACACAAGTTGTCGGCCAGGATTCTCTATAATGGCAAAACTGAACTGGGATTGCAATGTAATTACAGCAAGAATTATTGTACATAATAACCCTAAGACGAGACTTACTTTAATTGCCTATTTATCTGTAAGATGATAATGCTTTCCAGGCGCTGAAGGCACAATGTCCTCCAAATCTTATGCAGAATTCATGAATTAAATTGATGATGTATCATGCATGTATGGATGCTTTGTGCGGTAACCTCCAGTAAATGATTGACACATGTAAGTTACCCTGAAATAATTCCCAATTCCTCTCATATCCACCTGTGAAAGTTGATACACTGTACTTTCTCTTCTCCAACACATGGGTCAACTTTCCTCATCTCCCTCTCTTCTTTTTATCCCCCTTCTCCCCCCCCCCCCCTCTTTCTCTCTCTCCAACTCTCTATTTCTCTCTCCCCCCCCCCCCCTCTCTCTCTCCCCCTCTTTATATCCTTCTCTCTTTCTGTCTCTCTCTGTCTCTCTCCTTTGCTCTCAACTCTTCCTGAGACTTTCTTCCTGTGTCTCTGGTATCTAGTAAATGTCTCTCACGCCCCCTTTCATATAGATCAAATTAAATACACAGAAGCTAAATTAATCACAGTATGTAGTTACTAATAAACTTGTTATAATTATTTTTTAACAGAATTTCTCTAATTTAAAGTGCCTCCACAATATATTATCAATAATTCACAAGAATTATGATTCCCCGGTACACAATTTGTTACATCCAGTCAACCTGCAGGCAGCTTCTCTTTTATACAATTATATACACAAGAAAATTATATCATATAAATTGTCCACATTATCACAAACACAACCACAAATGTAATGTCATTTTTATAACAAAGGGTACTGTTTATAAAATAAAATTATGTATCTATGATTGCCAATGGAATGATTGATACATATTTTTTGTCCTCCATTTCACGAAACTGAAGAAATGTTTCACATGATATTTTCTTCTGGAGGAAAAGTATGAATAATATCTCATTATGAAACTCAGATTTAATTCAGATGACAGTTTGAAGACTGATAAGCTAGCTTAAACATATGACAATTGTGACAACTATTTTGGTATATTCCACTACCCAAAGTAACATAAATATTTTGTTCTAAACATACTTTATGTGAAAAATAATAAAACATATATGGCAAATGGAAAGTACAGCTTTACAAAATTTGCTTCAATTTAACTGGAGATTGTCAATCAAATTAATAACTGTCTGACTTTCAGCAGACTATGTTTTAATAATATTATCTCCTAGCAAAATACTCAAAATGATATGATAACCACCATTTGAAGAAAAAAAAATGGGCGCCTACATATGCTCAATTGTAGCTTATGTACTCCTTCAATAGTCTCCATAAATAACTTCTAGGTAAAAACGGAATACAATTTCCAATCCTTCAAGCTATAATTATTGTGCAAATGAGGTTTAAAAAATATTTGAAGAAATATATTAATATATTCCAATTTGGTTGACATATATTGTAGATTTACAAAAGGGAAGATATTGAAAATTTTACATTCAATATGTTAATCAAATAGACGAACAAAACTCCATGCATAAAAAGTCAAAAGTGAGATTGCTCAGATAGGTCCAAAATATGCAATCAAATCATGAGGAGGCAAGTACAATCCATTGTACGAGTAGTTGGGAGCATTACATAAATAGTAATTAAGATTTTAGAGAATACTCTTATGCAAACATGAAAACCATATAAAGTTCTCAACATATTTGTAGCATGGGTGCAATGTAAGTAGAGCATGTATTTGTTGTGGGGCATGGGTGAGGAGTATAGCATACAACAGTTCATGTCACCCCTCCCCCCAAAAAAATGTCATGTTTCCTTAAAGTGAATGTCCTTGCGTTCCTTGTGATATATTTTTTTAGAATCGGAACTGCTGATAAAGTAGACAAATATGAATCAACAGTAAGGACAAATGAAACATGAAACATAATATGAAAGACTTGGTACCAAGTATATGAACTTTGCATTCATCTTATTAAATCTTTGAGGGAACTGTTATACTGCCAACATTCCATAAATATAGGAAGCAGTATAAAACTGATACTAATAAAGTGAAACACATAACATCAAAGAACTAACATATTACTGACAAAAAATAGCACATCTGAGTGATATAATTGGGTGAGAAAATCTACTATGGAAAATTCACTTGGAAATTTTTATACTCATTTCCGAATCCTATGGATTTTGATAAATGACATTTGATAGCATTTTATAAACATATCTGAGAAATAATATATTTCTTTTCTACAGTGGCAAAAGGATACTGCTTGGCAACAATTTTTTTAACTCTGATACCAGTAATAAAGTTTAAAATCTCAATAATTGTGTATATATTTCCAGGAAGTTTGGAGGATAAATATTACTTTTTTTCCCCTACTACATGATTCATGAGATATGATTACTTCCTCATGAAAACTCACTGATTCAGGGTTAGCAGGGTAAAAAAAATTCTTCTAATCAAATAAAAATGAATTTCAAACATGACTGAAATAACATGAAGATTAAAACAACATTACATTGTGAAGAAATCACACATTCAAAGAAAAAAAATTGTGCACCACTTATGTTTACCCAATGAAAAGTCATTATGCAACTATTAACTTACCACATGATGCAAGAATTCAAGACTGTGCAAACCTTTACAACAATCTTATCAGAATTTCATTAATAAGATTATTAAGGATTGAACAAGATTTTATTTCAAAATCTAATACAAATACTGACATGATTTTTGTTTTTATTATTTGACAATACAATATTTTTACAATGTTTATCAAATATAATTATCATAGAGTAACTCAATTAGATATTTCCAGAAACATAATCTGAACAAGCTAAACCTTAGAGAGGCTGCGATCAAAGAGTTTGAATTAATATTTTCATGGCACTTGTAGGTTTTTGCCAAGATAAAAGCTGCACATGTACAATTTAAAACCATCATCACATACTTATTGGCAAAAAACAACAAAAAAGGATTCTACAATTAGAATCAATATGGCTTGTCTGAGTTTAGTAGCCTAATCTTTGGAATTTGACATTAAGATACAATTAACAAAGAAAACTACAGGCACATAGCTTTATCTTTACAAAAAGGCCTTTAAATACTGGAAGATGCTTTCATTGAAGAAATAAAATTCTAGACAGATGAGTTGATATGATGATTTGATTTTCTTTTTCTCAATTTTTTTAATTTTCAACCTATTTCTTCTATTGAACTCAACTGTCTGGTCGAGGTGAAATAGTTATCAGATAGGCCTATATCCCTCCAGCCAAATAAATATTAAGTTCACGTAATCTGAATATTTGAAGTTATACATGTGAATCAATTTTTTAACTATAATTGTTTGTGACATTGTTGTTATTGATGTATTACTACCCAACTATGGTGATCCTCTTCTTTGATAAGATGACCAGAACCCTGTCTTCTAGACAGCTGTGATTGATTTAATTTAATAACAACTTGATTTGAAATTACAACTCTGCAGTTAGTTTGGACCAATGGCAACTTGCTATAAGACTTCCTAATTCTTCCCCCTTTTTCTGACCAACAGAGATAAGAGTTTGTAGGTTTGCGATATTGTTTCAAGGAGCTACAAGCAACCCAGATCAATCACAACTCCTTACAAGACTGAGCCTTGGGTTCCTTTGCATAAAAATGTAAACTTACTACTGATGGTAAATTTGCCATCAATATCAACATCACTCAACAGCCAATAATATTAAGGTTTTCAAGGAAGTTACCTTTAGCAGCAAAGTTACCACCAATCGTATAAGTTTTATGCAATGGGGCCCAGGACGGCTTATTCTACCCCCTTTTCCCCACCTACAAAAACAACACCCTCTCATACTTGCATCCTCCTCATCATCGTCCTCAACAGACCTGCTTGGTATCTAATCATCTTCCCATTCATCTTCATCAAACTCTTCGCTGTCAGAGTCTTCCGGCTCATCTGTAAAATGTAAGAACAATTTGAAATCATATTGTTACCTTTTCAATAATCATGATTGCAAGCTGAATTGAAGTTGATGATGATAGACTTCACCAGACTAGTAAGAAAACAAGTACAAGCTTTGGGTTTTGGACTACAGGATTAATGCCAAAGGGTACTAGCATATTGATTTGGTTCTTATTCTGGTAACTTCTGGTTAAGAACCACGGGTGAATCAAGGAATTTGGCAAAGAAAAATGAAGAGAAAAATTTAATTAAAAAACATTAAAAAATAAGACATTAAGGTACCTTACTGCATATTTTAGTCATGAGTCAGATAAGAAGGAAAGTGGGGGTGTCTAGTAGTCTACTCACAAGTCACTAATAATTGAGTGTATTAAACTTGTAAATTATCTTTTCAGAAATAATACTTGAAGCTAATATTTTGAATGTTAACATTTTAAACAAAATATTGGTTGGTAGATTTTAAGCACCATGAATGACATACCTTGTATGGCAACAGCCCTGTGTTGTAGTGCCTGAAAGAGAGCAGCTCCTAGACCACTGTTTGGTGTGGAAGCAGGAGATTCCTCTTTCTCAGCTTGTGTGACCTACCATAACAAAAGAGAAATAGCATCCATTAGCCTACATTACAGGTGAAATATACTCAGAATGATGGATACGGGTTGGTCTAATAGACCTCAACAATAATGGTGATGAGATTTTAAGTAAAATTACACCTTTTGCTTCTTGTACTGGTCAACAAGATGGTAACCAACAGAGCATTCTCCTCTACTGCTCCCGAACTCTAGAACAAGCTTCCTCCTCAACTAAACTCTCACCGATAGAATAAAAATTCAAACAGAGTTTGAAACACATCTATTATGAAACCATATGTATTCAGTTAAGTCACAATGCTACTGCTTAGTAATCTGAATATATTTCAACTCGAACACTGACCCACGGATGACATCTCACAGCCTTTCGTGTCCAGAGAAAAAGGTGCTGTATAAATAGCTACAAGTAGTGCAGTCCCACTTTAAAACCCAGGAGCATACTATGAAAGGTGTTTTAGAGATCTACCAGCTGCATCATTATTTTGACTTGAATTGACTTCAAAGTGGCTGTCTTGCTATAGTCCTAGCAGGAAGTTGTAAGCATTGTCAGAGATTTTAAATATGCATTTCTGCCAGCTAAATCAATCATGGACTTATCTGTCTCATAAGCACTGCATAGAGTACCAAAGTGTGAAGTCATAATGGCCAAGTGGTCAAGGTTACTGGTTCCAAACAATTTTCACTAAACAATGGTGTGGTGATCACACCAGCCCTAAACAATGAATTCGCCCTGCTCCAGCCTGTTGCTTGAATGATATTGCAGTGAACCTCATGTGCAGGCTCTGTTGTATAGACTTTAGAACCAGTAACATGGACGACAAGCAAATGTGATGTCAGCATTTTGGTGTTCTATTGGTTAATGCTTAAAGATACTTTACCTTCTTAAGGGCTTTTCCACCTCTGATTTGGTCTAACAGAGCTCCACGTCCAGTTGACGCCGGTGCAGGGTTATCAGCATGGTCCACTTTTTTTAGGGCTGTCCCCTGGTGTATCTGATCAAGGAGGCCACCACGCCCACCACCACCACCACCCCCCATGGGAGCAGCTGGTGGAGGGGGTGGAGGAGGGGTACTGATCCATTCATTGGAGGCGGCATTGGTGCCGAAGGTGGAGGTGGCGGGGGTGGAGGAGCCGAGGTCATGGGTCTTGTTGGGGGTGGAGCTGGAGGTGCATTGTATTGCGACTGCGGGGGAGGGGGAGGGGGAAGACCACGAGAAGGGGCTGGAGCAGAGGGATAACTTCTGGATGGGGGCACAGCAGGAGGGGGTGGACCTCTTGAGTTCCCTGGGGGAGGGGGTGCAGGAGGCCGATTTGGAAGAGGTGGACCAGGGGTTCTTGATGGGGGCGGAGGGGGTGCGTGGCTTCCCCGTGATGGAGGTGGGGGAGGCGGTGCACTGCTGCCCGCCGCCCTTGCTAGCCCTTCCAAAGGATTACCTAACGAGAAGGGAACAAAAATAATTACACAGATAATTAAATAACATGAAAAAAACAAAGGAAAGAGCAATTTATCTGTCTAAGTGCTCCCACACTAAATCATGTTCGATCAATATATAGCTCATTTTTCTTTTAGATAAAGCTGATTTCCATTAAAATGATACACCACTCACACGTGTAAAGTCTTCTGATATGTATTACAGCAACAAATAATGGTACAGATGAAGATGATACATGGTAATGGTAAATACACATATTCGTTCTAAATATGTTAATAGAGATATTTTAGGATATAAAAGAAAATCTTCAATTACTACTGTACAGTAGTTAAATGTCTATTGCAAGATAATAGAGTAAAACATCTCATGGAAGATGAGCAATGCACATACATATTAGATTTTAGACAGAAAAATGTATACTTAAAATATTTTAACAACTGGAATAGGCTTCACCTTGCTCACCATATTATAAGTATTTTAAATAACACTGATAATAATTAATTGTAACAAATTAATGTTTTCTCCTTATCATAACACTTTTGACAAAAACAATAACCTACAGGGCATGAAAACATAACTCCTATGGTTGTTGTTGGAAGTGATATAAGAACTTCCATACCAATAACTTTTTTTCATTTGTTCTTTCTGGATCTTCTAAAGAAAACTTTGTCATTACATCTTTATATTAAATTTGACGTCCATACAATTTGTTTTATGTTTGTAACACAGACTTGCTGAAAAGCAGTCATTTTTAAATAGGCTGATGTGATTTAACTGTGATTAAATTAAATCAATCAAAGAAAACATTTTATTACATCTCCCTTTGTCTTTTATAATATGGAATTATGAGGCATACAGTATGTTCAAATGTGTCCTGTCTTGCATGAGGTGAAATTATACTTTAAAGAATAATGTACATTATAACTTCACCCTAGTATGAGCTTTAGCAATGATAATGTGTCTCATAATATACCTGTATAATGATAAAGACAATGACCAATGGATACACATACCGGTAGAAGTATAATTAGACAAGTCCATGCTATTTTGTCCCATATGTTTAAAACCAAACTACATTTACATCCATAATACAATCTCATGATAACTGGTAAGAAATGTAATGGACATACGTTGGACTTGTCCAATTTGTTGATTGCTTACAGTCTTTTGTGTTTAAAATACACTATTAGACAATACTGACCAATGGGAATCTAAGATGACTTATAAGTTCAGGCTACACTGGTGATAAACTTTAAACAATGTACATTACTTGGCAAAAGGTATATATATTTAGAGAGAGAAAGAGAATCATACTATTATCTATCCATATATCATTCTATGTTAAAAATGAATATTTCATTAATGCTCTAATTTTAAAAGTTTAAAACCTGTTTTGTCAGACTATAATGGTGTAGTATGACGCATATTCTACCAAAGACTTTCAACAGTTTGGAATATAAATAATTACCTGTTTTATCCTAAAATCAAAACAATTTTTTTCAATGTGGAGTCTGTTTATCTGAAAGATATTCTCTCTTTCTCTCTCTCCCTCCCCCTCTTTCCTCCCTACTCACACTCATTCTCTCTCTCTCTCTCTCTCTCTCTCTCTCTCTCTCTCTCTCTCTCTCTCTCTCTCCCTCCCTCTCTCTTTAACACTTTTTTTCTCACTAACAAGTACTTGCACAATTAATCTACTTTGAAAAGAATCCTGCTTCTGTTTATGATGGAAGATGTGCTGGATGATATGATACATGTGAGACGAATATTTACATACGATCATTATCATTTCCATGAAAACCCACCATAAGGAATTAAAGAATATAAAATGTAAGAAAATGGAACACATCAGCGTGAGTAGAAATAACAAAAAAGTCTGAAAAATGAATTTACCACAATGGTACACTATTTCGTTAGAAAACTTTAAACTGTGTAACCAGAAATTTTTGAGCATTGTAAATGAAAGCTGTTTTGATATATAGCAAGGAACTTTCGTCAATTGCTAAAAGTCATTGTTGTTTCAGTTGCGATTCAACTTACTTCGCATCATGAAACTTTTTATGAATCTTTACCTCGTGCAAAATGTTTCTGGTTTTGCAGTCCTACAGTCTTTTTGTTCCCCCCCCCCCCCTATGCATCTCAAATATTGCAATACAAGTTATATACATCAAAAACTATTTTGCTTAGCATTAGGTTTTGTTTTACATGGTAAAAACATCACCAGAATATTTTTCCTGACAAAATATGATTGAAAACTTTCTTTTGAACATCAATTTTGTAGTAATTTGGGCATTGATTGGTTGTTATTGCAAATGATTTTAACCCTGAATTGTTTGAAGCAGGCACACCTAAGGTAATTTCCTAGTACGATGTATCTAAATTAAAATCCACTTTCTTTATATCAAATATATGTAGAACTTGAATAAATTTGTTACAAATTGCATGAAAGCCATTATAAAGTGGCTAGATCAAGAGTTAATGAAATGTTCAGAATGTGCATGGAAATCCAATTAATGCTATTCTACAACTACTTACAATGAATACATAAAGACGTTTTGAAGATTTGGGTCGTAGATACCTTTTGAAGGACAATGTTTGCTTGTGAATTATGGTCTGATACAATGAACTTGAACATCAGTTGATACACAGATTGGACTCAAATTACAGCAACAAAAAATATCAAGATAAACCAAAAAGTACACAACATGAAACGAGACACAAAAGAACATGTACATCATATGAAGAAATATATGAAATGATTTGGATATGCTGTCAAGGTTTATCCATAAAAAGTGAGAAATGCTGTAAGGCCAGCACATATTGATGGAGCTTTAAGAAAAAAACACAGGGTCACCTTACCACCAAAACCACCAAAACTTTGCAAAAAGTCATCTTCTGCATATTAAACCAAAGTGGAGGAGGAGGAGGAGATGGAAAAGGAAAAATGTCAAGATACAGGGCAAGAAACCACACTTAGGTAGGATTTATCATCACAATGAGTGTATAGTAAGAACAATTTTAATAAGAGAATCCATACTCTGTTAGAATGGAAAAATATATCACTTTAGATATCGTACAAGGCACATTTTTTAATCGCAGCATTCTCCTAAATAGAGCATTGATGTCAAGGTTGGGTTTTCTTTTCAGTGCTATACAAATGTACTATGTACAAATGTAACTATGATTAATATGATTACAGCAAATGTCAGACCATTATCAACAGTCAGTATTGCTTGAAAACTTCTAACCCTGAAAGCACTACAGATGAACCTATCATTAACCTCCCTCCCGTCTCGTTTAACGATTGTAAGAGAATAACTATGTACCTCCTAATCTCTCTGCATCCTCCTTGAGAGCATCAAGACCTCCATGCTGGTCGATGAAGTTCCTGATGAACTTGGCTGTGTTCTGATCCTTGAGCTGGTCATCGGACACACCAATAGTGTTGAACCAACCTTTGACCTGAGGGTCCATCTCATCAACCTGTACAGAGTAATAGCAGCATTGAGCGTTCTCTGAAGAATCCTCACAATAACTTGTTATTATGGATTCATTTTACTACACAGTGCAATTTGCTTTATACATGTTTTATATTGGGTTCTTTATCAAAATTATCAACCGGGCAGAGCTGAGGATTAAAGTAGGTGATACAAATGTTGTTGCAAATTTTTGTTGGAGTTTCTGATGGTATAACTCTGTTATGAATAAACATTTACTTTACTTGCATTAAAGAGAACGGTTGCTGAGCTAGCGCCATAAGCGTCCCTTTATGGTGTGTGCACTCTATAAGTTTACACTATTATTATTATTAAAATAGATTGTGTCAACCTACATAGGATATGGCAGTAAAAATCATGAGATAATTCTTACAAATCAAGGCATCCATGAAAAGTGCCTTTGTTTGATTTATTCTATGGCAGGATAGCCAACAATGAGCTCATCTACAACATGTTACATCTGTGACTAGGACACAGCAACATTTTTGTCAAGGGGCTTCCTTAAATAACACTTAAGACAAATTCACTAGACAAATGTACATTGTTCAAATTTTACCACGTTAGGCCCTCTCAGTAACTTCTTTAAAGCTTATAACACCCATCAAAGAAAAAAGAAAAAATGAATACTTACATTAAATCCCTTTTCAGGATCCCATCCAACATGGCTGACATGCCTGTAGAACAATGGAAGAAATAGATGAAAAGATAACAAAAGGAGATGAGAGTAAGTGCATGCATACCAGTAAATACTCTCATACAACAGAATTTTCATACCCAAGGTTAGTATCAATAAGCAGAATGTGATGATTTCAGTCGCTCTGATTGAATATTTTGAGTCAAGTTAATTGTCATTTCTAATTGTAAGTCAATCACAGATAACCAACAAGGTCCAAAGTAGCTCCATCAGAAAGAGTACTAGTCTTGGGAAAGCAAATAATTAATCAAAAACGTTGGAATACAAACTTAATATTCACTTACTTGAAACCAGAAGGCAAGGATATATCAGCTTTGGTGAGTTTCTTTCTTCCTCCTTTATCAGCTTTATCTTTCTTCTTGTCCTCTTTGCTCGAGCTGGAAGCTGTGTGATAAAAACAAACATTTAACAGGTTAAAATCACTACAAAAGAATCAATATCTTAGAATTGTGAGAGAAGAAGAGATACCTTATTTTCTATTGAATTAGAACAGATGAGCAAACTACCTTATCTGATAATTATTACAAGCTGTAAAAGATCTTGTCTTTTTATTTGTTCAGGATAGCCTAATTTTCTTCTTGGGCAGAATTTGGTCATGGGCAACTCATAAAAGCGATAAAGCCCCTAGAAATTATTAAACTATTTACAAGATACAAACATATTAACTATGTGTATTGTCTATATTAGCTAAATTCACTGTAAAACAATTGTGTTTAATGCTAAAACAATGTTGAATAAGTTGCACTCAGATAAAGTTTTCTTATTGATATTTCAGATACATGTATGTCCAAGAATAGCAAAATATGACTTATATATTGAAAAAGAGAATGCTTTCAAGTAATGGTATTCAGTTGATATATTTTTCAATAAAATATGAATTATCTAAAAGTACAACTTCATTCAATTCTATATTCAGAGAGAAACAATTGAATTTGAAATGAAACACTACCATATATGAAGACAAATACTACATTTTGGATACAACATGTATTCTTACAATGTGAAAACTACTGTATGCACTAAATACAATGTAATGGTCTACTTCAGCACATAGAAATAAAACACCATCCAAATCTATTCTCTGTAAATATCGGGATGAATACAAATGATTTCATATATGGTGAAAATGAAGAAGGTACATGTAATATATTTAATACCGGTACATGGAATCCAATATACTTTTTAACTCAGCCATTATTAGGTGAAACATAACATTTATGGTATGCTATATTTATTCATAGTTTGCAAGCACAAAGTCTGAAATGATATAAACTTGATTCTATGATGACAAGCAAAATGCTTGAATTCTAAAGAATAGTATAACATGGAACATTTTATAGAGTGGTGAAGTGTGACATCATCAAAAATCTTTTTTTAGAATTTCTCAATTTTTTCTTCATATTCCGAAAGAACATAAAAAATAATGTCCAAATGTCGAAAACCAATTGAATATGTTAAGTATTGGCTGAGATATGACCATCTGAATGAATATATGTCCTATGGGAACTCAGTGTTATATGCTCTGGCTCCTAACCATTAGCAGCCGGAGCATATAACACTATGTTCTTTCCGAATATGAAGAAAAAATTGAGAAATTCTAAAAACAGATTTTTATGACGTCACAGCTTCGGTACTCTATGGGACAGTAAGTCTTTTAATTGTATTCATGTAAATGGATACTTTAATTATGCAGATGAATACTCATATTGGTACACAATACAATAACAGCTTGTTCAGATATGATGTGGTAAAACACTGCAAAACAGAACGAAACAAAAAAAACACTGCATTTTTAAAACATTTTAGACTTAACTGCATGCAACAAAAATCTTATGCGTATTCACTCAGATCTGATTTTTAGTGCAGAGTAATGTGAGGAATATGACAATTTACGTAATCATAAAAAAGTCATGGGTTACCACTGCATATCTAAACAAGACTTTATTTTAAGAGGTGCTTGCAGACTATATCATGGCCATAATGGTGTTTGCATGCAGGGGAAAGTGATATACCGGTAATTACCATGTAAGACAATATCCCCAAATAAAAGAAAACAAAAACCATATCTTTTGACATCCAACTTTGTTCGATATTTGTATAATTGTATAACATGCATAACAGCAACTGTTGACAGCTGACATGTATTTAGGGGAAAAGAACTGCAAACACACACGTAGAGCAAGTGCTTAAGAATTTACAAATAGCTGTGAATTGCTAAAACCACCACAATCGAACATTGCATATTTAATCTTGGAACAGCAACACAGAAAGCAAGATTATCTAAAGATTTACTATCACACTCACAAAAAAAAACAAAGAGGATTCTTTCTTGAAAGACACATAAATTTTTTTTTTAAAGGTTTTTGAATGTTTCAGAAATAAATGCTAAATTTCAACTTCCCTCACAGAAGCACTGACAATATAAGATATAACGTAAATGGCTCTCTGTCTCCAAAATTCTCAAATACATACAATCTTTGCAGATATATTGGTTGTCTTCCAAGCAAAATTCTTCAACAGAACACTGTAGTTTACATGAATTATCACAAAGATTTACCATGCAACAGTTTGACATTTAAAACCATGATAATTATGTGCCAACTACACCAGTCATTTTCATTGAGATTTTTTAATAACATCTATTCTTTGTCCCCAACATTGAAAGCTTAGGATGCAGCAAGCACAATAACATCATTTCGATTAAAAAATGACACTAAAATTAAAAGAATGCACAACCTACAAATCGTCTGTTTGGAGCCAGAAGGGTGTTAAATCATATCAGATTTAACACCTTTCTGGCTCTGTAGAGGCAATGTATTTAACATTTCAATGATATTTTGGAGTTTATATAATACACATGTTTATGTTTGTTTTGGACCACACATACATCTTATATAAGCCTTATTAAACTTGATCATCCCGAACCCCCCTATAGATACAGATAATATGAATAAAGAGCAAAATATGAAATAATGACTATATATGTACTCTTTCACATTATTGTTCCTTTTTCAGAGAAACCAATAGGGAAACAATAGGGAAAGAGAAAATGGGAGCAAAGGTGAGCATTTAGATAAAAAGTTGGATTAAAGCCATGCAAATGATTAACGTTATGCTTTTGCAAGTAAATGAAGCAGAATGTATGATTAATAAGCACAAGTTTTCACCAGAGAACCATATTATTTAGGGCTACAATCTGTTTCCACCCGAGAATCATATTATTTAGGGTTACAAACTGCTTTCAATGAGGGGCCTCATTGCAGCAAGAAATGGTAACATATCAATAATTATTGTCAACTGTCAATTTGAAAACTTTGTATCAAAGACATCTTTGATGCCCTTTTCGCATATCTTTTCAAGACATTTTCTAGTCCCAACCCTGTTTGACAGCTCTTTGACAGCATCTTTGAAGAATGCCAAGAAAGAAGATTGAATGGGAAATGGAAATTTTCAGGACATTTCAGAAAGCTGTCACTAAATAAAAATGTTTGTACTTTGTTTTCCAATGTTTGAATTACTAAAATGATTCAAATCCAAATAATAAATGGAATATACAAAAACCATATTAGAAATTAACATCTTTGAATACAAATGGCAGAAGTACTGGAAGAACATTCATTCCTTTGTGATGATTAAGACCTCCACCACAGATTCTCCTGCTTAGTGCTATATATCTTAGCACTGCTGTAAAGTTTGAGATCTACCGTACATATTAGGATAAATGTTAGTAAGTCTTTGATATTAGAGATATATCCAAGAGAAATTTTATCCTAGCTCCCCTTGCCAAAGGAATACAAAAATGACCACAAGATTACGATACTATACTTTACTTCTCCAATCTCCACCATTTTCCAAGAACATGCAATTTGGTGCAGGATGAACCAATGTGGTCATGTAAATGTATTGGATTTATTATTAACAGCTGCAAGAACACTTTAGTTAATAACGTATGAGTGGGTTATAAACAACAAGACCTCATCTAACCTATTTATATCCATATTCTATAGTTGACTAGAGTTGACTCCCCCCCCCCCCCCACCTCCTTCACCCCACTTATAGTTTGCAGGACAGACCCTGATTTGACACTTTACCACAATTCCTAAAGCCTTGAGTAGAGCCTAGCTCAGTCAGTCTTTGGTCGCTGGTTCAAAGCTCTATTACTGAGGTTATGTAGTATGTTGTCAGCAAAGTCTCATAATGCAGACACTGTTATGCACAATGAATGACAATGGTTTGTGCCTGCAAATTACCCCCCCCCCCCCACCAGCCACGACTACTACTACAACAACAACAGGTGACTGTTATGGCACTGGTTGAAAGAAAAACATTTGCAAAAGGAATACCCCCCCCCCCCCCCCTCTCCGAGCTATCATTTTTTTTGGTTTTTTCAACGGTACAACTGATTATCTTTTTTGTTTTGTTCATCAAATAAATGCTTTAAAAGCAGAATATCGAAACTCAACAACCATGTATACTGCAGCAGCCATCCGATGCTGAAAATGTTCAATAATAATAACAATAATATGGATATTTATATAGCATGACTCTACGACAGATTTTGTCAGGTAATGATGTTTGTAAATATGACTCATTGTGTTTTTGGCTGTGGCTGTTTCATTGTCTGTGTGGTATCTCCGGTACTTCTACATTCTGGCAAACAATACAGACGAATCTAGGTATTGAAAAAACAACAGCTGGCACCTAATTAAACTTACAATAGGATTAACACATTAGTATTCAATGTATGTTTGATCTCTATGCATGGCTACTTAATATTCATACCTTGATACAGTGTAAGCCTACTACAGTAGTTATGGCCCCCCTTGAATCCATGACTTTTTCTGTAAATTAGGTTATACCTCATCATTTATTTCAGGGTAGCCTCACATAGCTACATTTTACATCAGAGCCCTGTTTATGTCAATTGAATAGCCATCTATGACAATGCATCAACAGCTGATGTTTGCCTTTCACCTCAAGATATACATTTAAGAGAGCAAATTGAAAATAAAAAAAATAAAAAGACACTTTTACAAAATATCTAGCACTGATATCAAGTATCCTGAATATAAAAGCTATGCACAGATTCATAGATTCACTAAGTTAGAGTATTGTATTATCTTTGATATCCTCAAATGTTCCATGTTCAATATGATATGTTTGTTAGTGCAAAACAATTTAGGTGTCCTAAAAAAAAAAAAAAAATTAAATAATAATTTATTTTTTAAATATTTTTTTAATAATTTAATAAAATATCTATAATTACTATAATTGCTTATTTGGATTTGTTTGAATTCTAGGTACAAGTTCAACTAACATACTGTTAAATGAATAGTACAAAAAGGACAGTTTACAAGAGCAGGAAGTTAACCAAATGCACTTGAAGAATGAACAAAATAATATTGCATGCACATGAAATTTTCAACTTTATTTTTCACATAAAATAGGTATATACTGTATATACATGTAGCTGACAATTGCCATTTCAAATTCTAAAACTTAAAGCAGGTTTAAAAGCAGCACTAAAATTGCCTGGTTAGGAAATAACTTGAAGGTTCCTCTAATCCCTTCAAGAGACCCCCCCCCCCCCCTTCATAAAACATGAGACCTAATCACTTTGGGAGCACTGATTACAATACCTTTACTTGGTATGCATGGAGAATATTTGGCTAAAACCTAGAAGATCGACAGATCCTGAGACTGATGGCCCCCTGCACAAGGCTTAAGATCCCACATCCAACAAAAACCGACAGCCCATAAGGCTGACAACGTTGGTCTCATGGGCCTTCTGAAAAGTTATGAGGGTTGCCGAAACTGACCACCCATGAGTATGAGGGCCCACAAGACCGACAGCCCCTGACACTAATAGCCCATGAAACCGACAGCCCATAAGGCTGACATCTTTGGTTTTGTGGGTTTTCTAACAACTTTTCTGAGGATTCACTGGACTGACATTGTAAATCTCATGGGCTGTCGTTCTTGTGGGCCAGCTGTTTAGTGGGATACTAGTCTACTGCCATGTACCACATTATTTATCAACTAACTACCGGTAGTGCAATACACCTCCTGTTAAATAAGCACAATTATCTCTACATGGTCATGAAAAATAGAAAGTGGAACTAAAGATGCTAAAACCAAACCACCACAATACCACGCCAAATGAAAACAAGCATTTCAAAAAAGAGAAAAAACAACAGTCGGATGTTACCTCTGCGTTTTGAGCTTGCGCTTGACTGGGAAACGCCTTGCTGGGTTGCTGATGATGATAATGATAATGATGGTGTTACAAGGATGATCAAAATGACAGCATGAAATTGAATGATAAGATTGGGGAATAAGATGAACATTAACAGCAAAATAAAAAGGTGGAGATACAGCACTGTAAACAAAATCAAATTTATGAAATAGCACTAAATATCAGTGTTATCTTTAAAACAGAGAAAAGAAAATGGGGGGAAAAAAGGATCATGGATTAGTATAAAAAAACTCAAAACATTACAAAGGCCAACAGCACAGGAGATTCATTGCAAAGAAGGCTTATCAAACCGTTTAAAATTAGTATGATGTGTGTAAAAGATGCATAAACACAGAAATAAAAAGAAATTCCATGTAGTGTACACCTAAAAAGCAAATCAAGGCTCAAATTACAAGTAGGTAAAAAATATATTAACATTTATTAACACAAACATGGGGTCACTTTTCATAGTCCCCCACATTGACATTAATTTGTTTGTAGTCTAATGTAATTCTGTATTTCTGCTTCTGTTCTTTTTATTTTTGTCTTCCTAATTTTGATACATGTATGTCATACATGTGTTGAATAATTACTATGTATATCATGTATATTTGTTTGGGTATTTTTTATGGAAATGTGAAAAATAAATCAATTAAATTAAAAAACAACTGTTCTTTTTTGTGTTCACATCAAACCATCAACCTTTTAACTATCTCAACTCCATACCCCCTCCCCCCCCCCCAAAAAAAAAACCCATACAAAATTACTGTTTATGCATGAATTTGTTAAAGCCCCATAGCACACTACATATGTCCTATAAATTATCAGAGTGTCATATATTTAAAATGAATTATCAGAATGTCATCAAATGAAATTATCAGTTTCTTCTTCATCATGGAACCTTACAAAAGTATATCTGCTTCTCACAACTACATAGCTAGCAGGAGTTTTCATAATAATATTGGCAATGGTGATTTATTTTCCTCCGTAAATATTAAATAACACTGAAAAATACCCATGAAGCGAACATATAAGAACATGTAGCAAGCAGAGAAAGAAATGAAGAACAAAAAATATAAATAATTCAGCACAAGCTTCAAGCAATGCTGCTTAATATTGGTACTTCAGAAATGTGTTGTGAAATTCTGCATTGCGTCAGATTTCTAAAATCTTTTTCAAATTCCTTAAAAATGTTGTATAATGAGATTTTCACAAGCATTAGAATTGCTAATTCTTGTGACTTTCTGTGAGAGGTGTTCATCAAATAATCATAATAAAAATATCACTAATTACCACAAATTAGCATGTAAACTGCATATTAATTCCCTCATTAATCTCAATACTAAGATGAAATGGGTTAGGTCATCAATGAATCACTTCAAACTACAACTCTGCATGCGGTTTGAAAATTGATCAAGTCTGTTCATAGCCAATTACAGAAAAGGGCCCATTCGAATTAGTAACCCTCACCAATTCTTTAAAAACTACCAATAAATCACCGTCTCAAATTACAAAGAGATGGAATTCGACCTAGACCTAAAAGTTTCTTATTTACAATTTGTTTGCCCCTGTATCGTCAGTCACAGTGCCAAACTGACTACAAACTACCCAACTCTTGGTAATTTCATTTTTTGTTCAGTCTGTCGTTGGTTTGGTGCTAACCTCGTTGGTGTGACCGAGGTATTACAGGAGTGTGAAGAAAACAGGAATACGCCCTAGGGGACCTATGGCTTTAAGCCTTGTCTGAGGGACTAGTTCATCACTAATTTTCGTTGTTGCTTTGGTTGACAACTGGAACATGCAAACGACAACTTTAGTCAACTTCTGTCACGTCTACATGTGGATTGTCTGTGAAATGTTGCACACTAATAAAGTTGGCAATACATAGATTATTTTACCCTGGAAAACAAAGGATTGATTGATGCCTCATCCATGCAACTTGCCATTTGGCTGATGTTCTTGTTAGTACATAGTATTAAACCTGAAACATCCTTTATCCAAGAGTCCTTATTCCTTCCGCATGTACATATACTAGTACATGTATGTCCATGTTTCAGAACACTGAAGTTTTACTTCCTGAAGATTAGATAACAGTGCTTGCTTGTACAATTACGCATTCATTTCTGTATCCCAGCAATCCCTATAAGCCCGTATCATAACTCATTATGAATGAATTCTGATTCTCAAAAAAAGGTCAACTGTTAAAGAGCTCCAAATATCAGATTAACAAATAAGATTTGATAACAAATGAAGTGGAAACAGACAAAATTTCATGTTTTGTGATCCTAAGCCTGTGCATGTAAAATGATTATAATTATTGTGTATTCCATTAAAATAACCTGGTTGAAAAGATGAATGAAGAGTGGGGAGCACAGCAATGTCCGTTTTTCATGTGTATGAAAAATATCCATTTGTGGAGCTTTCAAAAAATGCTGCAATGGTGGATGGTAAAATTTCCCATGTAACATAATTTTGAAGTTTTGGATCAGCCAGAGCACATAGATTTTGTAAATATGTCCAACATATATGTATGAATGACATAGGTGTGGAACTAAAAGATGGGCAAAGATTTACACATTAATTTTAAAGTAAAATGACAATGATTTGAATACACATGTTTTTCATTGCGGTAAAATAAAATTTGGTATACACATACTGTACATGTGAACGGTGATAACATCTAATAAAAGAGGTCAAATCAACGCACATCAATGCAGGATGTATCTTGTTCTTATGTAAAGAGTGACATGTTGTATTCTACACCAATATGAAAATGAAAGGGGGGGGGGGAGGATTCCAAAAGAATCAATATCATTTAATACCGAATGGGTCCAGACCAATGCAACAATATATATTTTGAACATGTCTTTCCACACAGAAGAAATGAGGGGAGAATACACACACAGAAAGGTGGCGCCATTTTACTGAGAATGTTTCACATGGGTAGTGAGAGATGGACTTTTTTTTGGAAATGGCTGAAAAGCACACACAAGCAGAGACAAACTCTTGCAATTCATGCAAGATAAAAAAAAAAAACTTAAAAAAACTGCAAGAAAACAGTTTGTGTGGCTGCCTTTCTTCTGTTACCTTTGGTGGTTTTGGTGTTGTGAGCACCACCGTGGGGCTGATAGATAGACGACATGTCCATTGAAGATGAGGGAGGGTAAGGGATCTCGGACCCGGGGTAAGAGGCAGGGCGGGGTGTGCTTGGGACTTGAGGGGGAGGGGGTGGGGCTAGGTGGACATTGGTAAAATAAGAACAAAATAAAGGAGCAATAAAAAGAAGCGTTAGTTATTAGGTGTGATTTGAATTCAATGTACATGTACGTGTTCAATAAAACAATAATAAAAGGCTCTGCACCAACAGGGCTACAAGTAGGACAGAAACCAAAGAAATTCTACTCCGGACCCTCAACTTTTCAAAAAATTGACATGGTCTCGTGCACATGGACCCACGTTATTTTGGTCCTGATTTCCTGGAGATAAAATTAGTTTGGAGCACTGATTGTATCAATCACCTGCAAGAGAACCATATCAAAATGTTTCTAAAAAATATGTTCCATCTCTCTTTTGCGTCAGCTTTGTTTTCCAGCTGTTTCAAGTTAAACAATGTGCCAATGGCAATTTGATTTGAGGTTATATAAATCCAGCTTGTCTGCGGTCAGTGTATAACCAGATTACATGAGTCAATTACACTCTCTCTACAGTCTCCAGGTATAATTAGAATTAATTGAACGATGTAACAACTTCCTCATCATTTGTGGCTTCAATGTCTTTACAGATTAAAAATAGAGATGGACGGTGTAAAAATATTTAAGAGGATAAGCGTGGGGAATAAATGTAATTAGACCAATAACAAATGACCTGGAAAGGTGCCATTTAATTGAAGCGTTGTTTTCCTGCACTGTTCAATAACACTCTCTGCAGGTACAAGCATCACCACCACTGTACAACTACAGTGTATATGAACAAACCAAAACCTAGTACATGCATGAACAGATCTATTTCATTGGTGAGGAAGACTCAATTAATTGGTATAGTAAAAAGGAGGTGCATCTTAATGATGTTTGCAGATCGTTGCTCTCCTACATAAACACTAGTTGCTATAGCTTCAAGTACAGATAACATGTGCTTGCATGAGACTCACAAAACTTACTGTACTTGTTTACAGACTGAATACAAATTACGATATATTGTGACTTCTAATTCATTATGCCAAGTTAGGATTTGTCTCATGCAGCTGAATGAAAACTTATCACGACCTGATGCTCTTACAACATTCAAGACTTGTTTTTTCATTTTATTGTGACTTAATTGCCTTTATCAAGCAAAAGGCCACGAACAAATACGTTATAAACTAAATGTCTTTAGACTTTAAAAGTGCTAAATGTTATTCAGGTTTTATAGAATGAATGCAGATTTGCAATATTGAATCAGCCATTTATATACATTTTTAAAAATTTATGTGCATGATTCACTGATAATATAATGTTAAAGGCAAAGACAGCGCTCAGCTCAAATCCATTATACAGGAAAATCTTCAGATACATGTACAGAGCTAATCCTGCAAAGAAAAATTAAAAACTTTAATTTCATGGTAAATCATTTCCAATGTTGCTCTCTAGATGTTAAATCTTATTTTGCATGAGACAAACTTACCATGTGAGGGGGCGTGTACCACATTCTGAGGCTTAGGATCTGGACTTGGCGTAGATGGGGCAGGACGTCTCTTTTCTGTGAGGGGGTGGGGGGGGGAGGGGGAGGGGTGGGGAGGAACAGAAAGAAGTGGATACAAATTACATGATAGAAGATCTAAACAATTACATACCGGTAATCTAAACGAGTTCCAAATTTTCAATGAGAACTTGGTATAATTTTGCATGTGCAGTGAAACAGGTATATAAAGACTGCTCAATAGAGACGACAAATGTGGTCTTTATACCACCTGTTTTGAAGACCACATTTGTTTTGTTTCCTTTGAAAAAACATTTCTCATGGAAACATGTACTAGAGAAACTTGTACGTAAATAACATCTGCCCATAAAGACCACTTTTCTCGTCTCTAAGCATGCTTAACTGTATTTTTGTTGTTGGAGGTTGTATAAATTGCATGAATGAATTATAATTTGTCTTGTAAACTTATGCATATACATTAATGTTCCCACATAAAGGCTATGCAGGCACCTTAACTTAAGAAGTTTTCTTTTATGCATGTGAAGCGATACTGTTATGCGTTACGATCGGTTCAGTAGACCTGTCTGGGATATTTTAGACGACAGGAGAATTACAATAAACTGACCCTGACCAGCTGGACATTCTCAGCCTAAAGGGTCAGTATTTATTATAAAATGATGTAGTGGATCCTAATCAAATGATTGGTTGAGAGCATACATGTGACCACGCATTTATTTTGACTAACACATAATTTTTCTAATGACCGGTCATTAGTAAAATCATGTTATAAAACATCATGTCATAAAATAAATAAAACATCATCTTATAAAACAAATAATACACATAATTTTGTTCGGGCATTAGTAAAATTACTCACACTCGGTACCTTTGAAACAGTCTGACACGCCAGAGGCGATAATTCCAAAGGTACCTTGTGTGGGTAATTCTTATACTAATGCCCTCACTGATGTGTATTATTTGTATACTAGAGTCATGGCTTGCACAGTACTTGATTTTCATGTACTGTACATGTCTAGCTGTCTACACTCCCCTTCTTCCCAAGCAAAAATTATGTGATATCAAATCAAAGCAACAGAATGAAGCACTACATATTGTCTTGTATCATGCACCATGAATAATAGTATCAGATCCATACTTTCATGGCTTAATCATCCGACTGGAAAGGGAAAGAAAAGTTGGCTTGAAAATATAACAATGCAACTGTGATACTTTAATCATGCAAGAAATAGGCATTGTATGAGTACAATGGAAATCTTTCTCCATCGATATGTGCATTTGTATAACTGCCTCTACATGTACACAATGTACAGTGAGTACAAGGAAATGGGAAATCATAGTTTATTTTAGTTTCTCTCTCTCTCTCTCTCTCTCTCTCTCTCTCTCTCTCTCTCTCCTTCTCCTCTCCCTGTCTCCCTCTCTCTCTCTCTCTCTCTCTCTCTCTCTCTCCTTATCTGTCTCCCTTTCCTTTTCTCCCTCTCTCCCCATATCTGAAATTCATCCAAAAAAGAAGACCAAACATCTAAAAATTTCACATCAATGTAGGCAATTCCAATCATTAGATCATGCCTAATCACTTCTGATAACAGACTATCTCTCACTGAAAGAATGCTCACGTGGGAATACAATATTCAAGTAATCTGGATGACAGCGAAAATATATTACTAAAATATATGAAAAATGAGAATGCATTTATCTCTCCCTTCTTGATCGCTCAGAAGTCAAAAGTAATTACATTAATGTGCCAATATATGAAAGAAGAAAAAAAGGCATAAAAGTCTATTTGTCACATTACTGACATATCTTATTCAAAAATATTCATAGTCAATATGTCACTTTACTGACATATCTTTTTCAAAAATATTCAAAAATACCTCAAAAGAGGGATAATAAATGACTTAAATGTTAGGGACAGACAAAGATGAAGATAAATTAGTCATTTGAAGATCAATTTATATTAATCATTTCCCTTCAGAATTCAAATAGGAGGATGACAGGAGTGGCAAGCATTCCTTAACTAAACAACGTGCTGAGAGATGTTTAGGGAGTCATTGGACCAACAATAAACTCCTCCTTCTTGTCATCTAATGTGCTTGTCACTGATTAGCACATCTTGTAGCACTCCAGGAAATCTAGTCACATGCATAATTAACTGTCCTCCAATACTTTTCCCCTGTCTGGTTTTCATGTCTGTCATGCTAGAAAGTGTGCACACAGAAGGAAACAAAATTTTCTAGGATTGAATTACAATGTTTGGCCTTGCTTCACATACTGATCTGAATAAAAGTTGAGAATATGCATGTGTGCAGGGGTGGATCCAGGATTTTGTAAAAGGGGAATGTGCAAAATTATCAAAATTCCCAAATTAAGGGGGCAATTCTCTGTGTGTTCTATGCTTAGGTTACAAGGGGAACCATGGCCTGGTTTGAACCCCCACCCTAAATCCACTGATCACTGTATACCAGTACCTTGAAGTAAACTTTTTGGTCATGGGCCTAGACTTGTATATTTCCATGACACAGTACTCACAATATTCAAATATATAGTACTTATCTGGAAAAAATGACTTTCTGCAATTCTGCATTACAATTAATTGTTACAAGACTTACCGGTATATATATAGGTCTTGAACTAAAGAATTTTTGGAGATATTTAATAATTCTAATAATTCTACTACTACCGGTACTACTACTTATAATAATATAACACACACTATATTGTGCCATCTATAGATAGTAAAACTATTTGAAGGTGCATTATGGAATTAAGACAGTAAGAAAGTAGAAATATACTACAGGATAATATAAACTGTTTTGAGTTACATTCTGATTATGTATACTTTCGAAAAAATAACAGCCCTCAGGTTAGACTTGGGTTAGGAATCAAAATTTAAAAGGAACGTATATATGAGCTTTGTTCTTGGTTCCATAAACATGGTGTTGAACAGCTTAGAAAGCTCAGTCTCAAAGATATGACCTTCTTCTCTTTTTTTTTAAGCATAGCTGTTTATGCCATTACTTTATACTAAAATTAAGAGCTTAAGACGTTTAAAACAGGCAGTTTTGATTAACATTTCATGATTTTTGCTTAATAAAAAAAAACATGCATGTATGGAGGCACCTAAGAGGCTTGTTCAGATATGGCACGGTAAACCACCGCAAAAATGCCACAACGTTTTTTTTTTTTTAAATGTTAATGAATGGCAGAAGCAGGTAACAAGGATGGTGAAACGTAGTACACTTTACAACATCATTTATAAACCACCATGGTTTTGCAGTATCATATCTGAACGAGCCTTTATTGCCCTTTGATAGATGTAGTTCCGCTAGACACCACTGCGAATCATATTTACAATATCTGATCAGAAATTTGGATTCAAACTTGTCAACTCACCTTGTCTCCTTTGCTGTCTACGTTGGATCTTATCATTGATCACCTGCTTAAAACCATTGGCCTCAACCTCGTTGGCGAAGTTCAACCCGGCCCAACAATGCTACAGAAACAAAAAGATAGAAGAATTGGTGTGAGGGTAACAATGACAGAATATCAATGCAGTTTGTCTTGAATCTCCCATCATCTTCGCAAGCACAGGTTTGACACTAAAGAGCTCCACGAAGACAAATGCAGACAAAAATTTGCAACTGACTTTGTTCATGTGACATGAATTCGTTTAGAATAGAATTTTAAAAAAATAAAAAAAATAAATCAAGATCGTTCCAATTACCAGCAAGGAATCAAATTCATTTGTACCACAAGTTGGCACAGAGAAATGATCATCCCAAGTACTTTTTGTGGCATCTATCATCTGGAATGCATATTGGTACATGCTGGCATTGATAAATGTCACCATAAGCACAGAAAGCAGCGATATTCCAGTAAATCTTGTAGTACACTGGTCCCTCCAATCCAAGTTTTTTCAAAGTTTATCCAAGAATAATTCTTAGAGCGCACCGTGTCATCTGTAACATGTCACCACCATGCATCTACAGACAGGAGTTTCAGGGATGACTCAGGTCTTACTGACTTCATATCCTACACATGATGTCTCTCTCTCTCTAATAAAAGTTCCTCTTCCTTCTCTCTCTCTCTGACACAAACACACTAATTAACTATCCTCTCCTACAGCACTAGCCAATTTGCATGAGAATGACCTCCCATTCATTAATTAAAGTCACAATATCCTGTAGTAGCCCCTTCCCCTTCCCCTTCGTATTGTTGAGATTTATCAACACCCTTTCTACGCTTTGAATGGGGGAAGGGGGTCGGGGCATGTTCGAGGAAGTTGTTATCAAGCAGGACTGTTCTAGCTCATCTAAACCGCCTAAGTCAGCTGGTAGTAATTAGATTCTCGGCTGATAAGATTGTCATGCCAAAAAATAACTTAAAAATAAAAGGAAACAAAAAAAAGAGGAAAAAATTAACTTTAAACCGACACAATCCCCAAAACTCATAGATCGCCTAATCACTGGTAGAAAGTTAAATCTTGAAGGATTCTACTCTGCTAACCTACTAATTTATTTTATTCAAACAAATAATTCAATATATTAGTTATTGCAACCAAATGTAATTTGTTGTTTGCATTGGTTACTGCCAGGTAAAACAAAGTTTTATTAAGGAAAGTTCTAAAAGTAATTTTAAATGAAACAGAACACTACCATACAATGCTTTAGATGATATAATGAGACATATTATCTCACATATAAAATATCAATTTAAAATAACATGCTATTCAGACACTATAAGATATTTGTCTGTTGCTTGATCTAAAGCCAAATTTTATAGCTATGGGCAGGTATTCAATTCATGACTTTCTTGTCCGAAATATGAGTACCGGTCACAATTTTCTGCCTAGATAAACGACGTAGCAAAGTTTGGTATTCATTCGAAACAAGTTTAAGACAGATCTCTAGCAGGCTTAAGCCAATTATTCTGGACATCTTGAGGCATATGGTTTTCATACACAGTAATCATAAGCTGGGCACAATTACATCAGCACACATTTAATGTGACACATTAATTATGAATTATTTTTGGATTGACCATGAGATGCCACGACGCTTTATCAGGAAGTGTTTTTCTTTAAATTAGGCTTGCTAAAGTAAACTGTGTAGATGTGATCTGAATATGAAGGAAGACCTATTACTTTGATAGCTACATGTAAGTAAAATGCTAAGTAAAACACTGACTTAACCATCTCAGAATTGTATGTGGCCCCCTGTTCTGTAGATAGATTACATACATGAACTGAACAACAGTTTACTTACGTCTGTTGCAAACATATGAAAGAAGGACTCCGGAGTATCATATCTAAATTGGTTGTAGAGTTCCTGTTCCCATAACATTCGTCCACTCTGAAAAAATAATAAAATAATGAGCAAAATATCTTTTAAGTACACTAATGAAAATACAAAGAAAGAAAATCAAAAGAGCTGTTGGTACATTAATTCAACGTATAATATCAGCTCTAAATATCATTTCTTAGTAAACCAGTTTCAAATTAAATGAGTGGATTAAAGCAGAGATTGATGCGTACAAAAAAGTTGATTACAGTACATGCACTATTATACAGATGTCATGTTAAATACTTCATGCAAGTGTATGAATAATTGGAATAATTATCAAACTTACAAAACTCCACATCATTTTTATTCAACTGATACACCAACAGATAGCAAAAGAGTCTTTATAGTAAGGACAACACCAGGAAAATATTTCTCTAATTTTAATACTAAACAATTTCACATGGCTTTTCCTTTCCTTTCAAATCAAATACAATTACAATGTTATAGCATGTACATATATTCCAAAATGGAACATGGAAAGGGCCTCTAATATTGACCAATACCAATCTATGATCCCTGGATTTTGATGCCCTTAATTTTATTATCCCATAAAATTCCCACGTTGTCAGGTTACTCCATCAATTCAAAGAACCAACGTGATACCTGGTGTCATAATCAGTTGATCATTCTAAAAATGGTAAAATCCTATATGAATATATGTATGATATATTAATAGACACTCCATCAGCAATAGCACCAGCTGCAACATACATGTAGGTCTGAAGAAGCTTGCAGCATGCAAATGAAAGCTTTGAAACAGGTGATTTTTCTACTGATTGTGAAGAAAGAACTAATTCTCATTGTATTTTTTCAAGATAAAATAGGTTTCTTTCTCTGAGACATTTTTGTTACTTTCTATATTCATACTAAAAAGAAAAGGTTGAGTTCTGGCAAGAGTGGACAATTTTGTAAGCTCTCTCATTTATTTTTACAATACCCATGGTAGGATTACATGCAAATGAATGCTCTAGAAATGTCCTAATACATGTGTTGTAAAAAAAAATGACAGGTTGTTTATAAGTTTGGGCCAAAGTTTGTTTTACATAAAAGATTAAAAACTATGAATTATTCTAATACATAATGAACCTTCCCTATAACTATTAAAAAGGTTCTTGCACAATTCAATTGTATGACCAGCAGTACTAGACTTTACTGTAAAGTCAATCAAGATGAATTGAATAAACATAAGCATTTCTACAGAGTTTCTCCAACGAAAAAGAATCCCCAATTTTTGAACTTTTTAAAAACTATTATTTATTTTGAGATGCACTGTATACAGCTTGGTTACTCACATGCAGGTCGAAAATTCTAATGAAGTAAGATCGCTTTTCGTTATCTTTGCAGAAGCTTATGACGCCACAGAATTTCTTGTTCCAACCGTTCTCATAGAAGTAGACCTGAGCAACTGCGGTGGCAACACTCTGGAAAAGAACATACCGGTACATGAAATGGACTTACATGTACTTTGATTATAAGGTAAATAATAAAAAAAATTATTGTTTCCAATGCACCAAGTCCAATTGCAGTAACTCATGAGCTTAATTAGGCCCAATAGAAAATCACAAGAAAATATGAATATACAATAATCAATTTTGAAAAACTAAAATGTATAAACAGATACAGAAACAATGCAAGGCGTTTGAAAAAGGATAAAAATATCCACAAAATACAGGTACAGTGTACCGGTAAATACCCTGGGGACAGGTAATGATGTTCATACACGTATAGCTGTCCACTTTCCTCTTGTCATGGAGAAGTACTGTAAATGTAGTTGAAGAATGAATATACACAACTTGAACTTCATGTAAGCACTTTGAAGAGACACAGAACAGGTCAATTGTGTATGAAAATTGAGAAAGACCAATGACTGCACCACTGAGAGGCACTGATGCAAATACGCTCAGTCAATCAGAACATTTTCTATAATAATTTCATCCCGATGCTCCTCATGGCCGAGAACAGATATGACGTCTGCTCTTTTTTGCTTTTGAGAAGAAAAAAAATCCCCCTATTTGAAGATGTGTGTTTTCTGCCGTGATCACATCTATATCTCTCCCTCTGGCAATTATAAGGATCTGTGCCCTCGCTGCAAAAATATTTTCAAGTACAGTGTACTATGTTAAAGATCACACTTTCTATTTAAAGGTCATGCGACTCTGGTTAATTCGTATTGATGCAGACTGAACAGTCCTAAAGTTGGAGAGATAATTTGTTCATATTTTGTTTAAACAAAAGTATAATAACATTTATGCAAATATTATGAAACATGTATGTGATCTAATTTTATACCCCAAAGGCTTCCGAAAAATATGGCTTTCCTGGGATTTTTTTTGGTACAAAATGAACACCCAAAGAAATGCTTCCTTTTTACTTTGCTTGGTTGCTTGCCTTGTCAGAGGCTTTTAAGAAATAAAGAAGCCCTTCAAAATAAATGTGATTTTCTTTTTTACCTAATTTCACCTTTCGCATAATTGTAGGCATTACATGTGCCCTTTGATACAGTCTTTGCACCTATTGTACAGTCCAAGAACTTTTTGGTATTTAATAATTATGGTAAAACAGGCTATAGCATCAAATCCTTTCAATCTGTTGCCAAATCAAATGCCTATGGAACAAACTCCCTGCATTTCTGAGAAATAGTACACACCTGATTTCTTCAAGAGACATATATCTGAAAACATACTGTACCTCTACAATTCTTGATTTGTCCTTAAGGGTAGTGCCTTAATGCCATAAATTCAATTATTATTATTATTATTATCATTATTATCATAATCATGGAATATACATGTATAAACTGAAGACATCCATTGGCATCCATTTCTAAAATCAAATTAAAGGGACTGGACAAGATAATACATTATAGCTATTACATGCACAAGACGTACATCACTGACTCAAATTCATAGCAAATTGACAATCCCTTGCTAATCCAAAGCAGGAAATGGCCATGAAAAGGAAATCACTGAAGGGCTCTGACATTTAGAAAGTAAGCACTTCAACTCCATCGTTTGAATGTGGACTGTCACCAAGACATATATACATGTAGTATGTTAAAACATTGTCAGCTCATCAAGCTGGATTGAACATATGAGTGATACAAAAAATAAATTGATGACTTAACTTGAAGACATAATCTTCATCAGAAATTTTATTTCCCAAATCAAATACCGGTAAGCAAGAGAAATGGGTGAGTATTACATGTAGATCAACATAAACATAAAGACATCTTATAAATCCATGTTTCTATCTCAAAAAATCTGCTTGCTATTGCAAAATATAAACATTTAGCTTCAAAACCAAAGGACGTTCTTAGTGATTGAGTTTTATTTCTGCAATAACAGGAAATAAATGCTAAAACTAATCCAACATGATCACTCCATTTGCTTTACTATCCTAAACTACATGGACATCTCCAGTTTAAAAAGATCAATTAAACATACATGTAATTCCCTCTGGCTACATGTAAACTTTACCCTGAATGTGAACATATGACTTTTCTGTGACCCTCAAACAAGGTAAATACATTTATGACTATTATGGCACGACCGATTCATGAAATCTTATCCTTTCAAAATATATTGCATAAAGGGCAAGTCCACAATGTTGGGGAGTCATGTATCTAAAAACATACATTTATTTGTTTATCTTCCAAGAGCATTTTTCCAACCTGATTTCATGTATACATTTTCTGACAGCCTTATCATTCACTTTACACAGCATTATTATTGGCCAGGGGGATTAGACCTTCCTGTAAGGTCGCTGACAGGTAGTTTTCTCATCGAATCAGCTCTCAATTAACATAAGAAAAGGGGGATCATGGGGGACCAACAGGCACCAATTAGGCATTGTTTGCTATATAGAGGGCGCAGGTACATGGAGCTATAAAGTAGTGCAGTAGGGCTTTAAAGTCAAATTGGCTATGCACCTCAAAATTATTGATGCATCTGGGCTGTATGGAAAGGGGGCTGTCCCCTCTAAGGTTTTTTAAATTTCTGATACTTGAGCAATCATCACCTCATATTTGGGCTACTTGCTGCCCCACAGTTCTCCCCCCCCCCCCCCCCCCCCATTTTAAATATTTTAGTCAGAGAATTTTTAGGAATTTTGTTCTTCTTCTTATGACGTGTGCCCAACCCTTGGAGACTCTGTGGCCATCAGTGGGATATATGATATCTAGTGTGTTTTAAAAACGAACAAATATATTAAAGATAGAACTGTGTATTTTTTTGCCTGCTTGATCACAAAATTTAGAAAATGGATATCCTCCTATTTGTGCAATACCAAAGGCAATAGCTACATTTATATCTGCAAACCTATAAAACGGCACCATTCTGATAGAAGAAAACATGCAACCAATCATCAGGAAAATGTGCACACATTGTGTGTGGGTAAGCCTGAATCCGATGGCCAGGGTAATAATATATCTGTAAAGCGCTTAGGCACATCGTTCGATCGATGTATTGAGCGCTATATAAAAAACAGAATATTATTATTATTATTAATGAACATTGCTGCAAAACTGAGTTTTGCAGAGGGGAAAAAAAGACCTTTATAAGTTTAAACTATAGCAATTTCATGTGCGAGCCTCGAGATTTCCATCCTGCTCCATGTAAAAAAAATCCTAATTATTACATGGCAACCTTTGTGAAAATATGACCTTGTTCTTGATTGACCATTGCAATCTGTTCAAATATTTAAGAGATATTTAATTTTGGCACAACTAAATGTTCTAGAAATAATAATGATTAACACTTTATTAATATCGAAGATCTTTTGTCCATTGATAAGAAGGACAAAATCCATTAAAAATCCATAAGTTAGACCTCCACCTCTCTCAACAATTATCATCACGAGACATAAACCCCGAGCTAGCCGAGGCCGAGTGAAGATCGACTGAACGTAAATTAGAGTAGTCTAGAAATTAAATCAAATTCCAAATCAGAATGAAATTGGAAGATCATCTAAAAACGATCTTACACTACTCTAGTAACACTAATTTTAATTTGGTAAAATCTAGATAATACACTTGTTTCATTAATTGTCTAACTGTTAATGTTAATACTGTAACTGTTACAAATTTGCACTCGACCATATAATCATCAATAGTAATACTTTGCAATGGCCAATGCCAATGGGCATGGCCAATGGCGATGCATGCATGCTAGCTACATGTAGTATACGTACGACGAGTACGACGACTGCACTGTTAACCCGGAAGCAGCAGACAATCCTTAAAAACACTGTTGTTTTGACTTTTGTAAACATATAAATCAAAATTCATGAGATCTCCATAGTCTTTGCTTACCGCACTTTTGCTTCCTACCAAACCGAAAAATATATCATTTTCTTGCGGCGTCAGGAGCTTTGAAGAGACATTTCTACTCGCCATGGTTGCGATTTACTTCTTCACTTCTTTATTTTCATCGCATTCTATTATCAATTGCACAAAGTACAATGCATAGCATAGGATCTAGGAGACAACGTCGTGCACGTTGCCAATTTTAAACCACAGGTATAAACGCTCAGATTGCGCACATAATAGTGGCAGGGGATGTGTATTGATTTGTAATAAATAGATTTAAAGATTTTTGTCCATGTAAAGTATATTTTGTTAATATTATTTATTAAATAAGTCTCAGAGTCTTACAAATCGGATTCATATTAACTGACAATTTCCAATCCTTAACTAGAATGTAAAATCGACAAACAGTAAGTTATGTAATACCATAGTTGTAGCTGTTTTTCTTTGATAAGAGTATAAGGGGGAGGGGCCAGATGTCGTTTTTATAAATTCCGATAGGACCAAAATCGGTGAAGCGTAACTGTTTTATTTGTCATTTTCTCCACTCTATATACCTCCTCTCTCAAATCAGGCTAGCTAGGCATCGCAGGCCTGTTTCATGCTGTCATATCATCTCAGACTCATCCCTTATTCGTTTTATGTTTCTCTTTCTCATTTGCAAAGTTTTGGGAAATTTTGATAATCGGATGGACACTAGCAGGCGCGTACGCAGGGGGGGGGGTGTTTGGGGGGTTAAACCCCCCCCCCTTGTATTTTTATGTGTGTAAACCCCCCTAAAAAATCCCTAAACCCCCCCCCCCCCCCCCCCTTTGGATTTTTTTTTTTTTTTTTTTTTTATTATTAAAAAAAAAAAAAAAAAAAAAAATTACCCCCATGCATGGCTGACCTAAGAAAGGTGACCTTACCCCCCCCCCCAACAGAGCAAAATGTCAAGTTTTCAAATTTCGAGACCAAAAAAAAAAAAAAGTGTCCTCTTACCCCCCCCCCCCCCCCCCCCCCCCGATTTTTTTTTGGGACCAAAAAAAAAAAAAAAGTTTCCGCTTACCCCACCCACCCCCCCCCCCCCCCCCCCCCTGGGCGACTTTTCGGCTGGCTGAGTCGTTGCGATTTTTTTTTGACTCCCCCCCCCCCCAAAAAAGTGTCCGCTTACCCCCCCCCCCCACCCCCCCCCCCCCCCCCCCCCGCGATTTTTCAAATTTTCCTGAGTCGTTGCGAAATTTTGGACCCGATTTTAAAACCCCCCCCCTTGAAAAAATCCTGCGTACGCCACTGGATACTAGTAATTCTTTAAAATGTTGATACATTTGGATGCCCCTGTGGATGTATTATACCGTAAGCACTAGAAAATTTAGCCTCTTAAACACTTCTGTTTTTGAGCAATAATACCTGTAATCAAAAATTGACTGGTGCTCCCGGTAAATTTCAAAAAGCGCCTACAGTAAGTTTATTTGATCCATGGTAGCTGCGACCATGAAAATCTCAAAATATGCAGTTCTGGTATATAATTTCCAAACGGGAATAGCAAATCGGTCGATTGTAGTTGTGAGGGGGGGGGGGGGTACTCAGATTTGGTTTGGGAAGGGGTGTGCCGCTCAAGCCTCGAAACCCATAACCATTTTTCGGGGGCAGTTTTCTCGAAAAAAAATGCCCATTTTCCACATTTTTCAGGTGTTTTTCGGGCATTAGAAAAAAATTTAAAAAAACTGACCCATTTTTAATAGTATTTTTGTTAAAAGTGGGGCCCATGTTTAGGGATTTTTTGTGAAAAAGTGACCCATTAGAGTGGCACACCCCCGTATGTCCTAATATATGAGTAAGTTAATAACATTGACCAACTCTGCGGTTAACCTCAATTTTTCCAGTTAAGTCGTTAATGCTCTACACGTACATGTACAAAGAAAAGAAAACAATTACAAACTATTTTATATTATTTGTTTTATTCTTCAAGTGTACATTTCTATTACTTTCTTATGTACATGTATAAAATAAATTTTCCTTTTTACAACATTAGCAGAGGCAAACATTTATGTGAATCAAGTGTCATATAGATATGTCATTCTTTAGACGGTCGATTTCATAAATATGTTAATACATACATGTGACATAATGAAATGCAGTCTTTTAAAATATATTAACAAACTTGGTCAAACTGTTCATAAAACAAAAATGAAAATAAATGTTAACTTGGATAAACTTGGAATTTTTCAGGCAATATCTACTCTAATGAAAACAGGAAAAAAAATATTTTCAAAGTGCTACAATCACCTAAAAAATTCTACAGCTAGAAAATGTAAAATAAACCTCAAAAGCTGCATATCACATTCTATGGGCTAACAAAGAAGTATGAAGAAAACAGAACCCAAGTTGGACATTAATATGAACATTAATAGTGCATTCTATATTTGCCAATATGAGATGGAATCATTAAAGCTGCTTCGCAAATGCATCTATGAGTCTAGCAAAGCTATCTAAATTTGATGAACTCCGATATTCCTTTGAGACTAAAAAAAAAGAAATTAAAGAGAACTTATTTTTAAAAAGATAAAATCAAACATATTAAAAATAAAAACATTCACACATCTTTAAATATATATTATTATATTATCTAACACAACAAAAATTCCACTACAAATTTCAGGAGATTCATCTATTAGGATACATTATAACTGCATATTTAGGTTTTATACAGGTTGATATAAATATGAATATTCAGCTACAATGCAGAGGTGTAATACAGATGTAATGACATGGCAGCTTGGTTTAAATGTGATTTCTATAATTCAGCACTTGATGTATTTAGTAAACTCAGTAAAACGCTTGAAATGATGGATACAATTTTAGAGAACAGATTGCAAATGAAATACAATTTGACCATTTCACTTCTTCAGCATTAACTGGTTGCAAACTCTTTTTACTCCTTTTCCGTTTGGGAAGGGTGGCACAAAGTTAAATACATGTTAAATGCTCTATCAAGTGCTTTTGTGTAAACTATTTACCGGTATCGGTAATGAGGTAAATAATATATTACCATGTTAATCTGCCTACATGTGCAGTCAATACTATATAGAGGGGGAAAATGCATATCCATTCACAGTTCATAGAGTGTAACATATTTAACAGAAATAGCAGTCAAACCTGTCTTATAGTGGCCACCTCTCTACAGAGGTCACCTTACTTCAGTGGTTGCTTTCCCTAGTTACCTTGCAGGGCCTCAGTAGACAGGTTTGACTGTATTATGCCTCATCATTTAAATAAGCTAAAAGTTAAAATTTCCCACAACTTTGCATCAGCTCAATATCAAAGTTTGCTTCTAAATTATATTGATAGTTTTGCAATCTGTGATAGTTTTGCAATCTCTCACAGTTTGATGTTACCAATTTCAATATGTTGCATTTTAAATCTAAAATGCAATTCGTCCAATCAAGAGCAGCAAAGAATATAAAGCTTTGGGGAAAATAAAAATGTTTAAAAAAAACCCAGTCACATGCATCAAACTTTAAGTGGCTAAAACATCTAAATTACACTTACATCATGGCAAAAATCATTTCATACAATATATTTACTTTTTTTTTCATTTGGTATACTTAAGGGTGTCCTTACATGAGCTTAATATGCCATATGTTTGGATAGATATAAGTTTCTTCCCTAAAATTACCCCAAAAGACCTGTTTACATAGATATCAGTTCCTTGACAGTATTTCAATAAGACCAGAATTTACATTTTAACACTACATATGCTTATGTGTTAGATAGATCCGAGACATGAAGTACCATGGGTTTTTGTGTGTGGAATATGCATAAAGTATCTGAACATAGGGAAATAGTTAAAGTGTAATTTATTAAACATCTGTAACCTTTTATTTTTCCAACATACACTAATATCAATGCACAATATACCTTTTCCTCTTACAAAAATATAATTCTAGTTCATTACGAGCAAACAGATAATTCAATCCTTTCTTCAAATACAGTATATACATTAAGAAAATAAATTCTAAAACATGACATAACATTTATAATTACTTCAAACACAAATGTCAAAGATCTCTACATATTGCTGGCCAACAAATTTCTCTGCATTTCCAAGTTCCTATGCCAGTCCTTTCTTGGAATCAAAATAATTTAATTAAAATCCCAAGCATATATAGCATGTAAAAATCAGTCAGAGAGAGAGAGAGAGAGAGAGATGCAATAAATGAATTTTTCTACAAATGACAAGTATCACGACAATCATGTTCAAATACAAGAAACAAAACTCAATTTTCTACAATACATATCAGTATACCAATTTATGATATCCTTGGCCGACTATAATGCAAAGTGATTGCCAATGTCTTATAAACAACATACTACCTATAACTAAAAACTATTTTTTTTAAAAGGCAGTAAAATATAAACATATACAAATAATCATAACCACACTCTTTCAAATGCTGATGTGAGATTTAATGATAGCACATTATAAATGGGTTCCTAAATCTGATACTCAAATCAACAATTGAGTCTTAGCATTGTTTAATAGATCACAAGAAAAAAGCTTATCATTAGTTCTAAGGAGTACCCCTGAATTAGAGCTGACTTTATTTGGGTCTTTGTTGCTAACAGGAGAAATTGGAAGAACTGTACTTCAAGATCCATTTTAATTCTTAGTATCTTAGTTTTGTTGCTATTACACAGGAGAAATTGCAAGAACTATACTTCAAGACCCATTTAAATTCTTGGTATCTTAGTTTTGTTGCTATTAAACAGGAGAAATTGCAAGAACTATAATACTTCAAGACCCAATTGAATTATTGGTATCTTAGTTTTGTTTTAAAGCCTGTCTTCTGCAACTGCCTAACTAAACCAAAGTAATGCAAGAATGACTTCATAAAAATAAAAATAGATATTCTCTGTTTGTTGCTTTCTTTTTCAATAAATTTAAACTAAACTGCCTGAATCACTTAGATTTTGAATAATTACCTCTTAATGGTGGGGGATTAAAAAGAGACAAGCCTAAAGGCTAAATGGTGTTATTACAAAAAATAAAAAAAGTAGATCAGTTACATCTTTCTCCTATTTTAAAATTGGGAACTACAAACTTATTTACTATCAGTCAAACATGCAAATCAACATATGTTTTTTACCTCATTTAACAAGGTGATAAAATAAACTTGCTTTTCAAAGTTAACAACCATTCTAAAATTTAGAATAAACTCACATATAAACCTTATTGAGTTATCAAAATTGATTTGAAGTATTGTGTGTGCACTCTTCATATTCCATTCAATCAAAATTGATTTGAAGTTTTGTGTGTGCGCACTCTTCATATATCAGTCAAACACTTTGTCTTGCATATCCTATTTATCCCTACTATGAATTTTAATATGGGCATCTTTGGACTCATCACAACTTCCATAGAGAGGGCAGCATATCAATAATAAGGATGCGCCTCTATCAACCTCTATCTTACAAACAACCTGCTAAGAAGAAAATAAGGTAGTGAGTTCAGACAAGAGCTCTCTCTTTATCTCTTGCAAAGAATGAAACATATATGAGTACAAGCAAGGGCAAATCATTTCACACACTAAATGCGAGGACGGATTCCAGTTGAGGATGAATGTTTGCTCTAAATAGTTGATTTTCAACAAAATTATGAACACTGAGAATTTCAAATTGACTTCATGCAAAAGAAAGATAAAATGATAATAAAGCCAATATCAACAAACATTTAGATCTGAAGCTCTGAGATTAGGAACTTGAATTCAAGCTACATTCATAAGACGTGGGAAAAAACGATCTAATTCTGCATATTTTGACATGAGTTTAAATTTTTCTGTTTACCAACCCCAAAAAATTGTATCTGGTGACAGCAGACACACATTAAGTTAAAGGTGAGCTCTGGTAACAAAAAAGAAAATGAATTGTCACAGAATCTAACGAAACTTACACTGAATGTTCAAGATTAAAAATAAATGTCATTTGTCAAACAATTTTGGTAGAAAATGTATACTGGCTGAGTAATGAGCATAGAAAGATTAGGAAATCAAGGTTAGTAGTCCCGACACCATTTGTGTACCGGTTGTTCCATATACATCTTTCTGTGTACAGTGCTTGTTACTTTACCAAGACTGGGCCAAATTTATTATGATTTTGATGACTCCAGAACTTTGCAGTACACACCATTACTTACATGCTACATGATCAACTTGTTCTGATCCATTCCACACCTTTTCTTTCGCAATGCAATCGAATGACCAGAACTCACCTTTATTTTTAACATGAATTTCACCAGGTCAAATGTCAAGTTTTTTGACGTGGGCCTCATGTAAATATTCATTTTACATAGCTCTACCATGTTTTTGGAAAGAAATTTTGCTACCTTATACCAAAGAAAAAGATAACCAATAAAAGTTCAACTTTTGTATGAATCTCACACTTCTAGAATGAACCATACACACATGGCTACAAAATAATCTGAAAGAGCAAATAAGATCAGAACAATCAGGAAAAAAAATTACCACCATTTTCACACCTACTTGCTGTGAAATAAAGAAAGTTTTTTGTATGCTGGCTATGCAGAACAATGACTAGGATGTCTTTTGTGTTACTAACAATGAAGCAAACTTTCATCCCTTTTATCTCTTCAAGTACTAGATCCCTTCTTTTCTCTTCCTAGGGGTATTTTTTTTCTCCCATACTCACTATAACAACAATATTGCTAATCCCTATTGATAGTGCGGGACTAAGACACTAACAGGTGCCTGGAACACACTGGCACCCAAAATCTAAGTCTGGATTACCAAAATATCAAAATAGTTTTAAACATAGCACTCATGCATAGGGACTCTATAAAAAATTAAATCTGGGCCCCCTTCCAAAAAATTACGAGTGGAGCCCTGGATTACAATGCGTACTGCTATAATGTCAAAGTCATGTGCATGCACTTGTATATGTAGAGTTACACTATCCTTGTAATCAAGTACATGGTCTTTCAAATGAGTTGAAAGTATAATCTCTACAAGTATAATTAAAAAAAACACTCCTTGCAATGATGTATACAATAGCAGGAGTTGATATCTAAAATAGGCAGTTATGTTATTTCAGTCGAATGAATGATTCCTACTTTTGCTAACATGAATCAAAGAGATGGAACCTAGTTGCTGAACTTGATGTTCACTTGATATTAAAGCCACACTGCACTACTTGTAGATACTTGCGCCCTCTATATAACAAACAATGCTTAATCGGTGACCATTGGTCCCCCATGATCCTCTTTTTCTTATGTTATTTGAAAGCTGATTTGATGAGATAACCACCTGTCCAGTAATCTTGCAGTGTGGTCTAATCCCTCCTTTACACTAGTACTGAAGGCCTTTAAAGTGCAGATGCTAAACAAAATTCACTGTTGTTCCACCCTCAGGTGATAGTAAGGCCAACAGTATTTTACGTATTTAAATTTTCTATCATTCTTGATTTGTTGATTACATTCAGAAAAGGGGAGTGACATATATATTACCAAGATTAGAATTAATCATACCGTCTGTCCAGTTAGCCTAGGCTGCATAAAACTGTGGCTAGATAAAAAAGATTTGTTGTGTTTTCAAACCTGAAATATTACATTTTTCAAACCTATTGCACATGACAAATGTACTACCTCTATTTACTGAAAGTAGAGTATACCAGTGGCATATGGACTGAAAATTTGTTTTTTAAATATCGATAAAAACAATAAAACATGAGAAATTACTCATGTTATGAATCCTTTAATCAAATCCGTCAAAAGTTTTAGCCTGTCGATGTCTAAAAAATAAGTCGTTATCTTTTTTCTTCTTTGAAGTATGAAATCAAATCATGGTAGATAAACAATAAAAAACATGCTGTGAAGCACGGATGTGTGCATGGTTAATGGCGGCGTACTTCATTTTTTGCTTCTTTATAGAGCACTTCTAAGGATTCTATACTGATGCAGTAGATATTGTTAACGTCTGTCTGTATGTATGTATGTATGTACGGGACTGGGCTTACTCCATCCAGGGAGTAAGTAAATCAACAGCCCTGAATTTCTTGTTTCTATACAACTTTAAATCCTAAAATTTGCATCATTACTTCTTTAGTATTAAATTGCTTTCCATATTCCTATCAACTAAAATCCCGATATTAGGGGTTTCAAAATTCATACTCAATGCAAAATTTACGAAACTCTATGTGACCACTTCAATCCCTTAAGACTTACTCCGTCTCGCTTTTTGGGCTTTGCAGACTTAGCCAACTGGCAGAGTTAGCCCTGATTCACATATTTTTCTAACAAGTCAATGAATTGCATGTTGCTCCATTGTCAATCAGCTAATAGTATGGCTGATACTAGAAGTAAAACATTGCACACGATCACCCAGGATTGATGGGCAGCTGATCAACATCACTCAGGTTGCATCCCATTTAATCCTCTTGATCAATGGAAGGACACACTACCTTTAACAGTAACAATACAAGCTGAAGGATCTCTGACTATGGCCTATTCTTCTCAAATGAGTCATGTTGATGATGTGCTGTAGAGAAAGATGATCAGAACAGAAGGTAAGTTATGATGACAGCACAAAAGTCACAATTTTTCTAACATCATATCACTATCTAAAAGTGGGAAATAAATAAATCACTGCACCAGTTAAATACGGTGTATAGAAGACCTATAGTGATGGGTGGGGTAATCTCCATCTCTACTTGTAATCATTTATCCTTCACTGTTATTTTCACCACACACTTTATGTTTGTCTTCCGCCTCCACATAATCATTCCTCCCCCCCCCCCCCCCCCCCCAACCCTTCATCAGACTATATACCTATCTGCATCTTTTTTTTCCCCTGATAATATACAAACTCAAAATACAAGGTTTGCTGACACTTTGTACGTCCTGACATTGTTTATCCAAACTACGGGTATAATATAAACAAGTTTGTATGCAATAATAATAATATATAACACTATAATATTTCTAAGGCACTTAATTAACAGTTCAGTTTCTCTATACACTGTACAAGTACAATAGATTATGAATGTTTTCAAATCTCTGAAAATATCATTAATGGCAAATATCCATAGTGTTTTGTGGGAATATGACAGCTATACTTTTAATAAGTATACAGAGATACAGACACACAATCCTCGCTACCCTACTTACGTTTGTAGAAAGTTGCCCTGAAATCTATGTCTGGTGTTAGGGTCTGGACCTTTTCCACTATGGAGGCCTGTTCAGAGAACCTGGAGTACCTGTTCCATACTTGAATGACATCATTGGTGTTCCTTATACTAACACTCACTCCACAGATTTCATCATCTAGTATAAAAGTATTGAAAATATTAACAGTTAACTTTGGATAAGTCCAATCTATTAGGACAACCTCCCCCCCCCCCCCCCCAAAAAAAGTCAACAATTCAACTTAGAAAGTATAAATAACACGTATCGGTATGGCAAAGCTTGGTCTAAAAAATTGATTTGACAAAGGGAAAATATAATGTTCATGACTTTGAGTCATGCAGAGTTAACTGTATTATAAACAAATTATAAAGTCATTCTTATTATAGAATAAAATAAACAATGGATACTTCATTCCTTAAACATTAAAGATGCATATCACAGTATATGTATGTGATGATTTCCCATAAAGTTTTTTTGGGGCAACATAGCAGGACTGGTTTTAAAAAAATTATTTACAGAAGGTCTGAATGATCTATACATCAATAAAAATCATTTGAATATCTTGTAATAAATTGTTATTAACAAAATCATAAGTAGATATAAAATTTCAGAAAATTGGCAGCAAAAGGACTGGTGTCGAAGAAAGCATTAACAGTTTACATTTCTTTCCTTTTTTTCAATGTTTTTTACCAAATGAATTTCTTTCCATCTGAAATCAACACCATGCAATATTTTATCACCTGGTGATATGCTTGTTGCAAACTGTTCCCCTACTGTTGCTAGTAGCACTTCTTTCCATAGTTTGGTCTATCCAGAGAGAAAAAAATAATACACACAAAAATTACTCATAAAGAGAAATGAAGTAAACAGAAAATAGGATGAGAGTTAGTACAATGAAAATGATGAGAATTTATGAAGGAAAATATAGTTTACAAGCAAACAATTAACAAACAAGCCAATAGGAATTTCAACCAACTAACCAATATCATGCACACCTTTGCATTATAGAGTGGTGAAGTGTGACTTCCTATTTCCTATAGGAGTTCAGTGTTATTTTTTTTCAGAGCAATATAACACTGAACTCTTATAGGAAATCTTTTTATTCAGATGGTCATATCTCAGCCAATACTTAACATATTCAATTGGCTTTCGATGAATGAAAGAAAATTGAGAAATTCTAAAAATAGATTTTTAAGACGTCACAGCTTCGGTATGCTGAGAGAATTTTGGAGAGTAGACCAGATATAAAAAAGTTGTCAAGAGACGATCACACTACTTACCGTATTTTGCTTTTGAACTTTGAACTTCCAGTCTCCTCCTTGTGCATTACATGGGTCTTCCCTATAAATAAATATAAAATAAATTCAGAAAACAAACTGTTAGAAAAGTGACATTGGCCTGAGGAAAAGTAAAAAGTTCTGTTATTAAATGAATAGTTTAAGTTTCAATAAGTATCAACTATTACTTAAACCTACAATTCAGATAGCAATAAAAAGAAAGAACATTTAAAAGCCATCATATGGGATTTATACTAGTACATTTTATAGAGAACTATATACTGTCCCAAATAGAATTAATGAATACCATTCTACACCTACACTTAAATACACTTATTCTCATGTAAAATGATCATTGAGGTTTGAAAACAAATTTATAAACATAATACGCATACAACAGAAGCTGGAGGAAAAAAAAGACCTGCCATATGAATAAAGCGTTATTGCAATTTTTGAATATCAATATGTATATAGTTACTTTTAGGTAAAAAAATGCTTACTGGTACACATGAAAAATGAATATACACTAGTATACACTGTATTATTTTGAAACCCTTACAATACAAATGGCTGCAATCACATGGTACAGTCAAACCTGTCTACAGCGACCACCCAAGGGAAACACAAAAAGTGGCCTTTGTAGACAGGTGGTCTTTGTAGACAGGATCCTTTATTACATGATTCAATGAGAAACCATTTTCAAGGGAAACAACAAATGTGGCCTTTGTAGACAGGTGGGCTTTGTAGACAGGTGGTCACTAAAGCAGGTTTGACTGTAGTAGGAAACACTAAACGATTCAACGCTCTTCATAATTCTTTTCATATACCGTAATTAACGGTGTATTAACCACACTTTTTTGCCGCCGAAAAAAATTGAAAGTCGGGTGTGCGTCTTATACACGGTACACAATTTTTTATTTTTTTTATTTTTAAAGTTTTGATTTATGCCCCTCCACCTGGCGCTATGCCTGGCAATGTCTCCCAGCTCAGTAATCGGTGTGTTGACTCACCACTCGGAAACTAAAACAACACTCAAATTTGTCTGTCATCTTGGTTTGAAAGTAATCTTTCTGATAAATCTCAATATGTATTTTATAATGATAATTCTTCCAATTTTTCTTCTATTACATGTACACGGCATACCACAAGGTTCTATCCTTGGTCCTCTACTGTTTTTTAATTTATATTAATGATGTTACACATTCAGCTGCACCTCGCAGTAAAATGAAAGGCCTTCCTGCGTGGGTTTTTTAACATGGACCTAGCTTGCTGCCGACAGAGTCTGCAAATTTTTTTATTTTTTTTTAATGGCGTAAAAGAGGGGTGGGGTTACACGGGGGCGGTTTATACACCGTTAATTACTGTAAGGAAAAGCGATCGTACTTCATTCTTGTGCCATCTTACTTAGGATTATCTTATGCAATCTTATATCTAATAAAGATTATCTTATGCCATCTTACTTCATCTAAGGATTAACTTGTGCAAATCTATGTCATACAAGGATTATCTTATGTCGTTTTACTTCATACAGAGAATATCTTTCGCCATCTTTTCTTATTTTAATATGTCATTTTCTATCATTTGGATTATCGTACACCATTTTCCTTCATATATTTCATAGATGCCACTGCCTATGGGAACAAGGTGCTTCCTATACTGTGCCATGGGCAATGAGAGAATTCAGATGTCAATGAGTTAAGCATGTAGTGTTCTTACCAAAGGGGCTTTACATTACCCCTCATCAGGTGGTAGCTGAAACGAAGGGGCAAGTCACTGGCATCTGGAATATTGTTGTAAACTCCCCAGAAATTCTGAAAGTACAAGATCAGAATTTTAACGGAAAGGTAGTGTTGACACTTTATACAATAATTTCTTGCAGAAAACTGAAAAAACATGTATTTCTGTTAAGTTAATACAATTTATTTCTGAATTTGAAGTGTAGGGAAAGAAGGCAAGCTGTTCAAAAGTGTTGATATTGCTGTTGTTTTGTTTTTATTTTGACTGAGAGTAAACTTGATTATCAGAGAAAAAAAAAATCTTATTGAACTGAATGAAAGCAACAAATTAAAAACTTAGTATAACATCATATCATATAAATGAACATGACTAATGTTCCTATTTTCTGTTAAATTATATGCTGTGAGCCAGAAGAGATAAACACATAAGGAATGTATAGAAGTAAACACTGCTCCAGCCAGGCCCAGAGTAGAAAAAACAATGTCATTCATTGCCTAAGTTTAATATATGTTTGATTACATGCATTTCTTACCTCTACCGTTTTCACAGTGTATATTTCTTCCAAATTGGCCTCTACCTCTGCTGCTGTGGCAATTGGCATAGATCTATGACAAAAAAAGAACAATTTGAAATTTTGTATAACTTTACAGTTTATGGATCAAGGAAAAATGAAACTTTTCCTCATCATCAACGTTGAAATAAAACAATTGTTATTTTCAGAAAGTCTTTTCAGGGCCGACTTACAGGGCTGATTTAAATAACAAAATACTGCATGACCTCTAGTCTTAGTCTTACGAGAGTTCGGGATCTTGTTTCTGGCTGAAAAGCAAATAGTCTAAATGCGGTGCACACAAAAAAGGAACAGTTTTAGACTTTTAGCCTTGCCATTTTGATACCTATTTCATGCTAAAATACTATACTAGCAATTAGTTTTATGAAGGTGCACGCACTGAGTTTGCCGAATTTAGCTAACTCCATGCGTGGACGGTTTGACACTAATCGCTATTAATTATTATCAAGTACAATGTGGACCAAGTTTTTTATGGCTTATTTATTATTAGCCAAGTTGATTACCGAAGTACTGAGACTACTGGTCGTCTAAGTGGCAACTTCCTCTGAACTCTCAAAAATGCAAAACCCTTCATCTAGGTTACAACAACCCTCAACAGACTTACGTCATGGAGAACGTTGATGCAAAAAGAGATCTGGGGGTTTTAGTTGACAAGGATTTGACTTTCCGGAAACATATCGCAGCTATGATACAAAAGGTAAACCAGATGTTGGGGATCATCAAGAGTGTTTGTCAATACCCATCAGGACATCCTCATACCTCTGTACAAAACCCTGGTACGCCCACATCTTGAGTATTGTACTGTATCATGGAATCCCTGTTTCATGGCAGATGACCGCAAGATTGAAGCTGTGCAACGCAGAACAACAAGAATGATTCCTGGTATGAGTTCATTCTCCTATCCTGAAAGACTTAAGAAACTCAATCTACTCTCACTTTGCTACAGGCGTGAGAGGGCCGATATGATCCAGGTTTACAAGATACTTCATGGAATCGACAAACTCAGTCCAGAACATTTCTTTAAGAGACCAGAGTACCAATTCACTTGTGGACATCCATTGAAACTGTTTAACACTCATCGCAAGCTTAATGTCAGACAGTCAGAGGCTGTTTTATCAGTAAACGTGTCATCGAGCTATGGAATAAACAACCAGAACCTCTAGTCACTGCACGCAACATAGGTATCTTTATAAACTGGTCTAGATAAACACCGACTTGTTAAACAATTTCATATAACCTGACATCCACGCATTCTGCACTACGTCTTAAGTCCCAAACTGACAATTGAACTTAGACTATATCTTGGAAGATGACCGGGAGACCTACAGGACTACCTCACTCCCGTATATCGATGATGATGATGATGATGACTATAGCACGAAGAAGAATTACACACAAAACTCGCGCATGCGTAATGGGCTCTTCTGTTTGCTCAAGCCCGACTGACGTCATTTTTCATTCATAAAAGTGCTAGCGACAAGATGCTCGTAGTTGATTGGGTGTTTACTCATTTCATTTGCATATTTTCCCACAATGTTAAACCTATGAGTGCGATGATTTCTGCCTGCTACTTCTCGATTACGTTGATATCAAACTCGTTATATTTCCATCCCGACTTCAATTTTTGAACAATTTTTTTCGCCATCTGTGTCATCGATATTTCTAGGTACTTTCAGCAAAATCGTATGGTGGTTCTTTGTTTCGGTCAGTCATATTTTTTTATGATTTCGTCTGAAGTTTTTGTAAAGGATATGTATGTGTAGGTTGAAGTGTGTGTAAAGCTACGTGCAAATTTTATGTGAGCGACATGAGTGTGTAGAGAGCGACATCGTTGAAACCATATACACTAAATGTGTCTTTGGGCGCCATTTTTTGCTTGGTGTTCGCGTTAAGTGCAGGGCCCCGCTCCGCAACACGGCCGCAACAATACACGGTACAATACACCGCTCACAGTGTAGCGAATCGCCCATGCCTCGCAGCTAGCAGACAAGCGAGGGTCGCGCGATCAGCCAATCAGCGGCATGTATTTCCGTTCACTGAGTTGGATAGGGGATTCTTCTACGTGTAGATCTAGTATAGCTGGATAGCTGGGAAAAACAACACGCGACAGTGAAAAATATCAGTGCAAGTTTCTTTATTTTTGGACACGATTTCGACCTCTGATGTATATAACTGGATAACCAGTAGGGGCGAGGTCCAAGAATAAGGATCGTCCGCTCAAACGAAGAGCGTCTTCGTACACACAGACAGACAACCTGAAAATTGACACGAAACGGGTAATAAACATAACGACTTTCAACTCATGATCTTTATTTTAACATTTGATGAATATTTACTTCATTTTGGGTATGTTGTAGTGGGGTATCTCCACGCCGGAGGTACTGGTCGAATTTTGGATAGGTTTGTGAACAAGCGCCGTTTAAATTTAACTCATAACTGTTGTGCTGGTCTGCAGCAGTGCAGGGGCCCCACCGCCTGAGCCGCATTATTATTGTGGTCGTTTACACAACACCGGTACCGGCGAACTTTGATTGCGTAGACCCTAGTGTTAACTGTAAATCACCCCCAAATGTAGACCGAATTTTCCGTCTCTTTCGTTCGTTAGCCTCTTATTGGGGTAGGGTCGGCTTTCTCTTTAGAGACGGAAACCGTCTATACACATTACCTTGATAACGCCACGGCCATTTCAGGTCGTAGCGTTTTGCCCCCAAAATCCCCCAAAATGTCATTTTACCTCGTGCATATCCACATGTAAATAAGGCCTAGGCTATAATACATCGTTTCCACTTACCAACTTGACTGAAATAATCAGTTTAATAGTCCCTTTTTAGGAAATTATGGGTCAAAATCGAAATCCATTTTGAAAATCTTTTTCAACATGGATTTCGATTTTGACCCATAAATTCCTAAAAAGGGACTATTAAACTGATTATTTCAGTCAAGTTGGTAAGTGGAACTGATTTATTATAGCCTAGGCCTAATTTACAATATAACATGCACGAGGTAAAATGACATTTTGGGGGAATTTGGGGGCAAAACGCTACGACCTGAAATGGCCGTGGCGTTATCAAGGGAATGTGTATAGACGGTTTCCGTCTCTAAAGAGAGAGCCGGTGTCATAGGCGATTTGTTCCGTGCAGGCGATCGGTTCCTCCGGAACCGATCGCCTGGATATGTACCCGCCGATTTGTTCCGGATTCGTAGATTCGTTCCGCTAGTCACAGGCGATCGGTTCCGGCCAGGCGATCCGTTCCGAATCTCATCGGAGAGCGTGCGTGCTCACGTATTATTGAATACACGCCATGGTACACCCCTAAAGCAAAATGAACTATTCTGGTCGGCCTTTGCAACCAATCAAACTTTTCCAAATTAGCTACACCAACGATTGCCAATTTGAGAACTTTGTATAGAAATGCAGATTCCCGTTGTTCAAATATGTTGATAATTGCGGCCAATGATTGACCACAAACAGCGCCGTCGCGAAGCGACGGGGACTCGGTGGTCTAGCAAAAAGGGCAGTTGTTGCCATAGGCTTAGTTTGCCTGTAAAAGCAGATGTCGGGGTGTTTTCTAATCAGGCCTTCTAATTTGGTTTGAATGCTGCTTTATATGATATCGTGTTACGTCAACCACCTATTACCGGGCTTCGATCATCACAGAATCTAATTATGCATGTGGGCTGCATGCATGATGTACATGTAGACTCTAGTTTAAATGAAAGAGATGCGGGGTGGGGGGGGGGGGGGGGGGGGGGGGTCAACACAAAAAATATTCAAAAAAAATAATATTGGTTTTAATTGCAACAATATGGCTGTGTGACCAAAGTTCGCGCGTGACCAAAGTTCGCTTTCTCAAAAAATCGGTAAGATTTCGAAAATCTGATATCACCAATGGAAAGAGGATCATAAAATTACCCAGAAACGAAATTTTCTTTGGAATTGGGTGCGAAATTGTGAAAATATTGACAAAAGATCGGCACATTTTGCAGTTATTTGCGTCCGTTCCGAAAAATTACCAACTTACCGATAAGGGTCTGGAAATCTTCATTTTGAGAGCAGATATCCTCAAAATTGTAAGTAATAAGTGGTACCGTCTGGTTGTATGATATTTTGCCTTGCAAATTATGAAATTACCTTATTTTTGATGGATCGTATTTTTGTATAAATCAGCTGTAAACCCCCGTGCGTGAACTTAGGTCTCGTTGTTTTTATGACTTTTTTAGATGCAGCGCGCATGCACGATCGGACATCGAATTTTTAGATCGCGATATCTCCGAAATCCTTCGACGATAAATGTTGTAGTTGAACCAATTGGTAGTAAAATACTTTGCCGTCCATTTGGTAGTAATTAAAATAAATAAATTTGTGTAGAATATGAGAAAACATGGATCGAATATCACATTTTCTAATTTGTTCTAAAATCTGCGCGAACTTTGGTCACCCCTTCATAAATACAAAAGTATCAAGATAAAGCTAAAATTTATTTTTACCATGTTTATTCGACACAAGTAATAAAAATATACGCGATTATATAAGCAGAAACGTTCGGCCTATGTCGGATAAGAACGGCGGCTTTCGAACGTATCTGCGAACGAGTCGATCCAGTAGATTCGTTCCGAGGAACAAATCGGCGCGCCGATTTGTTCCGCGGAACCCGGAACAAATCGCCTACCACACCGGCCGACCCTACCCCAATAAGAGGCTAACGAACGAAAGAGACGGAAAATTCGGTCTACCCCAAATGTTGATACAAAGATAGCCTTACCTTTCCAACCAAAATGTCCATGGTGTGTTGAGTGGAACACCTTCCTCCTGTGCAACTACACGATCTGCCAGACCTTCAAAAGAGATAGCTCTTTGAACTTGTTGTCGCTGTATCGCAGAACTGACAAATTCCGACGTTGCCATTTTGTCCAACGTCAAAGAAACTTGTGAAGAAAATTACATTGTTTTTTGACGCAGAGGGCTCACTATCAGTATAACCAAGGACACTACTGCAACCAACCACTGATCTTTACGGATTGTTTTTTCCCGTACAGATCAGTGCCATAAGCACTGGTGGCTGGTATCTCTTTGGTATCGCCAGGGATTAAATCGACCTATAGGCAATGAAATCAGTAAAGCCCAACATACGCATAAGATCTGACAATCGTCCATTTGGGAAGAATGTGCAATATCATGTGATATATGATTTTCATTTTTCATCTGAGTATTTTTTTTCATAAAAATCCTGAAATTTTATTAGAAACGGTCAATATATAAAGAAAGTTATTTTGTGGATCCGTGTAAATAAGTTGTCTTTAAACATTCAATTAAATACAAACTATATGCTTTTTAGTAATTCCCTAACAGGCTTACCGGGAGGCAAACTTTTTGTTCCGTTGTGAAGGTCACCTCCCGCCCACCCCCCCCCCCCCCCCCCCCAACCAATCTGGGGTCGGAATGACCGCATGTGTGTTACCAAAATGTCCGGTAAAGGGGTACTTTTCACGCACCAAAGTCCGGCTCGTACATACACACAATTGACTTAACACACCGGACTTAAGGGGTGTTTTCAAAAGGAGGGAACACGCATACCTAAATAACACTGAGTGGGGTGGGTGGGGGGGGGGGGGGTAGCCTCTACCAAGTTTCCTGGGTTACACATTGACGAGAAGCTGATTCTAAATTCTAAATTCGCTCACAAAAGGGTGATTAGAATTGTTTTTAATGTCAATTATCGTGTTTATACCAATGTTTTGTTTCATAATATTAAAGGTAGAATATATCTGCTCTTGCAGCGGGCTCAATCATGTATGATTTTGAAAATGGTACTCTCCCAAATGCGTTATAATAGTACAATCATTTAGAAAGAACAGTCAAATTCAGTAGACAGGCAACTCATTCCACGACCGTGTAAGAATAATATTACTGCCTTTGATAATACATAATGCTACTGGTCCCAAGTTTTGAAGCTCACTTCCTCGATGGAACTTGTTTTGTCAGTGTCTCGGTTTTTAAACGCAAACTGAAATTACATTATTGAGTAATTATGCTGAAAATGTTTAATGTAAAAACTATCATCATAATTATTATGATAGTATGTAATTACTTGTTTTGTTTCATTGTCTATACCCCCCCCCCCCCTCTTTTCCAGACTGGCCCTTACTTTTGACTTTACCAAAATGTCTTCATTTATTAGCAAACTCAGTTTGTTCTGTTTTACTCTATTGTACTTTTTTTCTCCCCTATCTCCCTCTCTCTCCTATTTCTTCCCCATCACCATTTCCCCCACATATAACTTTCTACCTTCTCAACTTTTCTCTGTTTTTTTTTTTTTTTTTGCGCTTTCGCAATCCGCCTTTTGTAGGCTATATAATTTTATTATCTTTCCATTTTCTCATTTTCATATATACATCAATCCTCTTTGTAATTATTTATACACTTATAAGGGAGTTTCGTTTTTAATTTGTTTCTCTTCAAAGTAATTAAAGCATTCAGGTATATTTGGGGACCTTGATCTAACAAGCCCAGCTTCTATAAGGTCTCCTCTTTCTTTCACGTACAAAACTTGATCTTAGAATACATAAGTAACTTTTTATAGAATTTCTTTTGTTAATGACAAGAGTTGTATGTTGAATATTAATATTGCACTTCAAATTATGTTTGTTATATTGATAATCTGCTGTTCCTGTTACTTTTTTTTGAAATCCTATGTACACTTTTATTGTTTGTGAAAGAGGTAATAAAATGAACCATGAACTATATATTAACATTCAAACGTGTAAAATCGTTATGAACAAGTGTTTAAATAAAGTCACTTTTTATAATCAATAGATAATTTATATACACTGTCGCTCATATAGTTGGAATATTTTTGTTTTACCCAAATTGTAACCAAATGTAACCAAATTTATGCATAATGCCTAAAGTTGTGAAAAGATTTGATACGAATTATTTCGATCATTCACCTGAATTACGAAAAAGTAAATTACATACTTAATTTGTAACCAGGTATAGGATAAACTTTATGGCTTGCCCTTTCTAACATTCTGACTATCAAAATACAATTATTATTCGTAACAAATAAATGAAATAATAATAATAATAATAATAATATAATAATAATATTTAGCCCTAATATAGCGCTTAATACAATGTATCTAAGCGCTTTACTATAACCACGGTCATTGGATTCAGTGATTGCCCGCACACACTGTGTGCACAATCTCCACTACCTTGGGAGCATTCCAGCCAGGCGTTACTTGACGCTCAATTACTGTTTGACCAACAATAACGGTCGCATCCTACTGGGTACCCATTTAACACCTGCAGGTGGAGAGTAACAAGTGCAGGTTAATATCTTGCCAAAGGATATTAGTGCCGTTTCGGGATTCGAACCCTCGACCTTCGCATCTCCAGTCAAGCGCATTAAACCACTCGACCACGACACTCAAGGAACTTAACTATAAATAAAATATCTCGCAACCTTTGTACGAGCCTATGGGGGTGGTTCATCAACTAAAATTGGTTTCGATTTTGAAAATCAATTCTAAGATAAATTTTAAGGTTTGATGAAACACTCCCTGGAATTCTAAATTTTCTATCAAAAAGAGACGCCGGCAACCTGCGAAAAGGTCATGTTATAAAATGCAAAAAAGATGCCGTCAAAATTATCGACATATATTTTATACGGATTTAAACAGGATAAAAAGGGTATTTTGTGTGAGGGGATTTTTAAAAGGAAATTATTTAGTAATTCCTAAACTAGTTGATTGTTTAGAAGGATCTAAACTATCTTCTTCCTTTTTTTTTTCTCTCTCTCTCTCTCTCCCTCTCTCTCCCCCCTCTCTCTCTCTCTCTCTCTGTTGCAATCCCTATCTATTATTATTTGCCACTGAGAATACAAGGGGCCTTTTAAGTTTTGTCCCTGTATCTCGAAAAAAGGTGAAGAGCAGAAGAAGAAAAATATCAAATTAAATGGGATAATAACTTTTTTAATAGCCAGCTAGTGATTAATGATTATTGCTTTAAAAACTAGTCCTTATACATGTCGTATATAAAATGATAGATAGATAGATACATGGTATGATTGCATCTTTCATGAATGGTGGTTTCACATCTGAATTGCACATAAATTACACGAATGGGTTATACACATTGTAAAAAACTTACATAACATTTAGTTAATGATTATTTAAACGTGTCATGTTACTACTGCCTAAATACCATAAACAATTAAAAAACAGTTAATGAACATAATTTCAACCGAAAAAAGAAGAAGAAGAAGGTATATAAACACAATTATATGTTAACATAATAATGGACTATTAAGACAAATTATACAACAGTTATATATCTGTAAAGCGCTCAATACATCAATCCGACGATGTGCTAAGCGCTTTGATATATTATTACCCCGGTCATCGGATTCAGGCTTACCCGCACACAATGTATACACATTTTCCACTCCCTGGGGAGCATTCCAACCATACCGGTACGATATAAAGAATCATTAAAAGAATGTACAGGAATCAAGACATTTAAATTATAAATCATTACAATAGATATAAACATGAGCAAATTATTGTTATAATGTCGAATCAAATTTGGAATAGGCCTATTTGGCATGCGACTGGTTTTACATTTAAAATCCGGAATTTTCTTTGAATTTATAAGTGTTCTATATAGTAGAATGTTTTTGTGGGAGAAATTGTTTAAATCGATCAGTGAGTGATAATGTTTTTGGAAGAACGTAACACATAAATATTGGAGTCTTTTATCTAATCTTTGTAATTGAGATTTTGCAAGTGAAATTGTATATAGTTATTATAATCCCTACAAAAAATTATCCGCAACGCTCTCTTTTGTATTCTCCTCAATCTCTCGTTTTGATTTTGCGTGAGTCCTCCACTGCTAACAGGACTGGCATAATATATTCAAGTAAGGGGCGAATATAACCGTAAATAACTGAACATTATTTTGATGTGAGAATAGTCAACTTGATTTACCTATAAGTCAAGATTTACCCAATGGTAGCCGGAGCTAAAGCTAGGGTAATTATTTCCGAAGCTCTTTGAAAGTGCATAGTATTATGCGCTATAATACATAAGAACGGACTACTATTATTATTGGATACTCGACATGAATATAAACTTCAATATCAGAATTGTTCAATTGTAAGCGTGTTCGCCAATAATATCAGAGTATTCAATACAACCCATTTTCAGTAGAAGGCCTACAAATAACTTCCCCATGGTAATTGCACTATAAGAAATTTAGGTAAAATTTACATCAACTAGTTAAATTTCATTTTCAAAGCTATAAACCCCCCCCCCCCCCCCCCCAAAAAAAAAAAAAAAAAAAAAAAAAAAAACGGCCGCAAGCTCCTGTCACGCCCAATTTTGCCACGCCAATCCATGATATTACGCCTCTGAGATGATGGACTAAAGGTTACCTTGGATGATATCATACAGTCATCACTATAATAACAATATTCCATACTAATAAAGTGCTTAATATATAAGAATTAATGACTCAAATCCGTTAGAACATTTCAGAAACTTGGGATACCATATCATTTCAGTTACGAATGATACCGTTTGAAGACACCATAAAATTGTTATTCTTGCATTAAAACAATCTCTAAATTCACAGAAAATCACGTGATTGTTATTGTTATTGTAACGTGACCATTGCTCTAGCTGTGAAGCCTCAAACTCAAGTTGGGAAAGGTCACTTGGCTTGGCGATATGGTAAGACGAAATAGTAATGAGTTTTATGTCTCAACTTTCCTTCATACTTAGTTTGTGTTGCCTGTCTAACCATGGACAAATTAATACAGATTAAGAGTAAGAGTAAGATCCTTGATGAGACACACTCCGTGGACATGATGAACACTTCAGCACTTGCGGAGCTGAGCCACTTGGCCAGCGGAGCGCGTCGCGGCTTCTCCAACTCTGCAGAGTCAGACCTGCTTGAGCGACCCGTAAGCCGTTACGTTGTGCTCAAAGTAGGGCTCCGCCCGTTTTGTTCACGCAACCTTAATAGCATTGACGACTATGTGTTGCTGGTGTGACATTTATAGACAAAATAATATAAAGTTCTTTCCCATGTTTTATATACTATATTATTATTAGTTCTATTAATTCTAAGTCATACCCATTTTTTCCCCTTCAAATTCGTGGGGGGGGGGGGGGGGGGTCCAAAAGGAACTCTTACCATAAAGGAGTTTTAAAGGTAAAGACCTGGGGGCCATTTATCGAAACCAACTCCATGATAGTCATATCTTTGTCGGCGACCTACGGAGATGTCATGAAGCGGATAAACCGTTTCACAAAGCAATGACAGACATGATATCGATATATCGCGATACTAGCAGCTCAAGAACATAGTCTTTGTCACGATCCATTTGATTTATCAAGAATAACCCAAAACAAGTTTTGGGGCTAAAATTGTTCAAAAAGAAATACATACATATAAATTCTCCTAAAATAAATAACAAATAGTGTCATTATCATATTTACATCATCAAACGATTTACATATTTCTGTAAAGATTCTTAAATTGAAGAAAAACCGGTGAGTGTTTTTTTTTTTGACAGTCGAATCAAAAGTTAGTTGAAGGATACCGTAATGTTATAGTTTATCAATACGTACTTTTTTGTTTATTGTGACGAGGAATTTAGGCAAAATGTCTTTTCTCAGCCAGTTTTTATTCTAGAGTCTCATAAATACTCGTTATATAATTGATTTGATATTGAAAAGATAATTTGGAAGAAGTAATTAGAGAGGGAATAATAATGCACATAGGCCCCAAAGGTATGACGGTATCCTAAGAAAAGACTATGGATCGACTATGGAAAACGGTGTGTAACATTCTTACCTCTCTTATTTATATGTTATAGTTTAACGATTTGTGATTTTATGTTTATATATTCAGCTTTCTAAAGTTTCTGTGTAATTTGTATTCTCACTTTTGTATATTTGCATTTCGCATCCCAGAGAATTACGTACCGAACTCGTCTATATTTTTCTCAAAATGATAGTGAAACTAATCGTCCATTTCGCGGCCCATGGAATGGCAACAAACTGACTTGTGATGGCGCTTCACAGCAATTAAAAAGATATGACAGGTTCGGAGCAGTGACAACTCGCTTGTCGCGGAAGTTGTCGCTCATCTTGGCAAAGACGGCTTCGTGAAACACTTAGCTGACAAGTTGCGCGACAGTGGCGAGATGTCGTTGATCTTGTAGTTATGACGGTTTCGAGAAACGGCCCCCAGTTATGGTCATGCAATTGCATTGTGAAAGAAACGTTGTGGAATCGATCAGAAAAGGTTGCTCATCTAGCATCTAGCATCTGCAAGGTTCTGGAATCATCAAAATGATAAGAAATTTGGCCCATTCTTCGTAAAGTTACAAGCACTATACACAGAAAGATGTATATGGGACTACCCTATATCTCTCACAGACCATGAGAGAAACAAATTTACCAAATATATGAATTAGTAGGCGGTTTCCCGGCAAATTTTTATCATCATGTATTAGTCAAAACATATTCTTTCACATGATTGGTAATGAGAGCTTCCATTTCATTTTTTGAAATTGGGGCGTTTCCAATACTGGTCTTTACCTTTAAATCAAGGTGCCCAAATCTACTATCTTTAAAAAGACTTTACCGTGGCATGGACTGACTATTACGGAGTAAAAAATAGTAATAGTTTATAGCCCCCTTCCCCCCATAAAGCCTAATGATGCCATGGTGCAATCCAATTTCGGTTTATTGTTCAGTCTATGTTTTGTAATCATATGTTTGTTTGTCCTTGCTGCTGCACGGTTAGGTTCAAAACAATGAAGTCTTTCATTCTACAATCTAAAGATAATATACAATGTTCTCCTTTTCTTTGATAAAAGTAAGTTGTTTATTTGGAGATTTTTAAGTCATTGTGTAAATAGAACCTTGTCCTTGTTTTCTGTGAACTTTGCTCTGAAACTAAATTATGTAACATCCATGAGATAACAACAAGTATTAGTCCACCACAAAACATGTGATTCCTCTAGTACTAGACATTAAAAGTAAATAGGGGGTTGTACTAGTATGTATTCTGGTCATTGATTAAAAAGGTTTTATTATAATTGCACTACGGAGACAGATGGCTGAATTATGAACAATTAATATTGGCAATAATACATACAAATGTGGTTTGAAATCCTCACAAAGTATAATATACAGTATATAACAAAATTCATAACAAAATTCATAACCAATATGACTAAGGCAATAACAGACAAATTAAGTCAGGTTTAAAATAATTTGTGAGGTGACACAAGAGTGGGGCAAAAAATGAGCAAGCAGGCCCTTTGCCCTTAAACACTCTCATTCATATTCATGCTCCTATTCTCACTCCTGTACCATGGACACTCTCATAAAAAGTCCTATTCACACTAGCCTCTTGTCGATGCCCTCGCGCTGTTGGAGTCTCTAAATTCTGACGAGCGAAGCGAGTCAGAGAAACCGAGGCGCTTGCGCGGAGGGCCTCTTGACAAGTGATCTGAATTATATATTCATGAGACCCGATTTCCAACTGAATTATGCATGTCTAGACCGCAGCGATTGTGTGTGTGTATGTGTGTGTTCGGGATTGCCCAACTAGGCTAGTCTGCAAGCACAGACCCTAATTTGACACTTTATCAAAAAATCATTGTGCCTTGAGAGAAGCCTAGCCCAGCTATCTACTGGTACCTACTGGTTGTACCAATATAGGTCAGGAGCAGCTATAGTACGTGGCATATGGTAGTCTTATAGTGCACACTCTCTGTTACGACTGACCAGGGTTTGTGCTTGCAGACTACAACTAGGCGGCCAGTCTCGTTCTCACGGAAGGAATTCGCACAGAGCGGTAGATATTACGTCATAGTAGCTCTCTCTGATTGGATGACTTTCACCGAACTCTGCTGGGTCGGAATATTCGCCAAACAAAGTAAAACATAAGAAATTCAGATCACTTGTCAAGGGGCCCTCCGCGCAAGCGCCTCGGTTTCTCTGACTCGCTTCGCTCGTCAGAATTTAGAGACTCCAACTGCGCGAGGGCATCGACAAGAGGCTATATTCACACTCGCATACACTAGCTAAGGTCTGCTCACCCATCCCTGGACTTCTCTTGTGTCAAGAAGTGTTGGGTATTTCAAATATAAATTTAGGGGTATCCAAGATTGAGAAAGATGAACATTGCTGTTTTTTATGCTTTTAATTTTACTTTTGTGCATTTGTGCATTTATATTCAAATTCAAATTCAGAGTAACAATACCTTTTTTGTTACTTTTTAGGAATTTTAACTGGTTACGCACCTGTAAAGCTCATGCCACTACCACTTCATCACTCTTCAGATGCCCTGGATCGTTGTTAAGTCTCATCAGTACTAGTCTTGGTCGGATCACGCTTCATATCAATCCTGGAATTATGTCCGGGTTTACCAAATCAAATGGAGTTGACTCCGACAGAGAACATCTCCTATCCCAAGACACTGAGACAGATGAAGGTCTCTATGGCAACGGTACATCAATCAATACCATATCTCAACCTCAAACAGTTATCCTGGATCCAAAGAGACCTGTCATCATTGATCAGAATGGACATTTAGAAAAGAATAAGGAGTATGATGTATACCTTGAGAGGTGGTATGTTCTGGGTGTGTATTCATTGATGGCATTCCTCCAATGCTTGGCATGGAATACCTGGGGACCTATAGAAGACACAGGTAAAAGAATCTCATGCAATTTGAATTCTCAGCATTCGTAATACAGTGCACCACCTATCGGATGCTACAGTTAGGCCAATTTTCAACTTCTGGGATCAACATAAAATTTGCGCTGCTGTGGCAGCATTGTCTTCCATCCACAGATAAAACCCATGGCAAAAAAAGGAGGGGGCCGGGGGGGGGGGGGGGGGGGGGAAGAACTATAAACGAAAATCTACAAATACATGTATTGCAAGAAAATATGCAGCATATATTGTTTACATAATTTAAATGTATAGTATAGGTTAGCCTGAAAGCTTCAGTGTCTGATATCAACAGTTGTTCCACTGAGACTACGTCTGACTCCACTGACAAATGTCAATTTTATTAAAGAATTAGGTAGGCACTCAAAGCCCTGAGATTTTCTACTTCTGGCTTTGTAATGTTGATTATTTATTTCCCATGAGGCATTGCTAACTTAGGCCTGTCTTTTGCACCAGGTAGGTGGTGCGCCATATTGCAAATACCGAGGGTAGTATATACTGTTTTCTCTCTGGTATGTGTAGGATGTCTAATTGTATTCTGATGAATTCAAGTTCCTTTGAATTATTTTGTACCCATTATATTGTGATGGTTAAAGACTGTTATACATGAATGTATTGCACGAAATAATATCATCATCATTATCATCATCATTTATTAAAGACAGCTTTGGTATTGGAATATTTCCTTTTATAGAAAATGTAACTGTTTAAAGAAGCACATTATTATTCTCAAGTGTTAATGCCACAGACAAGAGAAAGCCATACTATGTCAAATATGTAATCAGTGGAATCCCTTTTTAAAAATTGAAAAGAAATGTTCTTCTTTTGCACTTTAGCATCCATAGTCCTACAATGGGGGCCTGGTCAGTTTGCTTTGCTTGCCAACTGGGGTTGTATCACATTTCTTGTATCTGCTTTCTTCTTTTCATGGCTTTTACATGCAAAAGGTAAGTCTGAGCAATTTCGTTTAAATAATCATGTGAGTCTATTTCAACAATTCTTTATAAAGATGTTGTTGTGGATAGTTTTTTTTCTTTCTTCAGGGTTCATTTCAATACCGGTACGTGTTTTGGTATTGTCTCAGTAGTTGCAGTAGAAGGCAGATCCCATGCAAGAATATGGATAATCTACATATTTTTCTCCAGATACAGGAATAGATACATGCATGTATCTACATCATGACGTTTATTCAGAGAGATAGAAAAGTATTTAAGACAAAAACATAGAACCCAAACGCTAAATGTAGCTCTTGAAAATTATATACATAATAATTCTAATACTTCTAAAAGTGTTCATTGTCTAGTTCTCAAAACTTTCACAAGTAGGATTTTGTGGATATCATCTTGAAATATATGTTATACAATTAATTTACATTTCTATGTGATGTCCATGAACTTATACTTAAAATGGTTTCGAGAAACTGGCCCCAGGGCCCAGATGTTTCTGTATGCTCAAATGTTGTGTACCTTATTAAAGCAGGTATGATTATAGATTTGATGTTGCATGAAAATGTTCCTTAAAGGTAATACAAAGTTTTGGTATGGGGTCATGAATTTGGTTCAAATGAACATATTGGAAGCATATGCGATTTAACAATATTCAATGATCATTGTCACGGTTGAAATCGAGTCTAAAGGGATGAACTTGTTATTACTTTAACCTTAAAACAATGTTTCTTGACTACAATCGACCGATTTGCATTCCCGTTTGGAAATTATATATCGGAACTGCATATTTTAAGATTATCGTGGTCGCAGCTACGTACATGGAATGGCCTTAGGCGCTATTTGAAATATTTGAAATTTACCGGGAGCACCGGTAAATTTTTGATTATTCAATTTCTCGAAAGCAGAAGTGTTTTACAGACTAGATTTTCTAGTGCTTATAATACATCCTCAGGGGCATCCAAGTACCGGTATATCTAAATTATAAAGAATTACTATCCATCCAATTTTCAAAATTTCCCAAAACTTTGCATTACTTTTAAGCACAATAGTTTGCTGTAGCCTACACAATGAGTGTCATGACTTGATGGTATTTTGTAGGTCTACGTGTAGCAGTGCTGCTTACAGGAGGATTGCTGGTGATTGGAGTTGGTATAAGGTGCATCCCTGTACCCGTCCCTATGATGAAATGGTATGAACATGAACAATCATATGCTTTCAATCCCTTTACCTGTGCCTATGATGAAATGGTATGAACATGAACAATCATATGCTTTCAATCCCTGTACCTGTGCCTATGATGAAATGGTATGAACATGAACAATCATATGCTTTCAATATCGTCTCTTGATGCATATTGTGATGGTTGTAAAGTGTAAAGTTTACTGGATAATTTTTTGATCATGCTATTTACCTTTCCCTAAGATGTGTCATCCCTCAGTGAAGTGCTTATTTAAGTCAAACAAATGTAGTAATAAAAAAATTATGGTTAACTTTTACAACTATAAGGAGTAATATTCAAAGTCAGATAAAATTATTTGTAAAAATGTTAAGAAAATAGTGAGGCAGTTATTGTTCCATGCATTGGATTTTTACTTTGTATAGAAATCTACATTACTATTGGCTGGAAAACAAATTTGTGGCGATAGGAAGAACCATTTATATTACCGGTATGCAAAATATGAAATATTGCGAAAAATAATTAAGATTATTGTTTCATGCATGGATGGATTGGTAGACATGACTAATCTGGTGATTGTAATATTGTTCATTTTTTTTTCCTCATAAGGACAATGAATATTGGGCACATCTTCATCGGACTAGCTGGACCGATCCTGATGGCAGCCGTCACGTCCATATCTGCCACCTGGTTTCCAGCTAACGAACGCACCACAGCTACGGCTTTATCATCTACTTTGCCCTTCCTGGGTCTAGCAGTATCCTTTGTCCTTGGGCCAGAGATCGTGGGCAACATCAACATCAATGCGACAACAACTCAGTATGTTCAAGACAATTGCATTGCCTGATGTATTGTCATGGAGTCACTATTTAAGATAACGAAGGAGATTTAACATATTTTATTAGGGGTCAAAAGGAAGAAAATGATTACCGGTACCTGCTTTCAACATTGTATTAACCATTAGAATTCTTGATATATATATATATATATATATATATATATATATGTTCGGATGTGGGAAAGTATTTTATGGTACATATAATGTATATTATTTGAGGGTCAATTTTCAAATGCTCTAAAACTCGTACAGCAAAAATGCTTGGATGAAATGCATGAGCATTTGCATACAGCTTTCATTTTTATGTTGATTTTCATAATATTCTGTCCAAATTTCAAGATAATACTTATAATAGTAGTCCTGTTGGATTGTAGATATATGCAAGTATACTGTTTTCTATCAAATTAATTGCCTTGGTCAAAACCAAAACAATGGCTCATTTTTGAGCTAGATTAAACAGAATACCAGTAATTTGTACGTGTATGTATTACGAGGATTCCCCCCCCCCTGCCCTCTTTAAAAGGAGGTTGGATCGTATGAATACAGGATTATACTACAGCACTATAACACTGTACCAATAATGTTTATGTTCCCTTTCTTCCCAATAGATCTCCATTAACAGTACAAGGAGGAAATATTTCATTCCAGTATGATCATACAGGTGAGGCTTATTGATGGTGGTGTAAATTTATTTTGAATTTGTATTTGATAGTTAGAAATTTTGCAAGAAAGGGTGATTTGGGGCAAGTTCGTGACACATCAGTTCAGTTAGTGGGGGCCTGGCCAAGCGGCCAAGCTGGCCTGGAGACCATAACTTGCAGGTCAAACCATATCAGATAATCCTGTTTTTTCTGGTTTCAGTCTGGTTCCGGTTATCAAAAAATATATTGCAAATTTTCCGGTCAGGTTCCGCTCCAAGCCTTTTCTCTCTGTAACTCCCAGCACTAATTTCAGTGTTTGCAGATTTTAATTTAAAAAAAAAAAATATGTTTTTGGGTGTCTTTTTAACACCAAGAAATTTCATGAAAAAGGGTTGTGTATTTCTAAAAAGAATGTGCAACTAGCCTCACCTCAGGCAAATCTGGGAAAAAGCACAGTACTTTTTGTGAATTTGTATTTGATTTGCCAAAACAGAGTATTTAAAGCAGATTCTGTGAATGTTTTAGGGATAAAATGGGTTAAATTTTGTTGACAATTTTTTTGCGAATCCACAAAGAGGAGGTTGTTTTCGACTCTGCAAATATAGCAGTACATGTAAGTCTTCCATGCTCATAATGTAGAGGTAAATGTAACTTAGAATAAAAAGACCACTGAAAATGGCTAAGAAGGAGAAAACATATTTTTGTAATTTGTTTGCGATTCTGCTGAGTCATCAAGATTTTATCATCAAAATTTGTATTTATGTACCCAAAGTGCATAGATTTGAATGGTCCATGTAATCGGTTATCTTTTGATTTGACACCTGAGTCACACCGCCAAATCAATTACAGACAGACTGATTCTTGGCCATTTGGAGTAATATATTTTTGCTCGGTCTGCTGTCAGTCTTAATAGTGTGACTAGAGTATCAATGCCTATACCGGTAGACATTGTAATGATTAGGACATTTATAATATAATGATTGAATATATTGTCAGGAAATGTGAATGTATTGTATACCCGTATTACAAAAAGAGTCATATGTATAACCATTAGATATTTTGTTTTATTTATTTTCTTCTTCCAGATGATGATATTCAGAAACATCTCCAAGGAATTCGATTACTTATGTATATAGGTGAGTAAAGAAGTGGTAGGAATTTAAAATGGGTTGGCTGACTGTTTCAACCCAACATTCAGAAAAAGTCAAGGAAATTCTCTGAAAAATCCAGTGACATATTATAGTGAATTTAGGAAAAAAAAAAAAATTATGTTTCTGTTAGATGCTGCTTGTAAGTATCAGCTTGCATGGTGATGTAGATATACAGTAGGCTTGCGGATGCACCATGTGAGAGAGATGGAGGATTGAGGAGTCCTGAAAAGGATTCTCGGTAATCTTTCTTGAGGGTGTGTAGTCCTGAAAAGCAGTGTTGGTGTAGTCTTGAAAAAGACTGTTGGTTATCTTTCTTAGCTAATAGATCTAAGGAGAACTATAAGCTAAGAAAGATAACCAACAGTCTTTTTCAAGACTACACCAACAGTCCTTTTTCAGGACTACACACCCTCAAGAAAGATTACTGAGAGTCCTTTTCAGGACTCCTCAATCCTCCCTCTCTCTCACATGGTGCATCCACAAGCCTACTGTATATGTTTCTGTTGTAATCTAGTTTTGAAATGTAGAGATAATAAGTTTTTAATTGGTGTATTTCCTATCTTTTTTCACAGAGTTTGGAGCAGCTGCATTGCTGTATTTAGCAGCTTTGATCCGCTTTCCTGCCCGACCTCCGACCCCTCCTACTGCCTCAGCCATTGCTAAGAGGGAAGACATGAAGTCGGGGCTTATCGCTATTGTCAAGTGAGTCTATATCTGGGCATGTCCAAGGTAGTTTGCCCTTGTGTCATAGACTACAGGAACAATTTTAGAATCACTAATGATTTTATCACTTGAAAGCCCAATAAAAGTTTGGATAAGACCAAATATTAAGTAAAGTATAACTATAGATGTTTATTGTTGACAATATTCCTTTATAATGATAATAATAATGATGATGATGGCAGTATTACTACTATCTACTACATGTAGTACTAATTATACTACTACTACTACTACCAATATTGCTAGTACTACTACTACTACTACTTCTACTACTACTTACTACTAAAATTACTACTACTACTACTACTACTACTACTACTACTACTACTACTTCTATAGTACTACTACTACTACTACTACTACTACTACTACTACTACAACAACCACTACTACTACCACCACCACCACCACCACCGCAACCACCACCACCAACAACCCACCGCTACTACCACCACTACTACACCACTACTACTACTACTACTTCTATAGTACTACTACTACTACTACTACTACTACTACTACTACTACTACTACTACTACAACCACTACTACAACCACTACTACTACCACCACCACCACAACCACCACCACCAACAACACCACCGCTACTACCACCACTACTAGCACCACTACTTCTACCACTATTACTACAACTGATACTACTACAACCACTACTACTACCACCACACCACCACAACCACCACCACCAACAACACCACCGCTACTACCACCACTACTAGCACCACTACTTCTACCACTATTACTACAACTGATACTACTACAACCACTACTACTACCACCACCACCACAACCACCACCACCAACAACACCACCGCTACTACCACCACTACTAGCACCACTACTTCTACCACTATTACTACAACTGATACTTCTACTACCAATACTATTGTTACTACTACTACTACTACTACTACTACTACTACTACTACTGAATAAATGAATGGATGGATGGGTAAATGGGTAGATGCATTGACGAAGAAATGAACGAATGGATGCATTTTTTAAAAATCAATTTTGTTTTATCAGAGTATTAGTTTTGATTTGGCTTATAATTAATTGTACTTTATGTTTTTTTTTCTCACTTTCATATGTTGTATCCTACTTTAATGGTACTTTTGTATATATGTTGTTTGATCTTTTGCACTAGCGCGCCTTGAGCATTTGATTTCAAGTTGATTTGGCACTTTACAAATCTTATCTTACATTATTATCATTATTATTATTATTATCAAAGGAAAGTATCCTTCTGGATCCCAGCACTTGCCTATGCCACCGCCAGTGGTGCATACAGTGGATGGACTGCTCAGATGGTCACCATTTACAATGACCATGTAGACCAGGTAGGAAGGAACTCATTTGATTAATTTGATCCAGAATGCTTCTGGCTTCCTATATGTGGGGTTATCATCATATTGTATTACACTACTTTTTTAATCCAGATCTAAAGCTGTTATTACGAAGCTGAGCACAGATTCATTGTTTAAACAAAGTATAGTCTGTAGAGAGCCAAAGGGAGTTAACTTGAATTCAATTGATATGAGATAAAAGCCTTCTGGCTGTCCACACTTCAGCAATATCTATGAATCAGATTTGAATTAATTTTATTTGATAAGCTCTGTATATGGCAATGGAATATTATACATAGAAGCAGTGGCGTTGCTATGGGAATGGGGGTATGTTTCCTCACAATAATGGCAAAACAAAGGGGGGGTGGAGGGGACAACAGGAGGAGACAACAGGAGGAGGAGGAGTGGGGGTAGGCAACATGAAAAGAAAGTCACACCCCTTCTCCCACACTCTGCTGCAACTTGGACACCTTGTTCTTTTGCTCTCCATCTCAATGTCACCAGTGCTAGTGTCAGTGGTTGCATCGATCCTTGCTTCACCAAGGAAGCACCTTTTTGGCAGGAATTATAGGTATCATGAAGCTTATAAACTGTATATCATATTTCTGAATTGTGTTATATAGGTATGATTTAAAAAAGAAATATTTGTATTTGATTAGTCACCTTTTAAGTTTTATGATAAATTGAATGAAGAAGTATTTTGTGAAATATGATTCTTGTCATAGAATTTCTTGTCCAACTGTCACTGTCTTTCATAGTAGAGGTGAATTCTTGTCAATTCTAATTCATATCGGCTCATCATTCATCTTTTATCATTCATAAGTCAGATCCACTATGCAGATTTCTTGTGCTAATAGTGTGGCGAGCTTGGTTTCTCATGTAGTGATATTTTATAAATAATGTTAAAGTCACACTTCAGGACAGGCCCCAGTTGTTTAGTTGGGCAGGACATGGCTAGGTAGACTGAAAATCATTAATTCAGCCTTGCCCACTTCTATTGGGCTGATGTGACAGTGGCAGTATGCGTTGTTTCATAGTTTTCATGTGGCTGCACATGGTATTATGTAGCCTCTGTCTTGAAATTTCTCAGCAGAATGGCCAATTCTTATGAGGATTTGAATTTGTGGAGTGCGGGGCTACTTTGTGGCTTACATCTGCTACTGTATTGAGCCCCTAGCTACTAGGGGTTTATGATGCTGAAATTTATAAATAGAAAATTGGTCCTACATGGTGCTTAGGCTAGGCTTTACATGAAAGTGTGACTGTTGCATTACTCATAAGAAAAGGACCAAACTTTGTGTGATATTTGTAATTTTTTTATTTTCTTTATTCTACAGACTACATGTGGCTGGATAGGTTGCTACACTAATTTAGCAGCATTATTTGGGGGAATAGTAACAGGAAGGTAAGGAGATCATTTTTGAAGATTTTGGATCAAATATTATTCATATTTTGCAGTAAGATCTTGGCGTGCCATTCTGGAAGAATAGTGTGAAAACTGACGACGTTTGTAGATGATGAATACTTCATTTTTGTTATTTGTGGATGGGGATATAGTATGCGATCCTCATACATGACAGCCATCGGGGGGTGGGGGACATTTGATTTTGTGCCCCCTTCTAAATCCAACCCCCTCCCACTTTTGCCCTTGATGGTAGTGCATGAAGAGTTTACCCATTGTATTATATGATTACATCAGGTTGTTTCATGCTTAACAAAATGCAGTGGCCTGAAAAGGCACCTCCAGAACACAATAGGCATAATTATTGGTGAGATTGATTTACTACCAATTGAAATTTGACTTACAGGTGACAGAATATTCCTAGAATTCTTGGAGTTGTGTATTTAAGGTATTATTCAACATTGTGTTTTCAATTGGGGGTGGAGGGGCACATCCAGCCCCGAAGAGCACAGACACATCTCGGTGGCTTTAAGTGGCCTAATTAGTTTGTTTGTTGCTTCAGATTTGCAGATTATTTCACAGGAAAGATGAAACCCATCCTCCTCATCCTGATCGTCGCATCCTGTACAACTCTCTCTTGGTCTATCCTCCTCGCCAATGACTACATTCCTTTCAACTTACGTAAGTACATGATAATAGTCTGACTTTAGTACAGTGAAACCTGTATATAAAGACTGCTAAAGGGAGACAAGAAAAGTGGTCTTTAAAAGCAGGTGGACTTTAAGTACAGGTACCTTTAGTACAGGTTTCAATGAGGTTTCATTTTCAAGGTAAACAAATAACACAGTCTTTAGAGACAGGTGACCTTTCTATACAGGTGGTCACTGAAGAATGTACATGCAGAAAGTCCACAATACTACCATGGAACTCAGAAAACATTTAATGCTATTATCTCAATAAATTGCATTAATCTTCTGCGCATCGCTTGCAATCTTTAGCTCATTTTCGTGATAGGCTGCATAGCCCTGAGAAGATGAGCAGAAGGGAAGAAATAAGTTCATCTCCTCCCACACATTAAAGATAAACTCCAATTCTGATAAAGAAAAGAAAATTAATTCTCACAGAATCGAACAAAACTTATACTGAATGTTCAAGATTACAAATAAATGACATGTGCCAAACAATTTTGGAAGAAAATGTATACTGGCTGAGTAACGAGCATAGAAAGACGAGGAAATCAAGGTAGTACTATAGCCCCGACACCATGTGTGTTGTCCAATATATAGCTTTCTGTGTACAGTGCTTGTTACTTTACCAAGACTCGGCCAAATTTATTATGATTTTGATGTCTCCAGAACCTTGCAGTGCACACCAATACTTACATGCTACATGATCAACTGTTTCTGATCCATTCCACACCTTTTCTTTCACAATGCAATCGCATTACCAAAACTGGAGTTTATCTTTAAGTATCTGATTAGCTAACTGATTGCATTTGTGAAAGGGCAAGTCCACTCCAAAAATGACTTACTTTCAAAAGAAGCAGAAAAATCAGACAAACTAATCAAAAAAGTTTGAGCAAAATCAGATAACTAATAAGAAAGTTATGAATTCTTAATGACATGAAAAACTGTGAAAATCACAAGACAAATTGGCAACTCACTCACGAGTCTGTGACGTCATTGCCTCACTACCCACTAATTGTTATCTTTATATTGATAGTACAAATTTTCCATTTCCCCCCTAAGAATCTTATTTCTTCACACCAGCATCCAAGTTATATTGATAATAATATGTATTTGTGTGGGTGCATGAATATAGAGTTGTTTTTTTTCTCAGTTAAATCATGAAAAATGTGTATTTTGATAAACTATTTATATAAAAATCAATAATTATGAATACACAATATTCAGAAAATAGTATCAACTCTTCTAAGTTCATAAAAGATTTTGTGAAATGTCGTGCATGCAATATCATACAAATCATATAACCTGGGCAAAGGCATGGGGAAATCAAATTTTGGGGGATAAAAAGGGAAATTAATGGGATTAAACTATATAAAGCAATCGATAAATAGTGAAGGACATGATTAGTAATCCGATTTTACTCAAATGTGTTTTGCTCTGTTTCTCTTGTTTTTCTGCATCTATTAAAGGTACTATGTCCCTTTTGCAGACCAAAAAATGAAAAGGTTAAATTCTAATGGCATTTGAAAGATAATACTAATTTAGAACTCCCCTTAAAAAAATGGGGCTTGAAAATGTCTTTAAGTGGGAAAATAACGACTATTAGTTGTCAAATCGACTTAGGAGCTATAGAGCCAATAAGTAATAGTCTTGATGTTCAGACCATTGTACTGCATGGTCGTACGTTTTATGCTGCACAAAGATTCAATCAGTTTAATTTTGGCCATGACAAGAAGTGGGTTATTGTAGTAGACAAATCCTTGACAGCTTATTTTATGTATGTTATTACCAAAGAAGAAGGAAAAGCCAGTCAGACACTCAATACTGACAATAGTGTCTGACAGTGAAGTCTAGCAAGTAAACGGGTTTCCTTGCATAATTTGAATATAAGGACACTGCTAACGTTTAAATTTCACAGATTGGATATACATGACATATTCGTAATTACTGCGAAGTTCTACAGAATTTGAGGGTGGCTGCAAAAGAGACATAGTATCTTTAAAGGCAAAGAATTTTGGAGTTGACTTTAATCTTTAAGTTAATTCCTTATCAACCCTCTCAGTGCTATTGGTTGATTAAATCACAAAACAAATTCATATTGTACTTATATATGTGAAAAACCAAAAAACGGCCTAAAAAGTACCTATATTATAATTCATAATATTAGTTTTAGATTGGCCGCACGATCCGTATATAAATGTAAAACAAATCAGAAATATGAATGGATCGTGCAGCTGATATATTTAATCTCAATTACATCAGGATTGCAGATTAATAAACACATTTAATAAGATTTATTGGTATTTTTTCTTCTTATCTAGCTTGCCTGTATGTCTCTGTCATCCTATTTGGACTATTCCTAAACTCCACCATACCACTCTTCTTTGAGATAACTGTAGAGAGCGCATTCCCAATCGGTGAAGAGACAACCACCATTCTGATGACCTGGTTGAATAATCTGTTTGCTTTGTTTTTCCTCATATTACCGATGATCCCATCTATAGGTTTGTATTTTGTCATATTTTTTCAACACTAACACTAACATTCCATCCTTTTTTCATAGATCTTAAGTGAACATTCAAGTTATCTAGAAGATTAACTGACCAGTCACGAAAAATGCCAACGGCATGCATAAGGCAAAATAAATTCCTGGTCATAAGCATATTTATATTTTAGGTATAATTTCCCTTGCATACGTATGAAATGTCCCAGTAACTTTTCTTCATTTTACCTGAAAGTGCAAATCCTAGCTATGTACAATTCCATGTTTTGTTAATATACAAATAATACACAGCAGTGAGGGCATTAGTAAGAATTACCCACACAAGGCTTTGGAACAGTCTAACACACCCGAGGCGGTAGCCGAGGGTGTTTTCTTGACTGTTTTAAGGGTACCGAGTGTGGGTAATTTTACTAATTCCCGAACAAAATGATGTGTATTATTTGTTTTATAAGATTATGTTTTATTTTTTTATAAAGTGATGTTTTATAACATGATTTTACTAATGACTGGTCATTAGAATTGGATAATTACCGGTCATTATCCAAATTACGTGTTAGGCTAAATAAATGCCCGGTCACATGTACGCCAATCATTTGATTAGGATCCACGTCATCATCTTATAAAATTTGCTCCTGTTGTATGTGCAGTCTTATGATGGCAAATCAGTCACACCCTCTTCATTCTATTGTTGTGATGTGATAGTTGGAATAACTTGCCTTTTGTATTCAATAAGAATAAAGACAGTAAGGTAATGTAAAAAAACTCATTAAACAACTCTTTGAAATAAGGTATGATGGTTAGGAATACATGGCTGTTATCAAACCTGTAATGGATTAATGGAGCGTTGATTTAATGTTGAAAGATATGTTTTTAATGTTATCCTTTACATGATTATTTCCTAAACAATATATCTTTTAAATATTTTAAGACAAATTACAATGCAGAGCTGATATTAACCCTGTAGAAATCATTGTTTTAACATGGATTTTTTTTTCCTTCTTTGTAATTTTTCAGATAAAGACTTTGACTGGTTGAACTGGGTGATGCTAGGATCTGTAATTATTTGTATCCCTCTCATGATCTTCTACAAAGAACACTACAACAGACTTGACTTTGACGTAAGTCATCCAACTCAAGACAGCAACCCTGGAGGTCACCAAACCAATGGAGGGGTTTGTGCATAGTCCATGATGTGATGGTGTCATGGTATAGTGGTCTATTCACTCGACATTCAATCAAAATGTTGAGGCTTTGAATCCCAGACAAGGAATAATGTCCTTGTGCAAGACATGAATCCATGTAATCCAGATATGATAATTGCAGAGCCCTCAAAAAGTACAGCATTGATGTTGATAGTTTTATGCTGATGGCTTTATAACAATTGCAATGGTGGCAGTCACCTCATGATTTATTTCTTACACTAACCAAATCCAAACTTCAAGACTAGATCTTGCACTTGCACCCAGCCCTGAACATAACATAAAACCCTATGCAACCCTAATCCTAACCCTACATTTTTATATTTGATGAAATAAAGCTTGGAGCAAATGTCACCTGAGCATATGTTGAGCCACCGCATTAACTAAGTTAGTTGTGTACTTTGTTTTTAAATGCTTGGAAGCTAATAGACGAACGTGAATGTCATTCTTTTAATTTATTCTATTGGACTTTTTTTATGATGGTTGCATATATTTTTCATCAATATCATTATTGAGCTGCCATCTCTTCTCTACCTCTATTCTTTTCATGATTAATCAGCCATTGATTAAAGAGAAGAAAAAACTTTGAAGTTACATTTTTCCTTGGGTCCTTTTGCACAACTACTATTTCTTTACATATATATATATATATATATATATATATATATATATATATATACACACAAGCCTATTCAAAACATTTTACTGCTACAATATTTAGATATGTATGTAAGGTTATGCAAAATCTATATGTAAAATGTGAGCAAAGCTAATTTCCAGAGAAAAATAATATTCAAATTTGAAATTTGAACTGCAGTCAGAAAAAGAAAGTCATTTAATGGCTTGTAGGGGGGGGGGGGATATAAGTGATGCTTGGAGGTCACAATTAGCTTCTGAAGAATATGTCTCAACAAAACAATTAATGATGGGAAGCAAGAGACATGTCTAGTGACAATTATATGCCTTCAGAATTTTTCCTTGATTTGTGGTAATATCTGCAATTTTTAGACTTAAGAACAGAATAACTAACAGTATTATAATTAAATAATTGATATAGATTTTTTAAATTTTTTATTCAGGGATGTGTTTTCTTTAGATTTTTAATCCAAAACAATCAGTCTTCAAATTAGTTTCATGGCTATTTCAAAATAGTAAGTGCATGGTACCTTTAAAAGACAACTGAATATATGAACATCTCTGGAAGAGATGCTACATGTGTGCTATCATTAAGACTAGCAAGAATGATTTTTAAATTGTCGTTGTTTTTTCGACCTTGAAGTATTATAACCACAAACCAATTATATCAGATCTTTTTTAATAAATTTGATGACAGGAATGATAAGAATTTCCTGTTCCGAAACTCCAGATCCATGTTAAGTTTGGGTAAAATAATAATGGACATTAAAGATAGTAAAAAACAATTGCAAGCTTTATTAATTGTGATGCAATGTTATGAATAATTCCTGTCAGTTTAGGAAACTAATAGTGTGTGAAAAGTATTTATTAACTGTCGAAAAGTGCGGGATAAGGTGAATTAAAACAAATTGTGTTTTGATTATGCTTTATTTATTTGTGGCAGGTGTGGACAAGCTAATTTTTTGGAGGAAGACCTATTTTTTTTGTAGCTCCAATCAAATTTGTTTTTCTTGATCATTGAGCGAATGTGCCTTTGCCTTTTTATTAGTTACTAAGTGATCGGATTTAAATTCGGAATATTTGAACAACTTTTGTCCCATCTTGCTCTCACTTTCCCCTTGAAGATACAGAACTTCCAATTTTTTATATAATCTAGCATGGGTGATATGCTGTAAAAATGAGGAAAAAAGGCACAGATCTTTATGTCTTTTAGTGCATTTTTATGTACTGGAAGTCTTTTTAAACTACAGAAATGTGAACTCATTGTAGTAAAGAAATGTGATTAATTCAAGTTATACATCATATGTGTCTGGGCAAGCATCCCGCCCCCCCCCCCCACTCCGGGAAGGGAGGGACCGCATTCATGTTCCTAAAGTCTCCGGTAAAGGGGTACATTTCTCGCAACAAAGTCCAGCTCGTAATAAACACACAATCGGCTCGTATTGACTTTACACACTAGACTTAGTGGGGAGGGAGGGAACATGCATACGCGTACCCTAAATAAAACTGAGTGGGGGAGGGGGGGGTCGGGGCATGCATGAATTACATGGAGCAGTTGTTTCAACCACCCACTACTCTGCATTCAGTACTATCTTTATATATTGTCTCACATTTTTGTTTTTATTTTTGCTTCAAGTTGTAGCTATTTTAAATGTTTTAGGTGGACAGATAGTACTAATTCTTAAATACGTTTATCTTGTACTTTAATTTAGACAATCAATCATGTTTAATGTATTTTATGCACATTGGGTTATTGAATTGTACTACGCTTGCAATATGGTAAATATATTACTTTGCATTTCTAATTGTCACACTTCATGTAAAACATTAACTGCAATATTCTATTACCTAATAATTGTTGAGGATTTATTATTCATAGTAAACAGTGGGTGCTTTATGGTATGTTTTGTTTGTGTATCTAATCAGTATTTGTGGGCAATATATATATTGTATGCAATGAATGTGAAAAAATATGTATATGTTGAATTCAGGCAAAAAATTTAAGCATCCAATAACTAATAACTCTGATTTTATATTGATATTCATGTAATATTTTACGAGAATGCAATGATATGAGATTGTTTTTTTTTTATAATATCCTTGTACAAAACAGATGTATGAGTAAAATACTGAGGTGCTTATAACAGTACTAGGTGTTTTGATGCCTAAATATTTTTGTCAGAAAGTGCATTGAAATTATATTTTTATAAAATGGTGTTCTTGAAAATGTTTATTAAATGCTGTGTCATGAATTCAATGGACAAATGTTTTCTTATCTTAGTAATTTCAGTTTGTATGAAAATGTATATAATCTTTTTCTCTCTCCTTTAGACCATCCAAACATAAAAAATGCTCTTGAAAAAGTTTCCATGTCATTTTGGGGGTAATACATAGCAATCATGTTAAAACTATTGCAAAAATACTAAGGATTAAGTTGGGTGTGGATGTACATACATGTATATCGTGTATTTCCACCTCAGAATGTGCATCCTTGGCTGGAAAAAGACATCAATTTATTTGGAATAACATAAAATAACTTCTCCATCACATTATCTAATCGTTTCTGATCTGTATGTGGCGTGCAAAAATATGTTGTATGTTTAATCAAGAAAAAGAGTTTAAATGGACAGATTTATGAAATTGAAATATAGAAAGTTTTCATAACCCCGTATTCTGACAAAATCACACTTTTATGTTTCACTGCGCCTTACATATCCCACATTCAAATGTAAATAAAAAATGTTTATTACTTCGGACTCGTAATAAAATTATTAATTGAAAGTTTTTATCAGATAATACGTATATTTGGTAAAAAATTAAAATCATTTTTTTCCCTCATTCTTTCAAATTTTAAGCAAAAAAAAATGGCGCGTATAGCATCTACCCATATCTCAATCATTCCTTGGTATTTGTTGACAGAGTTCTGGCATGGGTGCCATGCATTACCCCAAAATGCCTTCCAAAGTTTCAGAAAAAATGTCTAGGCTGGTCTACTATTATCCTTGCCCCTTCCTTATTGTTTATTTCTCACTCTCTCCCTCTCCTTGCTCTCTATCTCTTTTCTCTCTCCTTGCTCTCTATCTTCTTTTTCTCTCCTCGCTCTCTATCTTCTTTCTCTCTCCTTGCTCTCTATCTTCTTTCTCTCTCTCTTTGCTCTCTATCTCTTTTCTCTCTCCTTGCTCTCTATCTTCTTTTTCTCTCCTCGCTCTCTATCTTCTTTTTCTCTCCTTGCTCTCTATCTTCTTTTTCTCTCCTCGCTCTCTATCTTCTTTCTCTCTCCTCGATCACCTTCTCTCCTCACTCTCTCCCTGTCTCTTTTTCTTTTATTCTCTTTTACTGTCTTCCCCATTCTTCGCTACCTCAAACATAGTTTTACACCCTCTTTTTTTTTTCTTCTCTCTCTCTCTCTCTCTCTCTCTCTCTCCCTGTCTCTGTCTTCTATTTTCTTTTACTGTCTTCCGCCTTTCTTCCCTACCTCATACTTACTTTTACACCCTCTCTCTAGCTGTCCTCTCTCCTCATTCTCTCTCCCTGTCGCTTTGACTTCTATCCCTCTCTTCTCACTCTCTCTCCCTCTCTCTCTCTCTCTCTCTCTCTTCTATTTCCTTTTACTGTCTTCCCCTTTCTTCTCTACCTCGTACATATTAGTACACCCTATCTTCTCTCTCTGTCCCCTCTCTCTAGCTGTTCTCTAGTTGTTCTCTCTCTCTCTCTCTCTCTGTTCATTCTCTCTCTCTCTCTTTCTTCACTCTCTGTTCCCGTCTTCTCTTTATAATAATAATAGAGAATATTTATATAGCGCATGGCTATGACTGTCTTCCTCCTTTCTTTACTTTCTATCTTAACTTCCCTATGTATAATTCTTGAGTTTTTAAACCACATAATATATTAAAACACAAATATTCCATGTTTTTAGGCTTATGAAAACATTATGCTCCCCTTTGTAATCAACATACCCAAGTTGGGTAGCTTATAATTAAAATGTTATAATTAATGTAACATTAAAATCTATTTCATGCTAAAGAGTAGCTTGTTTTCTGTCTGATGATACCATATTCATAATTTCCTTACCACGGATAACTGAGCACCAGGGTTTTGAAGAAAAAAAATTGCTGTCAAAATCACCTTGTCTGGGCAGATGTACTGAATGTGGGTCATGCCATTTAACTGTTGTATGGTTCTAGGACACCTACCCCCTGGACATTCACCCCCGGATAACCATCACCCATCAACTACCCCCTGGACAACTACCCCCTAGGGCAACCACCCTCTAGGACGACTACCCCAAGGACAACTACCCCCGAAAAACTACCCCAGACAACTACCCCCTAGGATAACTACCCCCTAGGACAATTCCCCCCGGACAACTACCCCAGACAACTACCCCCTAGGACAAGTACCCCCAGGACAACTCCCCCGGACAACTACTCCTAGGATAGTTGTCCGGGGGTAATTGTTCGAGATGATGGTTGTCGTAGGGGGTAGTTGTGTGAGGGTTGTTGTCCGGGGGTAGTTGTCTGGGGGTATTTGTCCTAGTGGGTAGTGGTCCTAGGGGGTAGTTGTCCTAGGGGGTAGTTGTCTGGGGGTAGTTGTCCGGGGGTTGTCATCCTAGAGGGTGGTTGCTCTAGGGGATAGTAGTACTAGGGGGTAGTTGTCCATAGGTTGTGTAAGGTGTGTAAGGTTAGTGTCTCGAACAGCACAAGGAAACTTAGAGAGTAACTTGTTACTGACCTCAAAGATTGAGTAAATACAAGAATATAAACATTGTTGATAAATTACCAAAGTTATTGACAGTATACTTTAATGAAAATGATATCCAAGACTATGTGATCATAACTCAGACAATTTCATAAATTGTGCTTGTAAATTAGCATTTCCTTAAGTCCGAATTGACATTTTCACCTTTTCTTTTTAAATTCACAAAATCAATGAAAATATGTCAGTAAATGTTTTGAGACTCAAATAACAGTGCATAAGGGCCTTTGATCTACATTAGCTGCTACAGCCCGAACGTGGTAGGCCTACAATATGATTTTAACCATTTGTTTTTAAATGGCAGCTGCTCAGTCATGCGTGGTAGCAGAGTTATGAATAAGGTGTCATTAAATAGGATATTACTTATTCGTTAAAATGATATATAATTTAAGGCCACACAGCGTATTAGTCTTAAATGGGAATCTACCAAAGTTGGGTATAATTTTGGATACACACTGTGGAGTTGGTCCTATGCTGGATGGAGTTGGTTCAAGAATGGATGCATTGGGAAATTAGTTCGAGGCTGGGTGGAGTCGATAGCTTGAATGAGAAAGATTGTCTTTGACTGCTTTATTTTTTCTGAATTAATTTGACATAATATCAATCTTTTAGACGTAACCTAGCCATCCTAGCGCTGCATATTAATATTTGAATATATGAATATTTGCGTTGGTACGGTGTGGTGGAGATCAAAATTAAATCGGTTAAGGTTAAGTTTTAAAAAAAGACGCGCCCCGGACACCATAATTCCTAGATACACACTGCTGATAACGATTATATATTGTAACCAAAGTTATAAAACGTTTAGGTCATTTATACTGTAGGAATTAAACTAAATTTTTTTGTGAACATAAAATAGAAAATATCTGAAATTTGTAATCTTTAGAGAATACAAGCAATAATTATTTAATGAAAACTGAAGTGACATGAACCTATTTACCACCTTCGTTAATAGGCAAATACGTATAACCAACACCATATTGATGCCTGACTCTCCGACTGTTTTATCTCTTCTGAATGAATTTGACATAATAACAATAGAAACATATTTTGAACTCATGTATAGTTCCATATAACCTTTTGGTAATAGGCTGGTATAATGCTTGGGCAATTTTAATACATGCCCTGGATATCATAATTCCTAGGTACGCACCGCTGATAATGAGTATATACTTTGTAACCAAACTAATATAATGTTTAGGTAATTTATAATGTAGAAAATAAACATAGTCATTTTGTGAACTTGAAACAAAAAATATTTCAAATTGTGTAATCTTTAGAGAATACAAGCAATAATTAATTAATGAAAACTAAAGTGACATAAACCTACCACCTTTGCTTAGAGGCAAATATATATAACCGACATTATTAATGCATTGCTAAAACAAAAATAAACGTTCCCCGTCTAAATTCAGCGTCTACGTCAAGCACGGACCGAATCTATCAAAATTAACGTTACAATAATTGTGCCATGGTTATAGCTAACAATAACCCCCACCCCCAAATAATCACGACCATTCCAAGCGTTATACGAGTCATACTACATGATTAATGATAATAGTATTACAAAACAACAGTCGTCACACAGTCGTAACAACAGCAACAACAAATCAAGGAAACGAAAAAAGGTAATAATAAAAAACTTGGTTGGAAGCTAAGACCCAGGCTGTGACTCGATGTCGAACAGAATGATAAAAATAATTCACTCTGATCATGGACCTGGCTCTGCCTCTGGCTCTGATGTAATGGGGCCCATGTTGTCAGGACATGTAATGATGCCCATGTTGTCAGGAAATGAAACGACGTCTGCGCTGTTGCAGACGTTGCCTGTACAACAACTTGTGTATCTCTCATACAGGTAACCGTCATTGAGATTCGGCAACAGCATCGCCTCATCATCGCACGTGACATTGACGGGAAGGCATCCGCGGACGATCGCGAAGGTGTGGAGCTCCCTAGTTTGTAAGTTCGCACGGTTCCTCACCGAAAGCTGTAAGATGAAAAAAAAAATGATGCAACATGCACTTGCGACTACTTCTTCTTGTACTAATCCAGTGGTGGATCCAGGGTGGGCGCACAGAGGGCACGTGCCCCCCCCCCCCGGCCAAAAAAAAATTGAAATCAGCCCTAAATTCGTCAAAAATGTACTGGCAAACAGGGACGTGCCCCCCCCCCCCCCCCCCCCCCCCCCCCACTGAGCGAATTTGTGGCCGGCACGATTTTCAAATATTCGGGAGCAAAAAAAAAAAAAAATGTGCTCTTACTTCCGCGATACAGAAACGTACGCTTACAATTCTGTGTTTTCGGTTTAGGCAAAACTAAATTAGTACTTCTAAGGGCATAGTTTGTAGTCTTAACAATAAACTTCTCTTTCAAATATACAGGTGCCAAATCGTGAAATATTTAATACATCAAAAAATAACTGTGCCTAATTTGTTTATTTTCTAAAATTTCCCAATTCAAAATATCATGAATTTCACTAATTGGTTTATGTTCAGATGATTTA